CCAATCAGTCAGTCAATCAGTCGATCAGTCAGTCATGCAGTCAATCGGTCGGTCAATCAGTCAGGAAGTCAATCAATCAGTCTGTTAGTCAGTCAGTCAGTCAGTCAGGAAGTCAATCAATCATTCAGTCAGTCAGTCTATCAGACAGTCAATTGGTCAGTCAATCAGTCAGTCAGTCCGTCTATCTGTCTGTCTGTCAGTCTGTCACTCAGTAAATCAGTTAGTCACTTAGTCTCTCAATCTGTCTGTCTATCTGTCCGCCTGTCTGTCTGTCAGTCAGTAAATTAGCCAGTCAGTCTGTCAGTCAGCCAGTCGGTCAGTCAATCAATCAGTCTGTTTGTCAGTCAGTCAGGCAGTCAGGCAGTCAATCGATCAATCAATCGATCAGTCAGTTAATCAGTCAGTCAGTCAGTCAGTCTGTCATTTAGTCATTAAGAGGTTACTAGGTAGGTTAGTAATTCTGTCAGCCAGTCATTTAGCAAATCATTCAGGCAGTCAATCAGTCAGTCAGTCTGTAAGTCTGTCAGTCAATAAGTCAGTCAGTCAGTCAGTTGGTCAACACTCAGTCAGTTAGTCAGTACGTCAGTCAGTCTGTCGGTCAGTTGGTCAATCAATCAGTCAGTCAGTCCGTCAGTTGGTCAATCAATCAATCAATCGGTCGGTCAGTCAGCTAGTCAGTAAATCAGTCTGTCGGTCTGTCTTTGTCAGAGCGAATGGAGGAATTATGGCTTGTGAGTGTGTTGATATGCACACACACACAACCCAAAAATCGTCTAATCGCTCTGACAAAGGACTAACGCTCAAAACAGCTTTGAAACTCTTTACGATAGCCAATTTCCATTTTCAACTCAGGTTGCAAAACCAAAATTATCTTGTTATTACTCCCCACTGACGCAGCGTCAAAACTACCCCCTTTATTCAGCATGCTAATCAGTCGGTCGGTCAGTTTGACGCACTGTCAGTCAGTCTATCAGTAAGTCATAAAGTCATAAGAGCAACAAACAGCCAAGCTATTATAAATAGAACACCAAAATTCAAGTCGTTGTTCATTTTATCGTGGTTTTTACCGTTACTTTTAGCTACTATTAAACGGTCTTTGAAATTGAGGATATCTTTCGTAATACCATGTAACATTGAGTTGTATAATCTTGTATTTCGTTTCATTCTTTTAGCACAAACATGAAATACAGAGTTGCTTTACTTTACACGTTTAAAAAGTCGTGAGTTTGAGGAACCAGGTTGATTGACATGTGCGAATGCAACTCAGAGCGAATTCAAATGAATTAAACCTTATATCACCGGCTGGCTTTGAGAACTTTCAACGTGACTGACTGCTTTGTATTTTAAAGTAAGGACATCTCATCTGATTTCTTGAACAGTATTCCTGAATGATGGCTCGAGTTTTAAGCAGTTGCAAAACATTGATCAAAAATAACCTTGCCGAGGAATATTCCCCACATTCCAGCCACGAGATAAATGATGAGCACTATGACAGCGAGGGAGGCTTGTTCTAACATGGACTCCAGTTTCACGTATTCCAGATGATCAAAGATTCCAGAACTTTACATCACTTCATTTCTAGCCACGAACCACGGGATCATTGTCTGCTCTAAAGTTTGCCGTTGAAGATAGTCCTGAATACTGAAAATAAACGCAGAGATGGATATACGTCGGGCTGTATGGTAATCATCGTAAGTGCCAAGAAAACTTCTCAAAATACATTATTAAAAATTAATAAGCTTGGTTTTAATTGATAAGATTTGGCTCGCTTCCTTCGTGAAATTCAATGCGAAAAAATTCAAATAAGTTGAACACAAAGTTAAAATTTAAGCAGATAGCCTAGGAGAACACGGTCATTATAAAAATTTCTAAAGAATAAAACGCGGCGATTATGAAATTACCGGCGCACAATTCAATGGCCGATCGAGGTTAGTATTGACTTGAAAGCAAACGAACAACTGAATATAATTTCCCGTTTATTTTCCTTTCCTTAAAAATCATAACGGTCAATTCATTTCATTCAACCAAAGACGGGCACGCTTGATTTACTTCAACTAAAAGTGCAAAAAGACTCTAAGGAGGCAGGAATAAACTGGAAATGAAAAGGAATAGAGAAGCAGTGGCAGATCTAACCCCGCCCCGCCCCCGCCCCCCCCTTTTTAGGTAAAATAAAAAGAATCGCAAAAGGTAGAAAAGCCGGCAGGGTAAGCGACAAAAAACCGCCCCCCCCCCCTTCCTTAGCTCAAGGTGTGGATCCGCCATAGCGAAGAATGCGAAAGATTAACACTGATCACAATATTATGACGAAGTTGAGAGATGTAGCCTAAATGCTCCAAGTTGAATCTACCATCACGTATAGCAGATGAGGCATGAAAGATTTTCCACAAAACTGATGGAAATATCACCTTTAACATCACATGCCCCCAAACAACTAATTAAAAAAGATTTACACGTTCGTTTCATGCATTCGAGCCAATAAAATTACAAAACTGATGCTAATTCATAAACAAGAAAGATTTGACATTATAATAGTTTTTCATAAATAGATAGCAATCATATCTCTCCACTTTTACTCGGTTCGCATCATGGTTCAAGAATTGTTTTTTCTTCTTCAAACTGCCTTCATGGTCTGTATGTATTTTTTATGGATGTGCTGTTGTCCCTTCATCACAACGTTTGCTTCATAATGGCAGAGATTCGCATGCCTCTACGTGCAAGTTTGCGACCAACATCATTGCTTGCCGTCCTACCTTTTACTTGCTTGCAGTTCAGTTAAACTGAATGCATGGGAAACCCATGAGAGCCGTACTTTGACAAGATTAGATGGGATGGAGTTTACAAAGTACATCCTTACAGATGAACATTTGACTGGATTGAGGAGGGCTTAATTCCAGCAGGTTTTATGAAGAGAAAAATTGATAAGACTTTTCTTAGCAGACTGAAAGCTGAAGGCTTTTATCACTCGAGCAGGAATGCATGTCTAATCGGAGGGAAGCAAATGGTTGTATATTTTTCGCTACATGAGTGAGTATAACTCTTCTTCGCAAATAGTTTTCAGGATCTTTAGACTGATGCGCGTTACTTGAGGGTAAACAGTTTGTTAAAGGTGAAAAATCTTCGGCTCTCAAGACTTACTGATCATGAAATATTTACCAGAAGAAAACAGGTTTATCTCGCTCTCAACGTCCAAAATATGGCACCTTTCCTCAAAACTGACTTTAACAGCCGCGAGCGTCATGTTGACCACGCAACGATTCTTTGAGTACTGTTCTGACACTCGCGTCACAAACTGACAGCATTTTCCACTCAAAAATGAAGATGGAATCATTGACTGACGGTTATGAAAAAAAAAGACATGAAAAACTAATGGAATGATACCAAAAATTAATAAATAAATAAACGCTGCGACTTTTTATTAATTACAATACACATCGAAACCTGGGCAACGCTACAACCTTGCGCTGCCAAAAATTTGGCTCATAACTTGTCTACAGAGCATAAAACCTTGATAGTCTGGAAACCAAGAATTTTGCCTTGCTGAGCGGACATTGGGGAAGTTCGACAAGAAGTCTCCGTTCTAATAATGAGTGAAGGAGGAACGAAGACTAAACTCTGAATGGCGCGAGAATGTAAATAAACAGAAGCTACGAGTCGTTCATGGAAGTTTGGGGAACAGTTAAATTCACAGACCACTATTTGCGGGTTGTTTACAAAGTCAATATATTTTATGCGATGAAACAAGAAGCATTTTGTCGGATTATTTGATGCCCCCAGTATTTAAATCATAAACAATGGAGCGCTTTTCAAGCGAGTGCGGCAAAACCACAAAGAAAGTAATCATAAAAGCCAATAAAAAGAAAAATACCCCATACACAAGAACTCTAAGTAAAAGCAAGGAAACTGCCGAAAGCGCGGGAAAGCGCTGGACACCAAGTCGTGCTTGGGTTTTACTTTTGCATCTGATTGGTTGAGAGAGTAGCGCGTGCTTTCTGCATCAATCACAAAACGGAGTTAAGCACCGCATTAACCCTTCAACTCCCATGAGTGACCAAGACAGAATTTCTCCTTAAAATATCAATACCATATCAATCAGATAAGTGATGAGAATAAAGAAAAATGTCAATTTAGGGATGATTAGTTGATCCAATACTAAATTCTCTGAACTAAAATTATAAGAATTGTATGGTTGACAGTAAGGAGAATTAAAAATTTGATCTGGGAGTTAAAGGGTTAACGGTGCCAGATCCCTTGCAGATCTCTCGTTGGCTCGCTTTTCTCAAGGCCTAAACCCTTTAACCCCAAAAATGATTAACATGTAACTTCTCCCTAAAATATCCACACATTTATCCAACAAATAATTAATAAGAATACACAAATTAATCAGGTAATGTTTAGTAGCAAGAGGGGAGAATTTACGATCAGATCTCGGGAGTTAAAGGTTTAACCTTACTCACGGGCAAAAAAAAATGCTAGTGCCGCTGCCCTGGTAAAGAAGGCCTGCTCGCGGGCTCATACTTTAGGCCGTCGGTAGCTTTTCGCGTTATTATAATCGGAGCATTTGAAATAAAAGTTATTGCATTTTGGAGCGGAGTCTTTACGTTTATTTCTCTATTTTTTGCTATTATTTCGTGATGCACCTTGAAAGTGCAAACCAAGATTTACATTTAGTTCAAGCAAGCAAACCTGGTACTACTTAGAACTGGGTATCTTCTGATACATGTACACCTTAGAAAAGGAGAAGGGAAAATCTCACTGTAAAAGGAAGGGGTTGATCTTTTCTGTCGAGTGACAGAGCAACCCCTCCCATCCCCTTCCTCACAGCCATTTTTCACAGTTGTTCTTTAGGATATTACCTCCCAATGGGGAGGGGGGTGCTGTGTGCTCTTTTTTAAGGGTCTACTCAAAAATGGTTCATGGGCATCCCAGTCCCTCTATCTTCCCTGCCCTCTTCCTCCCCCTCCCCAACCCTTCCCTTTCCCCTAACCCCACCCCCCCCGTTTCCCCTGCCCCTTCCCAAGATATACTTTTCAGTTCGGAAGAGTAAGTAAAGTTTTTTGTGCCTGATTGAGATCAGTAAATAATGATTTGTAATACACTGTATTAAGAGATTACAGTTTGCATGTGATGTACACGTAAACTTGGCACTAAAAAGTGTAAGTGTTAGATTGTTTAGGGCTTGAAGAATCCAGAAGGATCGTATGCATCCCATGGACCCTAAAGAGACAAAAATAAGGAAGAGATTAAGAAGACAAGGAGTGATATCAAAGGCATTATCTAATGATTGTATCGAAGGAGTAAATCAGATAAACAGCTGTTTATATTGCAGACAGAGTACATTTATAAATAGAATGGGAGCAGTGGAGCTTTCCTTGTTCACATAAAAATCATCACGTTGCACAGAAAATTAAGGAAAACTGAACAAAAAAAAAAGAACTGGACAATCATTTGAATGTTGACAAGCATTCAACCCATGATGAAAAAGAAACCCCAAACAAACAAAGCTTGTAATGCACGCACAGTCAAACGAAAATATAAGTATGTTGTTTGTGGTTCTTACCCCATCATATCCCATCTTGTCTACATTGAGTTTCTTTTCAATGTTACGAGCCAGTTCTTGAGTGCGGGACATAATGCCTTTAGTTTTCTCTATTACTTGCTGGTAAACAGAGGGAGCCTGAGTACCCATAACCACATGACCCTGAAATAGAGAAGAAGCTTATTAAGACAAGTAATCCCCAAGAAAGATGAACATGGGAGTCCCAATCCATGAGGGGAACTCCAGATCATGAAGATAGCATTTAAGAGTTACACTTCACACCAAATACAGCCTACAGCCTGCCCAGGTGTTTCTTCACCTGTGGGAAAGTATGAGGCCTTACACAACGCAAACCAGCAAGAGGTCTGCAGAGGGTCTAGCATTGATAATTGATGCCAGACCCCTAGAAACCTCTCCCTGACACACCTCAAGTTTTCCACGAGCAGAGAAATGTGCATCCTGAAGCGCTTATAAAAAGTGCCTACCCACACGCTATACAACCCAGTTTAAAACAGCTTTTTACCCAATATTTTTCATCTGGCACACAAGCTCTGTAGCCCACATTATCAGATTTTATCTCCCATGAAGCAATTAAGCCAAGATTTTCTTCCTCTGGGTAACAAACTACTTCTCCAAAGGCTCTGACTCTTTCAACCTACAGTCCACGGTGCTACCAATTAATTGGTCATCACATCTGTCTTGTGAAATATAATTACAACTGAAAACATTGCATACTGGCCTGTCATTCCTTCACACCCCAACAGCAGTATGCATAAACTCCATTGCAAATGTACTATGTATGTTAACAGGCCTTAGACATACCAACTTGGAATCAATTTTAGCATCCAATCTTGCATTTCTGATCAGATTAACTATCCACCTTTCTGCTTCTTCTGGAGTCATATTCAACTTTTCAGCAAGCATGCTGTTAGGAGAGGAAAGCAACATGATATTGTACTACTTGAAAAAAATTGCTTTAGTGCAATCACTTGAAGAATATTAAAGCAATACAATCCATTTTGCTGCTTTAAAATCACTGCTTCAAAGGGTGCTTCACGATCATCTCATGGAGTGGTTAATATGATGCAGAAAGATGCTCCTAATTGGAATATAGTGATCATGAAAAAAAGGAAAAAAAATTCTGATAAAATTTGCAAGGAAAATTTAACTATCTGGGGGACAATGCTAACCCCCTCATCACTGATGTGACTCTTCATTTCCACATAGGAAAACTGGAAACAAGATATTCCAAAAATTAAACTTCAAATGGTTTTATTGCACATCTTTTTTTTAGCCCTATTAGGGTAATGCTCAAAAGTTAGAAATCAAAAGTTAATTTGAGAAGTTTGAGATTACAACTTGTAACTCATCAGCAAATAAATTCCAACCTCGCCTTTAGCATTTTTCAACTTTTGCTTTTTGGATTCTTCTGTGACAGCAATATTGCAATTAGGTTCACATAGATCAGTCTGATAGGGTTATATGAAACTTGATTCACACCTAACCTGCTTTAACAGTTCCATTCACCACTAAATGTGGTTGAACCATAACAGATCAAGAAGATAATCAAGTTTTTCTTTGCTCCAAACCTTATACTGATACACTGGTGTATTCTGCAAAATGTCTCAAATATAAACAGTCTGGCATTCTCAATGAAGTCATCTAAACAGGCCACAAGGAAGAAGTCATTTAGCAGTACCTGGAGAGCAATCAGAACAGGCAAACCTTGTTTAAGCAGGGATTTAATAATGGTCAGTTACTGGCCATCTTCTGACCTCTCACTACCATTTTTTGCCTGCAAACATGCTCTTGTGTTTGGTTTTGCCCTAAGGCCCCTTTTGGGCACAGCTGTGTAATTCACTGTTGGCAGTTACTTATGAAAAAGAATGTTAACACCTGAGAACTGGCACCAGGCAAACTTCTCCATTACAGGAGCATTATAATACAGCTGTTGAACACAGTACTCTGTGCTGTCACCATTTTAGTTGCCATGACAAATTGAAAACATTGTGGTGGCTCATTTGCAGCAAAAATCACCAGTTTGGCAACTAGTAGTTTGTAACAAGCTAAGCAATATTAATTACTTTGTATTGTCTTTTGTGGTACTGGGTTGAAGAAACACATAGTAACTTCTAGATTTCTATAATAAATATTTGCCACCTTATCCTTGGTTGTCCAAATACATGTATTGAACCTTAAGATGTTGTGAACTCCCAAACCCTCCACTGTAAGCCGAACCATGTTTCTCCTGAAAAAATCTCCTAAAATTTTGTGTCAAATACTGAAAAGATTGCTCAGCTTATGGGTGAAGAAATACGGTACATTGTATACAACTCCAAAAACAAATTGCAAGACATACTGTTCATTTCCAAGACAAACATCATGATTGATGCTGTAGTACAAGGTAATTTTGAAAAAAATGCCTTCCTATCCTTTTTTCCTCTGGCATTCAAAACTACATCTTAATGAAATCTTTGTAATTTAAGGAACCAGACAGCACTTCGAAAAAACTTCAGCATGGAACCCTGACAGAAAACAAAAATCACATGGTTCGTACGCTTTTGACTTTCTGACATTCCATGACTTTCCATGACTTTTTCCATGACCTTTTCCGATTTTCCATGACCCAATTGTTCAAATTATTTTTCTCAATATATACTTACAGTACCATCAATTCGTTTTTTCCTTGCATGTTAACCAAATTGTAGAAAAGAAGAAGATGCTAAGACCAGTTAAATTCATACGTATAACACGGAATCTTTATTTCCGTGCAACAAAATGACACAAGTGCAACAACACGACGTAAACAGATACTTTTTACTAAACTTTACAGTCCAGAACTATATCTTTTAAATTTCCTAAGATAAACTTTACAGTCCAGAACTATATCTTTTAAAATTTCCTTATAAAACTGTACAGTCCAGAACTATATCTATTAAAATTTCCTAACAAAATCTATACAATGCAGACTTAATTTCCTAACAAAATCTGTACAATCCAGAACTATATCTTTTAAAATTTCGTAACAAAAACTGTATAATCCAGACTTAATTTCCTAACAAAACCTGTACAGCCCAGAACTATAAAATCTTAATTTCCTTACAATACAGTCATTGTTTCAGTGTTCACAATTGCAGTATGAGGTTTCAGTTTTCATCTACAATATAGAAAAATATATGAGTGCATCCTTGTATGAACAAATCTATTTGTTCAATGGTTAAATGCTTGCAATTCTGGTAAATAACTTCAAGAAAGCAGTACTTTTGGACAGGTTGTCACTCGGACTTATTTATCACACTCTTCCAATTCCTTGTTTAAGTTTTCTAGTTCTATCTTCTTCTCCTTTGCTGCATTTCTGAGTGCATTTGATTCGGTTAACAAGACGAGCTGCCTCTTCACCTCAGCCTCTTTAGCTAATTTGTCAGCATCAAACTGTAAGGTGGTGATCTCTGTTTCAAGTCTCTTCTTTTTCTTCTGGAAATCAGCTTTTGCTTCATCCACAGATTTTCGTTTGTGGCTTTTGGCAACATTTTTCGCAAGCTGTCGCTGCTCTTCAAGATGGGCGTGATACCGCTGTCTTCCTGCTTTAGCAGAGGTAAGAAGCTCGTTCGAAATGACCAATTTATGAAATCCATCAATACTCAATATGTGGTCATGAATGGTGCGTTGGGCAACGAAAGTGGTCTCCTTCATATTCTCAATCATTAGCTGTCGGTTAACGGAAAATCCCCTTTCTACACTTGCTTGCCCATGTGAGAGACACAAGAGGAATTTCACAACGTCCCACAGTTTGGAAAGTGAACCGACAAGACCAATGTGTTTTTGGAGAAATGCATCCAATCTCTGATCTGTAAAGTCAAAGTCTTCAAACTCAGACTTGTGCACCTGTGTAGCCCGTTCCGTAAATTCACTGTACTGTGACAACAAAATGTGTCACAATCATGAATATCAACCCTCTTGCATTCTACCAATTTCTTGAGGACAATCTTGAACCTCGCACAGCTTGCTTCTTTCTCTGTCACAATATGAATCGGATCCAAACAGCACAGGTTCCTGGCAAGGGAATAGGCAATTGGGGTCTTCTCAATAAGTTTTCCAACTGTAGCTGTAAGGAACGACTGGAATTCCTTCCTAAATTCATATGTCTGACGATCACTGATTTTCTTGGCTGCTTGCAATTCTTTCAGCTTCGTGGCAGCAACAAAACCAACATCCAACTTCTCCACGTCAAGGCAATTCTCCCTCTTCTTGAAGTCAATCTTCAGAAGCTTTACTGCAGAGCTGGCACCCTGGAGTACATCAGCTTTGACGAACCTTTTCATGAGACCACGAATCACCTTCTCTAGACTGCTGGCCACAAATGGTAGAAGAGGGCTGTCGCTTTGGAACTGTACCAGAAATGGTTGCAGCTGTTTAGCCACTGACTCAAAAGCAGCAAATTTGAGAGGCATTAGTGGATCTTGGGTTGAATCTCTTATCGTCTTGTAGGACTTTGAAGTTGGCACACTATATTTGCTGCTACGTTGCACCGTTGTCACATAGAAAGTGACTTCTTTCCATATTTCCTGGGCCCGTACTACAACTGGCAGGTTCTCCAGCCATCTGTGCTTGCAGTACTTAATTGGAAATACAACACTGCTGGTTATTTCTGTGTAATCCTCTCTTCGTGCTGGTGAATCCACAAATAACCAATGAAGAGAAGACAGAACTTCCTGAATGCTCCAAGTAGATGCCTTTGATCCAGCTTTGAAAGCATTGTGTACAATGTGAAGTCCACAAGAGCCTACGTTAACTAAGATGGGTGCGTTTTCGTCAACCTCAGAGATCAGTTCCTGGAATAGCTCATGCAGTTTCCAATTCACGTTAGGCCCGTCCATTGACAACTGCAATATGTTGGACTTCTGAATCTTGATACTATCAAGGTAGCTAACGATCTTTTCCAAAAGGTCGTCGGCTGTAGCATGTCCCAGAAATACAGAGGTTAGGTACCTTGTCTGCACTCTGGAGTTCTTTGCATCCCAAAACCTAACATGCAGATCCATCTACTTGGTTTGGGTAACTTTATTGTGCGATTCATCAAAAGTAAAACAAACAATTCAAGTTTTGTGACTTCATCCGTAAGCTTACGTTGGAAATAGGGTGCTATGCCAAAACAAGCTAAGTAAGCACATTTTTTCTCGCCACAGGAAAACTTGCTGGCTATCTGGCTGTCCGGAAACATACGTTTAAATAGTTCTGGAATGTCCTCACAGCTCTTGTAACTATAGTGAGACAAGATTACTTTCAGTGCCCACAAAACTTCTGCAGCAAGTGTCTCATTTGAAGCCACATAATTTCTTATATCACCGGCACCGGAAGAACATGGCTGTTCAGAGCGTCCTACTTCATGTGAACCACGCTGGCTTCCAACAGCAGGTAAAAAGTTTCTGAGGCTGGCATTGCTACTCTCGTCTAAAATCAAATTAAAAATGTTTGTTTATGAATATCGTCAAAAATGAGCCCTAATTAAATGAATTTACTGTCACAGAAATCCTGGAATCTCAAAATTTCACAATAGCCTCATCGAAATTGCAATCCACTTATAAAAATAAACCATATTTTACAGGCGCCACAACAGAACTGAAGGAGGGGGGGCTGAAGCCATAATTAATCCCAATGCTGAGCCACAAATGTCAAGGAAAAATAAAAACTCACTTTTAGTGTATTAGTGTTGTATCGCATAGTATTAACTATTGTATAAATTTTGTATTAATAAATAAAGATGCGCTAAATAAAAAAATATGAAATGGCCGTTTTGCTAGTCCCTCATAATACATTAACTTTATATCTGAAATTTAATATACCTCCGAGTTTAGTCCCACCGGCCCCAACCACCCCCTGCAGCCTCTCAAAAACTCAAAAGAACACTCTTGCCTAAACATCGGTACAATCCATGCATTATCTTTGTCATCCCGAAATTAAAAAGACATTTATTTATATTCTGTCGCTTTAGATGACAAATTCTTTTGTTCTGTTTGATTATTTTGCCGATTCTTATTACACCACAGCACTTAAATCTATGTTATACCCAATACAGGCTGCATCCTAAATGAATCACGAGTTGGTACAAATATCGAGACAAATATCTAACGCAAACATGCATTTTCTTGTCTTGATGCAAACTTTAAATTCTAGTAAATTCAAATTTGAACACACAAACGTACCTTTAACAGCATCGACGTGCTTCTTCGATTTCATGTGGCTTTTCACTGCTGCTTCTCCCATATTTTGAACAGCGAATGTCTTTTTGCATGCTTTACATTTTGCCTCTGACGAAGAACTCCCGCGTTCTATCCACTTATTATACTGCGGGTTACTCAGCCAAGCATCTTGGAATTTGCATTTTCCAGGCATTATATATTAAATCTGCTTGAATGATCGCTCAAGCTCATCTTTACCTCGTGGCAGGCCTGGTCGCATGGCGATGCTGGGACTCGGCCCCAGGTCTCAGCAAAAACGTATCACACGGTATCGGGGAAAAAAATGCGCGTTTGTCGTTGCAAACACGTAAACAAGGAATAGTTTATTAAACAAAAACTTGTGAAAGCAAGGAATTTTCTTTATTTTCATCTCGGTTTTTGCAAAATGTCAAATTATAACAATTTTCCATGACTTTCCATGACTCTGATCGAAATTCCATGACTTTCCAGGCCTGGAATTTTTTTTTCGAAATTCCATGACTTTCCAGGTTTTCCATGACCCGTACGAACCCTGAATCATTTCCAAGAGATGTTTCCTATTTCCATACAAAGGTAATGAACTGCCCTCTTCTACACCACAAAAGGCATACAAAAAGATAGATCTTTTACAACAGTAACAATAGGAATACTCACTGTTTCACATTCTCTTAGCTTCTGCTGAGCCCCATCAAAGTCAAAATTGACATAGAGACATTCCAAAAACTCTGTAATTGGATCCTTGTATGTGTAAGACTCTTGTTGTATGACTTTTACCAGGTCTTTGAGTACTGTTCGTCTGCGCTTGTTAGTGATGACAGCAGTTGTGAGGTATCTTAAAATGTGGGGGCATGTGGTTTGGATTGCATTGAGGTATCTAAATACAAAAAATAGATAGAAGAAAATTAGAGGAATTTCTTGGAAAACATCAAATTACTAAGAACAGCATGTCCAAGATTTAAGCCTTTACACCCTAAAATTACATAGTAATTATTAAATAGTGGGTATATTCTCCGAACAGTTCCATAGACAACATTTCAAAAATGTTTCTGTCTTTGTGACAACCTATATTCTCTGCAACACATATTCTTAAGGTTAAATTTGATTTTTTTAGTGACTGAAAAGGCTAACTTCACTACAATAAGAGAGCTGAGGGCTTTACTTGGAAGGAAGATAACAACTTTCCTAGCTTAGAACAGCCTCGTTTGTCAGGTCACAGTGAAGATCTGATGTCCCTCATACTTACTGAGGTTGGTAGAGAAACAAATCAATGATTAGATCTCTTCCTTTTGGATGGTTAAAGAACACAAACAAGCTCCAGTGAATCAACCATGTTCTTTCTTGCAGCAGTTGGAGTGTTCCTGCCTGATTCTGAAGAAGCAATGCAAAACATGTCACCTTGTAAGATAGACTGAATGAAATTATATCGAAGACAACTATTGATTTTGCGATAGGAGATTTCACTACAATTTTAAACAATGATACTTCACAAATCTGTATTATATTGTAATTCCACAACACTTTTTTAAAGTGAAATTCAAGTTGTAACCCAGACATTTGCAACTGAAGATGACATGAGAATGTCAAAACATGTTTTGCAAACTTAAAAATGTTATTAAATGCAAATTTTGGAACAAAATTCAAAAGAGAAACAGGGACAGAAATAGTTTGCTTGACATTTTGAAATTCTCTTAGCTTGCTTCAGCTTTTCAGTAGACAGTAAATTTAACAAAAGAGCAAAATAAACAAATGAATCAGGTGTAAGCCATTTGTTATAATAGATAATATTACCATATTTTACAACAATTGATAAGGAAAACAAAAAAAACAAGATTAATGGTGAAGAAACCTCAAAAAACCATTAAGGCTCATAAACTTAGGTTCCATCAGAAGTAGCACAAAAAATTAATATATATGACAGATATACAAAAATAACATGTTGACAGCTATATAATAGTCTGTACTCAAATCCAAAACAGAATATTAAGTGGTTATTGATAATAGATATTTTAAGCTAATTTTCTAAAAGGATGTGAGAGATTGAGAGCCAGTGATCTCAAGAGTAAGAGAATTGAAGCACATTGATCTAGGCGCCTAGGAATATGAACCATAATGTCATGTTATACTACTTATTTCAGTGATCTTCTGACTCAACTTAAGAGCTCTTTGTCAGCCAATTTAGGGAACTGAAATACTCACATTGCTCTCAATGACATCTTTTAACCTGTTCAAATCCTCTAATGCAGTTTCCCAGTTCTGCATGAGGATTTCAGAACCTAGTTTACCCCAAAGAGCATTCAGAGTATTTCTATCATCATTCCCTGGAACCTGTGATGAAAATAAATAGTATTTTATCCCTCCATGACCACAAGTGTTGTGATTGGTCAATTTAGCAGGCCAAACTGAATATAATGAGCTAAAGGGGGTAAGTTTCTAAAGAAGCTGTGGTGCTGTATCGGTTCGGAGAGTATAACAGGGTAATTTAGTGTTATCAACCGAGTTGATAATGGGGTTTACACTCGAAACATCAGCTTTGAAACTCTTTATAGAGGCCAATTAATGTTTTTAACTCAGTTGATAATACTTAATTACCTTGGATATAAAGCTGTTTTTGTTATAAATAAAAATCTCTCCTTATCTCACACAAATTGTTCTTAACTTCCTAGGGCAGGCAAAGTTTAAATATATTGTCTCCTTAGTTTGAATAGTATCTTTAAATGTATTAATGATTAATGAATATTTCCAGTTTCCTTCTTTTGCTTTTGTTCTTCAGACAAACCCATCAAACACACAGTAAGGGGCATAATCAATTCATGAAGATAGTAAAATCCTATTAGCCTTAGTTTCATGCTCCAGACTGTATGCTAAGGATCTTTATCATTCCCCCCTTAATTTATAACCCAATCATGAAGTGCATAGGCATATTTTCAAGGAAAAAACTGCACCTGCAAAGTGGAGCCCAAACCTCAAAATCAGCTTGTTAGAGCTACTGCATTGCCTTGTTAAATTTGATCTCAGGTGTTTTGCTCTGTCAGGGAAATATCTAATAAGGTTTCCATGATAAATTCTGAGATTACTCACCAGCACACGATAAAAGTACAAGTATTCTGCTGCACCAGAGTAGTTTCCACACTCGTATTGAAATTTTGCATATTTGTACAATGTGTCCAGCATTTCTGGCTCAATCTGAAAACAAATGAAACAAAAGCTTTTGTAAGTTATGAAACAGCTCATTCTAGTCTTGTATCTAGGGGTAAAAGGAAAACAATCTGACTTGTGTCGGAAAGTAGCCCTAACCTCTTAGAACAATGCAACTCGCATCTAGAAAACCTGAAGTTTTCACCTTAATAAGTTTTTTAAAGCATTGTACTGATGCAACAGAATTTGTACAAAGCACAAAGATAACTGACTTAATCAAAATCATTGTATAGAATCTATGTCATATAGATCTCTGGGAAGAAAGAGGCATAGCCTTTGCTCTGAAGTCTAGTCAGTCTCATTGAATTACGGTCAACTCGCCGACGGACCAACTCGCCGATGCCAACTCGCCGACGTATAAAATCGAGTAGAGACGTCGGCGAGTTGGTCCTCAATCCAATACAACTTATTAGAAGTTAAACATACAGAAAAGTAAACAATATTTAGTAAAAAAACACTGGTGAACATTGGTGAACATCAAACAGAAGCTTGAACATTGGTGAACATCACCAATGACTATATCAACTTAAGACGCAAACAAGTTATTGTGCGACAACAACACCGTAAAGACTCATCATGTCAATCGCTCGCCGTCGGCGAGTTGACTGGATACCATCTCATGAGAGTAATTCTTATAACTATATATTTTAATCATTCAGAAATATACAAACCCCATGGTTCTTTTCCAGGTATTCAAATAGCTGTCGCCCATCTCTGTCAAAGTTGAATGAATAAATAAATCAACAAATTAAAAGTTGCTCATAAAATTATAAGGACTACTCATGGAATGCAAGAATAAATTAAAATTGTAGTGGCCATTGCAAATTTTCTGATCAAATTTAAAGAGTGTTCTGCTAATTCCATTATTTGATATACTATCAAACTAACACTACCTCACCAATACATGACGACTTAGACCCTTTGAAGTGTAGTATACATATGATTATAAATTTTTTTTTTCAACCAATGTTTTATGGCCAATGAGCTTATTTTCCTATTCTTGCAAACCAGCTTAAAGTAAACTAGTACTACCAATACTATTTGAAAATTTCCAGCTTTTGGTTTATCAATGTTGACAGAAAATTCCTGTATACAGTCAAATTGATAATGAAATTCAACAGTTTATATCGCTCACTCAGCCACTATTCTGTATGAGCATTACAACAAGGTGAACCTTGAAATTTAACATACAAGATGTCAACATTTGAAAGAAAACAACATTTATTGTATAAGTCTCATTTCATTTTACCTTGTTGTTTGCATCTGATTGTTAAACTCTGGATCCTCAAAACATTTCACAATAGGTTCTGTCTGAGCCTGAAGATATTTCAGTTGTGTGACAACTTCTGTTCTCTTTTGAACAAGCTCTAAGGTGAAAAGTACAACAATAAACATATTAGATACTTTTTTAAGAAATGTGTGTTATTCAAGATGGACAAATGAATTTCAAAAGCCTAAAAACTCAAAGAAATTGTTAGCTGGTTAATGAATTTCTAGAATTTCAATTCAAAAGCATAAATAATTTTTCTTTTTGTCTCTTTTTACAAGTGTGTTGCAATCATCTATCAATCTATTCCACAAGAGCATGCAAATCCAAACTTTTTCATAAAATTAATTCAAACTATTTAATGCACTGTGCTCCTCAAATTTCAATCAAAAACCATTTAACCAGTTCCCCATAAAGCTAAACCTTATGCTTCAAGCTAAAAATTTTTTGAAAATCACCCACAATATAACAGTAATTTTTTTAGTCCAGAAAATATACACATGTATGCAAAGATTACAGAGTTCAACAACATACATTTCATATTAAATAAGGATTATTTTAAACGCCATTGTTACCAGTCACACGTTATCAAACAATATCAACAAACCTTCTGGAACGTCTTGGTCTGGGTAGAGATTTTTGAACACATCCATGGCAAAATCAACCTGACAATCAAGATAATGAATATCATTAATTATGGACATATATATATGTACTTACAATTTAAATGGCTGGAAACATTTTTCAGGAAGACAATGTGTATTGGTATGTTGTAGTTTAAAACCATTTAAAGCTAGTATGATCTTTATTTTCCCCCTTCAGTCTTGTAAAATTCTCTTGAGAATGACAGGGAAGTTACAGTGCTATGACTCCTTCAGGCATAAAAGAACGCACTTACTTCACAATTTCTGAACAGTATAACACGATTCTTTACCCGACTGTTTTCTATAAAACTTAAGATGGTTTTGAACCTAATACACCCAAAATATCTTAAGTCACCTGAATGAAAAACGAATCGGCTTTAAAATTAGTCGAAACACTTTTTGATAGAACAGAAGCCTGGATTGTTAAAGAACACAGATGTTTAGATGTGATTATTCTTTTCAGTATAGTAAGCCTCCTAAGTACACATATGTTATTTAAGCGTTCGTACCATATATTTTGGTACTATCATGCCTTTCAGTAGGATCAGTAAGTTAGAAAAATCCAAAAGGTTTCAGAAGATACAAATTCTTTGGGGCATACATTGTATGTCTTCGATAGAGAGAGCTTCGAGTCAAATAATTTAATTATTTCAGTGTTTTTTTTATTCGGATTTTCTTACCATGTTTGTGTTGCTAAGAAGATCTAACTTCCCTTTGAGTAATTCCTTTTCATCGTAAATCTAAGACCCGAGACAAAAGTTATGAGACGAGCAGATTGTTAGCTTAAAATCGTCTAGGAAATAGACTTGATTTATACATATACGTCGAGTTTTTACTTTGAAAAATATACAGCTATTTCCTGATAACTTCACCATAAAAGTTAACGAATCGATGAAAAGACGATATAAATTAAAACTTACCTCTTTGACAGAGAGAAATTCTAACAAGGGGAAAACGAGATGTCGATCTAAAAAAGAGCCCATTCGGGCAGTAAGATCGTGTTCCGCCATTTTGAAAACGTGGTTGTAAGACTGGTTCCCAGTCCTTCACGTTAAAATGAAACGAAGGAAAAGTTGGACAAGAGAGAGCAGGTGAGGAGAATAATAATCTTGACTAGTAAGTTTTATAAAATAATTCAAATAGTACGCGCGCTCTGATTGGCCATAAAACCATTTTACATGAGCGTATGTAAACACGGTTTTCGTTCCTCTTTCATTACTTATTTTATAAAAGAAATGTAAAATGGTTCCGTGTTTACATAGCCTGATGTAAACACGCGGGAGGTTGGGAGAACACGAGATAAGCGTAGGAAACCACGACGCAAAGCGGAGTGGTTTCCAGCTTATCGAGTTTTACATTTCTTCAATGTCAATAACATGGCTACCAGAAGGTACTTACCTATGCAGATTTAAGTGCAGGCTGTATTCGTTGCTTATGGCTTCGTGTGGCCTATATCCTCGACAAGGCGTGCAATGAAACAATTACGACGTATAAATCGCGCAAGAAACGGCTGGCGAGGAAAGAGAGGGAGTGAAGAAGGATTGAAGAGCTAATTTCTCAGATATGAATTCGGGGAAACCCATGATTAGATTCGGTATCATATTTCTGGTGATCTCTTTCATTTTCCACGGAACATGTTCAATAACGTAACTAGCACATGCAGTGAGAGATCCCGTTTTAAGACATTTAAGTAGTTATGATTCGCCAATCGTTAATCTTCATGCGCCCGTGATTGTATCAAAAATAGAACATTAAGGGTTTCTCTCGCAGACCAGGGACTGTATAATAAAAAATGATCACACGGCTGAGGTTGCTTCATGTTTTAAATGTAATAAAATTTGTGTAAATCAGCTTTTGTTCTATTGATAACCATTTTTTTTCTTGTAACCTACCAAATTTATTCCTAATGTCTTTATTCTAAATGGAAATCCTGTTTCAATAAAAATGTATCATTTACAAGGTCGAGCCACTACGTGTAGAAATTGTCATTTTTCCATACAGAAAGCTGTCTGTGTGCGACGGCTCCACCAATAGTCTTGCTCAATTGTTTTGATTTTCTAATTGTCGTATGGAGGTTTTTTTTTATGCATTAAGGGTTGAAGATAGCAATATCTATGATGGGATGGTGCATGAAATGTCAAAAATAAAACTTGGAACTTTTATTGCGCTCGGGGAGACTCCTAGTACCCTGTTCAAGCCACTTGGTAAGAGGAGACGAGCTAAACTATGAACATCCCATTTTTATCACCCTGCCTCGCCCTTTAGAGGGCAAACTGAGCCTGCCAGCTTATCTTAGTACTGAGCCTAAACAATATTTTTTCCCAAAGAATTTGACTAAATTTTGTAGGTATTCGCCTGGCAATAAGCTAAGCTCTCGTCGGTGCTGTCACACGTCAGTGGCGAGCAGGCGAACAATATAAGAGTGCGAGAGCTCTGCAAGGGTACTGGAACAAAAATGACCCTTCGCCGAGCTCTTGCACGCTCGCTTCGCTAACCGGCCTGAGTCTCGCGGGCTTCGTTGCCTGTGTCACAGCGCTAATAAGAGCGTGCTTGCTCACTATGAACCTACTAGAAGTAAAACGTCAAAGTTTCTGACAGCAAGATATGGGGATGTCGAAATATGACCTTGTTTAGGGTAGGGGATGGGGTTGGAAAAGGAATAAATCAAGGGCATTTTTCAACCCGCCAGATATCTGGTTTGTCTTCATTCACCGAGAACCTGGCACATTCAGCCACTTTTGACAAATTGGCAGAACATGTAAACAATTTTTTTTTAAAATATATGAAGACTACACGTTTTGTATTATCAAAATCTCCCTTGCGTGACTCGATCAGCTCACCAGTAAGGCACGCAACAAAATAACTTTCGCATTCCGAAGCAATACAGACTCTCAAAAACAGCTAAAATTTTCAAAATAACAATGATGTAGACTTTCTTATTCTATAATGAATGTTTTTACTCCAACCATTGCTAGCTCATCAATATTTGTGGGTGTCTGATATGATGTAATCTAATGGTTATGTAATGTCTTTATCTCGACGCTTACTTATCCGAACTAAATTTAGAATTGCATCGTCACGGTAAAATGATTGCGCAAGCGCCGTAGAAGAAAGATATAAAAGAGTGAGGATTTCTTGCAAGATTTTCATTTGAGAATTCAACGGGATTTTAAAGTTATCAAGACTGCTGCGAAGAGGATTTGGATATTACTTGAAAGAAGTAACGATGGTTGTCGTTTTCAGCAAAGAGAAACCACAGCACTGCGGAAACTGCAACGAGCGATTGGAGTCCATTTGCTTCCGATGTTTAGAGTGCGGAGAAATTGTCTCATGTCCAAAATGCAATCCAAGAGGTTGTCGTGAAGATGAGGATCCACCTTCAAGGCCGTGGGATCATCTACCTTGTTCAAGGGGCAGTTTCGCTAACCGAGGAAGAAGCTGTGAGGCATTACATGTTTCTTTTCCGAGAGGTGGTTTTTCTTTTCGAGGTTTCATGGCTCGACCAAATTTACCCCCTACAGGTCCATTTCCTGGGGGAAATCGAGGCTTTGAATTCGGTCCTCGGTCCTCGAGGATTCGGTCCTCGAGGATTCGGTCCTCGAGGATTCGGCGGGTTTCGTGCTTGTTTTCTTGTTAGTTGCCCGTTTCCACCGTCGTTTCGACCTGTCTCAGAACAAGGAGGTGTTGATGATTTCCCAGAAATGCATGACTGTAGTTTCGGTCCCTTCCCTGTTCGGGGCCACCCGCGTTTCCCTCGAGGGTTCCAGGGAAGGGGAGGAGTTTGTGGGCGTGGCGGGTTCTCACGAGGTCGAGGGGGTATGAGGCCATCTTTGAAATGTAATGAGTGTGAGTGCAATCACATGAGCATTTTTCCTGAAATAGTGAAGGAAAATGATGTGAGTGTTGTTGATGGGGCTGAAGGAAACATCTCTGATAATGGGAGGGAGATAAACAGGTAAAATATTGATGATGCCATAGGGGGAACTGATCCAAAGCCAGTGGATAAGAACCTTGAGGGGTAAACAGGAAGACTAAATAAACAAATCTAACTTTGGATGTCACCAGAACATGAGAACATATAATCAATATAATACATCATAAGCCTGTTTATGAGATCATGTTGCTTTAATTTAAGTAGTGGTAGTAGTAGTTATTATGATAACTTGTAAGATCATGAAAACATGAGAACATGTATTCTTAGTATGATAAATTATGAAATAAATGTTGATGTTCATGTAAATATCATGAGTCCAACTATCTTTTGGTTCAGAACATAACATAAGTCTGAAAATGTTTCCCACTTTTTGACCTGGTGCTTAAATAAATCCTCATCTGCGACAACATTTTGGGGACGCAATTGTAAGTGCTCAGTATTGCTACTTGAATTTTAAGCTATTGGGTAGATGGATTGAAATGAGAAGAACTGAAGCATGTTTAGTTTACTGCACATGAAATATGGTTAGAATATCTTGAATATCAGACAAAACTTTACAATCTTTCCCTGCCAAAAGGATGGTTTCAACTCAAAGTTACTGTTAATATGATAAGAAGTTATGTTTTCAGTACCTCAAAAGATGTCTGATTTCTGATGAAATCCCTCCTTTGCCCCAACTTTTCTTTTACTGATGCACATCAATTGCATCAGTCTTTAAACACTCAAAACCATATATGCAGTCTCCTCAGAATTGATCCTTGACCTTTTGTGAAATCATTACATTGTATTACTTCTGTTGAAACCTTTCTTAAACATTTAACTCCCATGATTGACCAAGACAGAATTTCACCTTATAATATCAATAAAATATTAGGCAGACAAGTGATGAGAATTAAGAAAAATATCAATTGTGGGATTACTGATTAATCCGATACCAAATTCTCCATACAAACTTAATGAGAATCATTTGGCAGACAGTAAGGAGAATTACTAATGAGATCTCAGGAGTTTAGGGGTTACATGACAAACCAGCTGGTAGGTAGGTTACCATGCTTGCATTATTACTAATTCTGGAAATACAAGTTTGCCCCAGTTTGGACATGATAGGTGATAAAATCTTATTTTATCCCTGAACTTTAGAAATTCTCCTCTGTACCAATTTATAGAAATTACTTGAGTGATTATCAAGTAAAAACTTTTTAATTTCTCTTGCATCTTGAATAGTCCAACCTTTACATCATAACCAAAGACCTCTCTTTTCTAAAAATAACTTTGGACTCCATATTTTTACATAATATTATCTGTCTTTGTAACTCTGTAACCGTAGCTAGAAAATTATTTCCAACTTCTGTAATCTTTTTGTAACCTACAAATCTGGTGAGCATACAGCACATTCATTACAGACGTGCAGCCTGACTTGCACCCTGACTGGCAATTCACAAAGGCACATGTACTGTGCTTACTAGAGTAAGAGCTGTGGTGCTAATTCAATTTTGTTGGCATCTCAAATAATGCGCTTTTTCTGAGGGCAGCACTGATTTGAGTGTGGTGCTTATTCAAAAACTGGATACAACAAAGTTCTACCTTAATTCAAGGATAATAGTGAGAGGCTTCTTTTCATTAATTTCATTGACCCTATGGCTTTGTGGGCAGCGCTTATTCAAAAGTTGGGGGAGGGTGGGTTAAAACTCATTTGATGGTACATTACATCACCTAGCGTGCATAATGAAATATCAAATCTCTAACACTCAAGATATCCAACAGTTTATGTAATATTGAAGCTTTTGAAGGAATTCTTTAAATTAACTCCCAATCCAGGCCACACCACATCTTCTCTTTTCTGTCCCAATTGCAGCATTCATTTGGGATCTGTGCTTTTTCATACATGCCTGTAATGTTTTGACATCATCTTTTAGTCCAACTGACATTGTTAAAAACACTAAACTTCTGGCCACTACAAATAACAAGCCAAAAGCTGGATAATACCCTCCCCTCTAACTAAGTTATAATCCTAAAATTTTTTTTCATCTCAGAAAAATATTTTGTGGTTATTGAAGAAACAATGAATTTCCCACTGGCAATGATTTCAACTACTGTTTGAATATTTTTAACCACAGTTATGGGCATTCTTTTTTAAGCAACTTTTCTTATTTGACAAATACAATTGTATTACTTGCTGTGAGAAAGAACTCTCTATTGAATTAAAGGTGTAAAATTTTGCACATTGATTTGCCTATTTATTGGGCATTTATGGTTTCCCTGTTCAAGGTGCATGGCATTATGATTTACTGTTATTTCAGTGCATAAAGTTTTCGAATTGTTAGACCAGAGTGTTCCTCTTAGCTCTCCAGAGAAAGGATATTAGGAAGTTGCTTCTAATCTTGAGAGCAATACCAGCAATGATACCAAAGAACTTAGTAGACTAGTAATTCATTGCATGTTTCTTGTGATCCGACTGGTCACCTTGGTTGCAGTAGTCATGCTACTGAGCATAATTTTGAATGATAAGTTGAAGGACAATCAAATTATTTTGGTTGATGAAGAATGGAATGATGTAGGAATTAAATCTGGTCATTTTTTCTGGACTTTGCTTTTCAAAACTGCTTTAGGCCACTACCCAACCTCCCCTTGTTCAACTCCTCTCTGGCTTTCCAACCTCTTAGATAACACATAACGCTCTGATTATAGGACTGCCAAGGATCTGGGTGCAACAGGCAAAAGAAACCAGAGGTCCCCTCCATCTCCCTTGCTTGAGAATATTTATTTTGCTTCTTTAGAATCGTGGGTAATACCGAATGACCCTAAGTTCCCTCCTATTTTGAAACGGTTTTTTTTTACTTCTTTAGGGTCGTGGGTAATACAGAGCCCATCAATTGCAAACTTAACAACTAGTAAAGGAAAAAGCCTATTGTGTATTCTAGGCCAACCCTTCGTTTGATTCCTTTGTTAAAATAAAGATTATTTCTAAACCAAAAGCCCCCTGTGTAAAGTAAAGACCACGCCTCGTCATGAGATTAAAAATTTTACTGATGTTCAAACATTATCCAAATTTCTACAATACTACAGCTCTACAAGAATAGCAAAGCTGGCGCAAGCTGAAGCAGAGCACTTAGTCCAAGTTCTATTAAAGGGAAAATGAACTATTGATCGACAAACTTTTTAAATAGGACTTTTTTAATCAATGGTTCGTTGTCTTTCTCTAAACCCTTTAACTCCCAAGATCTGATTCCTAATTCTCCCCTCTAGTTGCTATACCTTTCCTTGTAAATTGATTACGAGAATTGGGTGTTAGCTTAAGATAACAATTTCTACCTGATAAGTTTGAGTATTCTCATGACCGATTTGATGGATAAAGTATGAAGAGTATAGAAAGAAGAAACATGTTAATCACTTCTGGGAGTGAAAGGGTCAAGAGCGAAAAAAGCGGTCGACCCCGATGTCTGTCTCCGATGCTTACGCGAACAAAAACAACCCGTAACATGAAGTAGAGGTTTTGGAGCAGTTGAAAACAAACGTTAATAATTTTCCAACCAAACACTGCGTGAAACGTTTGAAACACTCGGCATGAGATGTAGTAAACCCTGCGTGGACATGAGATCCGTATTGGGAGAAAACTGTGCCCGAAGTGTTTGACATGGTATCAAGTAGAAGGTTTTTCCCTGTATAGACCTGTCAACAGGTAAATAACATACCTATCTGTTTTCTAAGTTTCCCCTCAGTTTGGAAAATCACATAGAAAGCTTTCCTTTCACTAGAAATATAGAAGAGGTAAGACGAGCTAGAAATGTGTAACGTATCTCGGGTGAAAGAGCAATGCAAGACGAATATGACAGAATAGATGATCCCTTAGTGTAGCCTGCGGATCAGTGGAGACCAGCGCCACGCGAGCGGGTACAAGTGCGAGGCGAGCGTGAGTGGTAAGCGAGTTACGCGTGAGGGGAGGTGCTACTTTGCTCGTCGCGCCTGTGGAGCCCGCTCGCGCTAACTTCCGCTGGCCTGAAAAAAACGAGAAATGACAACTGTGTTGCAGGATAAGTTAACTCTGGTGGAACTTGAAATTATTGGTATCCAGTTTTTAACAACAACCTGCGGGCAGACTTTCGATAGGTGCTGCGGCACAATTGTCGAGGAACGGCTCGAGACGCGCACCTCTCCCGCTCTACTCGAGGTTACCGCTTTTCCTGCAGCGCTAATGAGAGTCTGCTTTTATGCCGGCAAGGCTGTGTTCACAGAGCGGTCCTCCCGCCGTGCTAATCACTGCCTGGTCGTATACTTGAAAGACTGTGTTTATAATCTTCCTCTTCAATGCGTCTCGGACGCAGATGACTTTGATGTAAGTCCATAAGAGTCCATAAGAATACAGTCAACAGTTATTCAACGAAGCAAATGTGAAACGTGCAGGAAATTTACTAAACTGCAAAGCAGAGAGGTGAATATCCACCATTTAACCGAACGGAGAGAAATAATTGTTTTGATAAATACCACAAGATAACTAAAGAAGTAATTTCTATCGGTCAATATAAGGAAGCATGATCGCAAATTTAACTCTTGACGCGCGGTTTTGTCTTTTCGGAGATGGATAGTACTTGACAATCACTTCCCAGCTGGGCAATCAGTGCGCGCAATAAGCACTGTTACCCTGGGCTGCACATGTAGCGAAGGGAGAAAAAGCATTAAATCTCGACTGAAATCTCATTGATTCAAGAAAGAAATGAGAAAACAGAAAAAAAGAATTTGGAAACATGATTATCATTTCTTAACTATTCACCACACAAAGAACTTATGGAAAAAATTTACAAAATGCAATTGACTTTTAAAATGCATGATCTAAAAAAAATCATCATAATTTTCACTGAACAGCATCGCAATTTATGTTATCTATCCCATAAAAGCTCCTAAGATATAGCATCCCTTACAGATGAAAAATCTCTGCCCGAGGCACTGCAGCATATTGCAAGCAAGAAATGAATCTCATGTTAAAATACACGCCTGAGGTCTCCGTGGTCGCTTTAAGTTAAATCAGTCTCACTTAGAATCTTTCCTTGACTGCTATAAGAGACCAGGTAGTTTCCATGGTAACCGCATAAGTGACAGCTGATGCACCGTGGTACTTGACAAGCAAAGCCACCATTTTACTCTGTGCAAATAAAGAATTATTTAATGCTGTAATTTCGGAATAAGATTGTATAAATAGATCACACTCTATCTGCGTTTTTGCCTACAGTTCGTCCTGACGCAAATTATTTTAAACACACAGTCACTTGTTCATTTTTTCAGTCTCAGAAAAAAACTCTTAAATATTAAATTCCTCTAACGCAGCGTGAAAGCAGTGTGAAAAAAGGTTCTTTAGAATAAAAGTGGCCAGACTTTTAACCCTTTAACTCTCAGATCAAATTTGTAATTCTCCTTACTGTCAACTATACAATTCATATACTGTTAGTTTAGAGAATTTAGCATTAGATCAACTAATTATCCCCAAATTAATATTTTTCTTCATCTTCGTGACTAATCTGGTTGATACTGTATCGATATTGTAAGGAGAAATTCTGTCTTGTTCACTCATGGGAGTTAAAGGGTCAAGAGCCGATAAGGTTGTATTTAGCCTGAGCCCGTCTAAGAATTAACAGCTGATTTGAGAGACAAGAACCGCTTACGTACCAGACCTTTCTTTAACCCTTAAAACGCCTAGAGTGACTAGCATCAATTGAAATTTGTCTCTTCAATATCACCCCTGAATCACGCGCTAAGGTTATGAGAATAATAGAAATGATCACCAAGGAAAGAAGCTTATGACTGAAAAACAAATTCTCCTTTTCAGCACCTTAGAAAATGGATAAAGAGCAGTATGGAGAATATGCATACTGATGTTATGGTGTAAGGGGTAAAAGAAGAAAACTCAACCTCTTTTTTCCAACTTACCTAAACAACGCGGGCAGCATTCATTATCATCCCGGTAATATTCCTTACATGAAACCTCTTTGCATATTATTTCATTACACTGAACTTCTCCATCCTACAAAAAAAGGGTTCTTTTGTTATCCCCATTTAATCACTGCAGACAGTATTCCTTAGCATAGTGGCACTGTGGGGACAGCAGTTACTCCCGGCATTTAATGAACAAAAGGGAGGGGGGCGGAATGGGGTGGTAGAGGAAGGCGGAAGGGGGGAGGGTAGAAAGGGTCGAAAGGGGGGAGGAGTTGGCGGAGGTGGGAGCTGCAGGGAGGTGGCGGTACATTAAAAATTTTTACAAGGAGATCCCCTGTTCCCGAATCTAATCCCTCCTGGTTACCATCATGGATATATTTTTAACAACACTTCACTCGAAGATTTCATTCGCATCGATCCACGCGAGGCCATGCAATATCATCTACATGTCATTCTAAATAACATTTATTAAGGTAGAGTAGTACCTAATATGAATGAACCACAAATGGCCAATGGTAGAAAGGTTTTAGACGGACCGCAAATCACGACATAGGAGTCATCGATCAGGCAAACATTTTCAAAATGTACAGCAATACCAGCAGAACAGAAGGGGAGAAAGGTCTTCTGCATTAGACAAAGAAGTGATTACACTTGATTTGAAGATTATGAAAACAAAGTCACTTACTTTGCATGAACAATGGGTACAAACATCTTTTTGCCACGTTTCCCCCTCTTGACGAGCACTGCCTTGAACAACTCCACAACTTCTTGTTTCTTTCGTTTTTGCTTTTTCTTTTGTTTCTCCAACCTGTTTAAAGAATTAGCATATCAGTTAAATTTTTAAGCTGTAGAAAGCATTCACCTGCCTAACCCCAGTCTGCGCGGCCATTCATTTAAGTTCGACTTTCGCGCGGATCATGCAAATTAAAGGTAAGAGCTCGAGTTAAAATGCAATCCCGAGAACGTTCTTATGCCAGCCGTATTCCAAAATCGTCACGTAAATTGCCCCGTCGTCGAGTGTCGCATTTATGTTATTGGTTTTTTTCCTTTGTTATTCGTGTTTCCTGTTATTCGTTTGTTCTATGTCATTTCCAATCTTGTAATTAGTTGTTCCGTTCTTAACGTGTTATGTTCGTAATACTATATATACTGGCAATGACGTGTAAGTAGAAGGGCTCGATCGAGTCGTCAAAAAAATTAAACTCCTCTTAAATTCATAGCTGGTGAGTTGGTTACATAAGCTACCTTCATACAAAATCTATTACAAGTAAAATGAGCAGTATATTAAGTATAAAACAGGAAAACACTATTCAATATTCATGCTTCACCCAAAGGTCTGAGGTTCGATTCCTCATGGGAATCCAAATTTTTTCTTTGTTCCACGCTCGTGACAACAGGATAAAACATCTCAATCAATGCTTCCGATATCTTAGACCAATTAGATTAAAAAGTTACATAATTTTAATGAATCATTAAGTTTAAAACTAAATCAAAGACAATAGCCACAGCATTTCCACGCGTTTAGAGGTCAAGCAAGAGACGAAATCTTGGTTCAATTTATGATTGAGCGCACGCGTCTTTCACGCATTTTACAAGTGTATAATACGTATAATACGTATAATACATTTGCAAATATGGCGCTTGGAACCAGCTTTAACGCGACTTCTCAGGATAGGCACTCGCCTGTTTTTGTAGACTTTTAAATGCGTCTTCTAATGTGGCCAAAGTGTTTGCCATTTTTGCTACTGTATTTTCAAGAAGTTGAACTCTTTTGTTCAAACTCAAAATGTTTTCTTCCGAAGTAAACTCAATTACTCCTTCTTTTTCGTCCTCGGTTGGCGATGTAACAAGCTTCTCTCCTTCTTCCAAGTTCGGATCATTATTTTCTTCCTCTTCCGCGTGTTCTTGCTCTTCTGTTTCTGAGAAATATTCCTCCACTGATCGCTTAAACAGACGTCCCTGAATATGATTGCTGAACGTAGGGGTGTTGTCTGGGGTGGAGCAGTGACCTGATGACAGGAATACGTAATTAGCAGGACTTCGAATCAAGTTGACAAGGCTAAGCTGGCGATATTGCCAGACACAACCCTGTTCTAATACCACACGGTACTTTCATTATTTCTGTATTTGACAAAGTACTGCATTTGACAAAGTACTGTTTTAAGGAACAGTACAGTTTCGTGAAAGCAAGTAATGTAGGTTAGCCAGTGCCCCTGGCATGATTGTATGTTAGATAATAATGTTAGTGCTGTGAATTGTGTAATTTGTGGTAGTAGATCTTGAAAATGAATAAGCTAAAAATACAGAACTCTTTACAACATCAAGGGGATGATTTGTGGTGGCATGGGAACAATTGCAGAGAAGTTTTATATCAGATCACGTTAAGTTCCTCAAGAAAAAACAACAGGATTAAAAAACAACGACTCGTATATGAAGTAACATTACTTAAGTGACTTGATACAAACCCTGCTCGCAATATTTCCACATGCGGAGATCCATGCGGGGAATGGAAGAACACGACACATATCCCTCGGGATAGGTGGCGCGGAGAAATACGTCCCGCTGAACCCGGTCAATCGCATCCCCGTTGTCACACAACACGCTGGCCAACGACGTTTGTTTAATTTGAATCAACTGAGAATGATCAAAAGTGGATGGGCTTTCATACCAGAATCTAAAGGAGGAACGAAGACGTTAGCACTTCTTAGTTTTCTGAGGGGAGTTCAGAGTCTTTTTCTAGATTACGCAATATCGGTGAAAGGGGGCCACGTAGCAATATCCTGCGTCCTAAACAAGTCTTTGAGAGACATGAAAAATTGAAATAACAAACTTCAAAGGGATGATATTTTAGAAAGAAGGAGCAGGATGGCTACGAATGACGAGGGTTGACACGGATTCCAAATGACAAGCTCAAAAGATCCAGGTAAAATGTGACAGAGCGCCTTCTAATGTATGCGGATAAAGGGATTTTTCTCATGAAATAAAAACAGAAAAGGAGTCAAAAGGTCTCTGCTGCATGAATTATAGTTAGATTCCATGGTGTGAGATTCCTGTTGGCTTGATAGAAACCGAGAGAGAAATTAAGTTTAAGTATGGCTTTCTCCCGGCCATTCGCTTTCAAATTGATTTTAAAAGAATTCAACGTTTACTACCAAGATCTTTGGTATCAATCCCAAATACTTCTTATAATTCAAGATTGGAGAAATTGGAGTTTAATCATACAAAACCCATGCGTTGATATTTTTTAAATTTTCAATCCTAGGCAAAAAGTTCTTTTTGGTCACTCCTCGAAGTGAAAGGGTCAAACCATTGAAGAATTTTTGCTGTGTCCTAGAGATCTTATTTAAAGGTTCTCTTCCATTAAGACTACGCTGCTAGCTGTCAAGCAATCTAAAAAAAACAATCCAAAGTATTCCATCAGTCTAACAATCAGCTGGACAATTCTAAACTTCAATATCAGACACGCAAACTTGGATTCCTCAAGCAGCTACTCAACGAATCTTTACAGTTCGAATCATTCAGTCAGTTTATCGCTATCTTGGATAAACCTCGTAACAAGCAACTATTCGGGAAAGGAGTCTACGCAGAGCACCTCAAAAACAACCCATAATCATTCGGCCATCGGACATTTTGTCCTGGAACATTCGCGTCAACAGGAAGAACGGAAAGTAATTCTAATCTGTTCTTACCTATCTCCAGCTCTCGTTCGTCTAAACTGTTCAGCAATGATACAAGTAAATGTTGGTCCAACGAGGGCACCAGGTGCCAATTCCTCCAGGAGTCCTCCCACCCACAAGTCGATGTTTGATGGGTGTTGATACAGTTCTTTCAACTTGGCGCGAATATCGCCATCCACAATCTCGTTTTTAAGATCATCAAAGGTTTCTACCACGGAAAGATTGCAAAGACCGCGCCAACTATTGTATCCTGCAAGAAACACGTAATCAATTTATACACAGGGAAATAATCTTTACTAAGCAGTTCATTTGTTGCCTTTTTATGTGACAAATTTCATCGAAGTTATTTACACGTCTTAAGAGTTTGTGAAAGTGAAGGTTGACGAAATATTGAGACGAACCAATAAACGTCCTGTGAAACTGGAGCAGCGCATTCATAAACCGAGTTATCAAGCAACCTTGGTTGCATTATTTACCACTAAGCTAAAGAGACAACATACCAGCTTTATCTAACACATACCCTGCATACTGCACATCACAATAATCAACATTTCAATTTAAGATGGTAAGGTGAGGCAGGTCTACAAATAATATCACCTCGCATACCTGGTAACGCATGATCCCGTCCTCTCTGTATGTTAAGGGCACCAAGATCGAGGGCTACCTCATGAGCCATTTCAAAGAGCCTCTCTGTGAGCTCCGAATTTATAAGCTGATGCTTGTCATCTCGACTCTTGGCGGCCCTTCCAAAGAGCCCGCGCAAAATTGGGTCCACTCCACCCTCGTTGACCAGCCGATAGGGTGAGAAGAACGCTTTGTGTAGAGGAATATTTCCTTGCTCGATTGGTTGAAAAGAAGAGTTGAGACGGAAGAGTATCGGATTGATTAGTCCGTGACCAAACCTAAAGGCTGCTGTTGCAAAAGCGTTAACGATCCCTGCATCAATATTTGGTTCGTATCCATTGTAGGTCCCCATGAGAGCCATTCCTTGAGGGCCAAGAATCTTAGGGAGCCATTCGGTGTAGGAAATATGTTGCATCTCGGCCCCCACTATTTTGCGTGCCTCGTGGTACACTTTATCCCCATCCCAGTGGGGATTCAAGTCTCCTAGCTCCTGCGCAATGCGGTTGTGTTCGCGCACCCATATTGTGTGCATCGACAGTAGACCGAGCTGTTCGTTGGCGCGGAAATCTCCCGCAAGGAAACATGGGACAGGACTGTCTTCGGATTGAAGACATTCAATAGGAGTGTCGCGGTTAAAGGGCAGCAAGGGTTTTCCACTGCCGATGCTTGAGTTTGATTTAAGAAGTCCTCTGCTCTCTAAATCTCGTAAGTTCATCACCTCCTCTTTTGATGAGCCATAAACATTTGATGCGTCGATGTACGAGGTGATTTGGTTCATCTGTTCCCGGGGAGTGACAGCACTGAAAAACACGGACGTCATCCCCGTGCCACAAACTGCACTCGAACGAGTAAAAGGCAGACATTTATGCCCATTATTATTGATGCGTTTGTCGTTGTCCGGGATTGCGATAGGAAAACATGGTGGCTGATTATCACAAAACCCGTAATTTTTTGTGCAGTCGAGACCATCGCTGAACCTGAGCGTGCTTAAGCTACTGACAATAAAATCGATATCGTGATCGAGGAATTGTCCCCACTGCATCAACATGTGAGTGAACTTTTCATCTTCGCTGACTTCTTTAGATGACACCAGTTCTGTAGATACAAGACGCGCGCTCGGGCGCCCCTCCGTGTCCTGCCAACCCACCGGCGTGTTGTAACCATTTTCGTAAACGGGACTTAGCAGACGTTTGAAAGGTGTCAGTGAGGCTCCCCACATGGAATGCTGTAGATTGTTGCATGTACCATCGATCGTGCGATACTTGAGGTGGAAGCACATGTCGGAGCAGTTATTGATTCTGCGATGAGCGCTACATCCAGACAAGTTGGCAATAACACTGACGTGCTGCGGAGACAACAGATGAAAGAAATTGTACTTCTCGTTGCTAATGTTTACCCTATCCATTTCTTTGACGTGCTCGTGGACAAGCTGGATCGTGCGTTCGAAGATTTCGGCAGATTTTGCGATCTGTTGTGCCGCAGGCGAGGGAAAGCGAAATAAAGCGAGAAGATCGCTGGGTTTCCTTGGTTGTGAAGAAGAAAACAGCATTTTTATGCTGGCGTTTATTGCTCTGTTAACGTTTTCCCTGGCTATACCAATTGTTCGGTTGATAACATCAATGCCGATACGGTTTTCATCCGAGGGAACTGAAAGGCAAGATTCCTCGTTCGTTTTAATGCTATTTCTAACACTAACATAATTTAAGACTACCATGTTCTACAACGTGCTTCCTTAACCATGTGTGAAATTCACGGGAATAAGGCATGCATATCGAGGAAGCGGCGGATTTTTTGATGGCTGGAGGCATCCTAGCGAGGTAAATCTTTACTATCTTGTAAACATACACAGTAACGCCTTCCCCCCTCACCCCCCTTTCCCTCAGTTTAAATGAGATCTGTGTCTTCAGCAATAGCAAAAAACTTTCAGGAAGTATTAACGTTTCGTTTAGGGTAAATTGAACAATTCATGAAGGAGTCGTACCATCTCTTCCTGGGGAATCGCTCCTTTTAAAACGCAGCAAATTGTTTTATTTTTGTTTCACTTTCATTGTACTTTGACAAAAATAGACGGCCATTGTGCTTGATGCTTTCCGGGAGGAAAAATTCTAAATAGAAAATAAAAATGGCAAAACTGACCGACGCTATTCTAGCCAGATAATATCCTGTCATGATGATTGTACAGAGAAAATAGAATTTTGTCACTGCAAAATTCCTGGAAATAATAAATGCACGAGTAAATGGAGGTGAAAGTCAAGATAAATCTTACTCTGTACTGTTAGTGTCATCTGCGCAGACGCGGCGCCAATGCTGTTGCGTGCTGCGCATTCGTAACGCCCTTCATCAGTCTTTCCAACATCCCGGATGCTTAAGGTCCCGGATTTGCTCACAGAGTACCTGTTCGCTTCTGTGATGTGTACATTGTTTTTGATCCATGTTATTATTGGCTTAGGGGCGCCATAAGCTGAACAGCGAATTTCAACTGTGCGACCAGCGGTCACAATGATGTCTGTGGGGGATTCCACAATGGAGGGAGGAACTAAAAAGAAAGTGATGTAAAAACAAAATAAAAAGAGAAGAAAAGAGTTACTATTAACCCTTTCACTCCCAAGATCTAACTAGTAATTCTCCTTACTATCTGCCATACTATTCTTATGATGTTAGTTCAGAGAATTTGGTATTGGATCAACTAATAATCCCATAATTCATATATTCTTCTCTATTCTCATCACCTGCCTGCTTGATATTGTATTGATATTGTAAGGAGAAATTCTGTCTTGGTCACTTATGGGAGTGAAAGGGTTAACATCACATCTATTAGTGACGAACAAGTCTCAGGCTCTGAACGTTTGCTGTTGGCGTGCCCTTGAACTTAAACAACTTCTGCCTGGTCTCCAACTTCAAAAAAACAATGGCTACGAGGAATTCAGTAGTTTCTAGCGTTAATTCCCTGGGATTTCCCTTGGATATATAAAGGATATCCCCGCTGCACTGCCTCCCGCTAACTAATCGTAACTGAAGTCATTCGTCTAACCTCGAGGTTTCACTGTCAGAAATGCTCTCGCCAGTCTCACTCCGATAATGTTGATCGCTTGGCATTCATACTGTCCCTGGTCATTACGTGACGCAAACAATATTCGTAAAGTCCCGGATGGTAGGACAATATGACGGTCTGGTGACGGAAGTCGGTCGCCATCTTTGGTCCAGGCGATAGCTGGTAGTGGGTAACCGCTGACTCGGCAATTTAATTCCGTCGTACTTCCCTCTAATACTTCAGTATTTTCGGGTCTTGTAGTAAATTTTGGTTGAGCTAAATGAATGGTAAAAATTAAAGAAAAAAAAAAGAAGAAAAAACGCGTTGTAAAAATATTTTCGGGATCTGTTTTCTCAAGTATCGTACACGCTGCTTCAGCTGATCACTTAACAGCCAGCAGCAAAAACGAACGGAACACAAAAGGTGGGCACAACTGCGTTTTGTTTTTTCGCTATTTCGAAAGCAAGCAATCGCCTTCGGCACCTAATTTATAAATCGTTCTCATTCTATTCCAAGATCCTGTGCTGGTTTTTAAAGTTGCAAAACCGATAGAAAGAGGTTTTTTTTCTAAGATGTCTCTTATTACCCGTCACAGTCAATCTGGTCGTCGCTGCCACGGCTCCAGCCCTGTTGGATGCGCGACATCTGTACATCCCATGATCAACGACGCGCACTTCCGGAATGTACAAATCCCCAGATGGCAAGACTTTATAATGATGAATAAAGGCCAGCGGTGTTCCTTCTTTAGTCCATTCGATAACAGGCTTAGGGTTACCGCGGGCGCGGCAAGTGAAAGTCACTGGGTTGCCTTCAATAGATTCTACCTTGGAACGAGGGTACTGGACGAGGAACGGTGGAGCTAGGATTTAACACGACAAGTTGTCAGCTCAGATAGCAGCTGCAGAATAATTATACAAAGCTTTTAGATTTAATATGGAGAAAATCCACTTATCAATGGCTTAGGGAAGGTTTTCGAAAGGAATACCCCATGAAAAATAAAGGGGTGTCTTTCACAAGGAAACCAAAAAGGGAATGTTCTGCTATGGTGAATTAGCAGAAAGTCAATTTTAGTCGGAAAGAGGGTGAAATGGTATTCACACCAACCCTTATAAATCATATGCGACCTCCTACATATTAATATACTGACACAGAGTATCATTTTGTACCTTCAATTCCATGATAATTTAGTGCTGCCTTACTGACGATCTCCCCAGCAGAATTTTCTGCCACGCACTCATAATTTCCTTCATCGTCAAACTTAGGATCAATAATACTTAGCGCGCCGCTCTCGCTCATGACATGACGTGTGTCCGGCTTTAGGGGTTTGCCGTTTTTCCGCCATGATATAGTCGGTGTTGGGTTGCCTGTGGCAAGGCATCTGAACAGCACCTGACGATCTCGCACTGAGACTTCTATGTTGGCTGGCGTTTTTACAAACGATGGGGGTACTGGGAATGGAAACAACAGATCAACATTAATAGCTGATACCACTGTCCACTGCATGGACGAATACCTTTTTTTAAGGAAGTATAATTAATAAAACGTTCAAAGACATAACTCTTGTTGATATCAAAAAACTTCCGTATTATCGAATGAAGCCTGAAGTTTCTATGAAACTCTCATATCCAAGAATTGCGAAACGATCGTTGATTCTGCGAAAAAGCCAGCGTAGTGAGGAGTGGTGAAAACGTAGCGAGAAAACTGTTTGAAAGTAAGCTTGGCGTTATACTCAGAAACTCGTTGTTTTTTTTTCCTGAGAAACTCAACAATTTCTTCCACTCCTCCAGAAAAAATTATTGATTATAAGATGGGGACTCAAAATAGACAATTGCCTTCAGTGAGCCCAGTTAGGCTTGTGGGTAATTCATTAGAGGAAAAAATAATTTAAAACCCTTGCAAAATCGTAGGGGGAAGTACACCAAACTAACTCACTGCAGTTGACGTCTTCTGGAGTAAGACGCACTAAAGCTGTCCCTCTTAGGTGGGGTGGTTCACCACAAGTAGCCGCTGTCTCCGTATTTGGTGTCTTCTTCAGCAGCTGAGAAAGCCACAGGACATCACAGGTACAGTTCAGTGGGTTAGAATCGAGTCGGCTGCGGTTAACAACAACCATACCTTAGCTTAAGAATTTCGCGCTTTCAATTTCATTTCTTTTTCGATAAGTCTTGCGCCTGTTCGGGTTACAGAGGATTTTTAGTTTGGAATTCTAATTCTTAATTCCGAAAAAAATTGCCCAAGATCGATTTGGATGTCGTTGAACCAACTCCAAAGATCATAACGTAAATCCATAAGAACCTTAATGGGTAACTCTAAGTTTTATGAACATAGTGGTGACCGGTCAAGTTGTCCGAAAGGCACTACGACCGAAGTTATAAACTAGAGTTATATCGACCAAGGGTTTTTAGTCATGTTGGCCGAAACCCAGCATTTTGTCGCCCGAGATCTTAATTTGAGTAAACAGGAGAAACACGGTGAGTTGTTTATGAGATCAGGCCTAACTGTTCTTCACTTCAGCCTCTCTGCTTCAAGCAGGAAATGACCTGTAACACTTAACACTGTTAACTAACAAAGGCTTACAGATAGCAATGTAAATCCATGGGAACTTCCTGATTCTTGGGTATGTCTAAGTTTTATGATCACGAGAAGAGTACCGTATAATTTTTAGCAGAAAGTGACCGAGACATCCAAACTTACAGTCTTCTTAATGACTCCAGATTTTTAAACAATCCCCTTGGAACAGATCTTAGGCGGTTGTGATGAAGATACCTGAAAAGCAACATGAGTTATTTTATATCAGCCGTCTAAGCATTATTGAGATCAACCCAGAAGAACTAAACAAAAAGAAAACAAACTTTGAACGTTTGATTTTCGAAGCTTGAACTTACAATCGTTCAAGAGCTGTAAGGTCATTGAATGTGAATGCGGGAATGTCTTCTATTTCGTTCAAGTGTAGATATCTGCAAAAGGTAAACATTTTTATTTCATTAAATTGGATAAAACACTAAGGAAACGACGAGGCGTTTTCAAAGAGAGTGAAGACGTATCTTTCAAGCAAGCATTTCATTCAACGTTGCTTTTAATGAACGTGGACTTGTAGTTTTGAAGTCATACTCAGTAATTTTAAAAGCTTTTCTTGGCAATTTTCAATATCTAAGAAGGCCTATTTAAAATGGCCCCTTATTTCAGGGAGTGGGGGAGGGGGGATGTGACTGATGCAATTTTACTGAGGCAGTTTGAAATTATCTTTAAAAAGCATGTACACTGACTTAATCAAATGTTTCACAAAATGCGCTCGGTACCCTGCACCTGTAAGATAATGCATTCATCCCTATTTAAAACCCCTGCATGTAAAAAAAAAAAATCTAAATAAATACCAGCCCTCCTAAGGAAACAGCATTTCGATATCTTCAGTCACGGAAAGTTTATTTGTAAACCCTAAAGACCTGAATGCTATAAACAAGAAGAGTTCTGGGTTTGTTTTTCCCTTTACTTACAACTGCTCGAGAGAACGAAGGCCACTGAATGCATTCTCGTGTATCCGTTTAAGCTTATTATTGAACAAATATCTGCAAAAAACCATTAAATACAGTTGTGGATATATTTGCAGTTAGATAGTAATGCGTGAATCATTTCACGCTTACTGGATGATGATATCAAAAACGTTGGCTACTTACAAATATTTGAGTGATACTAATTCTGTAAAGGCCTCTGGCTCAATAATTTGAATGTTATTACCGCTAAGGAATCTGTCGGAAGTTAAAAACAGACGTTATAAGTACGTTACAAACTGCACTGTAAATGTAACAACAACAAAAACAAGTCAAATTAAAATGATCAAAATACTGAACGATAAAATTACTCACAGTGTGGTGAGGTATCGCAGCTGTGCCAGGTCCCCATTACTGATTACTGATATATTGTTGAATCTCAAATCCCTAACAAAAAGAGAAATATATATATACTTATAAAGGAACAATAAAATGCGAAACAGTTATGAAAACAGAAGGGTTGTTTTTGAGAGAATGCATTGAGCACAGTAGTTTTGTTTCGACAGAGCACTGGCAACCGCAGAACTTTGCTCAGGTCCAGTAAAAAAGCCCTAAAAAATTGAAAGGCACCTAAGAGTGTTATCACTTCCAAACAGTGTTTTACATAAATAAAAACTATGCGCTTCTTATTGGCTGAAAACGAGTGCATTCTCGTGCAACACGAGTGCAAAGTTCTTAAACTAGTGCAAAACACAAATAGCACGCGCACGTTTTCAAAATTTCGTCTGTTTTGACTTTCTGCGATGTTTTTTCCTGTACATTATTACCAAGAAATAACATGATTTCCCTTGCAATTTGGTGTGAATAAGCACTTTTAAATGTTTCAAAGACAACGAATTTTGGTTTTCTTTGAATAATTACTCGTGCTTATTAACACCAAATTGCACTCGAAATTAGGTTATTACTTATACTTTCAAGTAGAAGCCTTCAAGTAAAAAACTTGCACTTGTGCATCCACCTTAGAACTTCGTCCACGATTAATTGCAAAGGGATATTTGTGTCAGGCACTCCTGGGAGTTTGAGTATTATTAAGGGTCTAGGAAACTTAATCTTTTGGACTTCGGCCCAACCAGATAACTGGCAGAAGTGATTTGAAGATATAATCTAAAATCCTACACACAACTAAAAAAATTTAAAAAAACGTGTTTTGGTCTACGTGATTCGAGAGGGTTTAAGAAACAATCGTGGATGTCTATCAAAAACAACTGATACACAAGGTTAAGAAAAGCCACTGGAAAAAGAACTTGAAGACTCGTTTTTCCTCCTTTCGAAAAATAAATGAGACACAGGCGACAAGTAGAGTTTCAAGTGGTAGCCACGCAAAATAATACCTTTTTGGACTTTATAAGCGTGCCGCCTACATATCATAAATAGACACGTGCCTGTGATTTTAATTCGTTACAAAAAAAAAAATGATATGAACTTTGATTTCTGTTACCTTAACCTGCACATATCAAACGTACCGCTTGAAAGAAATACAACAGCAATGAGATTAAGTTAAGCGAACGGAAGCTTGAAATTCTGCCAGATCCATTTGAAATTTTGTCTTCTTGGGCAAGTCTTGCGTGCTTGATGCCCTAAGCATGCTTTGTCTTTAAGAAAAGATTAACAAGTGACTTCTCTAAAAGTTTTTGCAATATCTTGAGGGAAACAGGTAATGTAAATAGACAAGTTTATGAGCTTGGAGATGTTCTCTTGATCTGATCAAACACCCAATTCTCTCATGCAATTTCTGAGAAATTGTATGGCAACTAGAAAGGAGTGTTTCTAAACAGGTACCTGAAGTGAAAAGCGAGTTTGGTTGTTTTCAGTCTCCAATTTTTTCTCCAACCTGTGAAATGTCTCAACACTAAAAAAAAACTTCAGTTCAGCTAAATTTCTGCTCAACCCTTCAACTTCCAAGAGTGATTAGCAAGCAACTTCTCCATGCAATTCCAATAACTTATCTTGTAAATAGGTTACGAAAACAGGGAAGGTTATCATCCAGAGGGTGTTATTTTGGAATAAGACCAGATTCTCCTGTCTAACTTACAAGGAAAGGTAAAGTAGTAAGTATGGATAATTATCCATTTGAACTTTGGAGTTACAGGGTTAAAAATTTTTAGAAAGAAGAAGAGCTTAGACAGAATAATTTAAAGGTGCAACTCATTTACACAGTTGATGACAAACAGCACTAAGTATCACAAAGCTAAATTCGTCCGCCTTGCCCAAATAAGACATCAATGGAAGTAATCCGAAAGATTAGCTTTTTAATGCTCTTATTTAGTTTATCAGCGTTTAAATCTGTATGAGCTAATAATGTTCTCGTTGGTTAATATTAGAACCTAGCATGATCGATCGATCGATAATGAAATCTTCCAAATAACACGCTCTGTTAGATACAGTGTATTTTGTTTCAGTTTGGATGTAGAATGTCTAAAGCTTTCATTTATGGCAGAAAACAACAGACTTTTCCTGTTTAAGATTAAAACGATGTGTAAAATAAATTAAAGTTAAAGCTTGAGAGGAAAATTTTTCTCACTGAATATTGTGGATGTTTTAATTACACAATAAAGAGCTTATGCAACAAGGCAGAAGGCAAAAATTTGAACCGCTTACCGCCTGCTTCGGCTGACGCATACTTAAGTAAAGATAACTGGGGCCACTGTGAAGAGAAAAAAATATTCCACTTTTTCCGAGTATATTTAAGTATAAGAGAAAATTTAGGTAAAATTAGGACTCATTTTTTCACTCTGACGTCGCCAAATTCGTCCAAACCACCCTAAGCCAAAAAGTTATCTACATGTTACATAAACCCCATTTTTTAAAATAAATCTTCGAGCTTTAAGAGATAAGAGTTGTATTGAGACAGTCATTGTTAATCTTCTTAATTCCATAGCTTAGTGAAATGTCTTTGAAGTGGTATAATCCTCTTTCTCTTAATCTGAAGCCTAAGCGATTATTTGCATGGGTGGTGAGTTCACCAACTACTCGTTTTGGTTGACCTTTCCTGCAGTAAATTTGCGTGGGTACGTAAGTCTGGAAATTTGGATTTTTAAAAATAAATTTGACTAAATCACTCTACAACAGGCGTGAGAAATGTGCGACATGCCCTTAGAGAAATTGTTGAGTTGACCTCACAGCTTAAAAGGTTAAACCACAGGCTTGCACGGAAGAACATTGAATTCATATTATCGCATCGAAAAACCGCCCATGAGTAACCATAAAGAGATTTTGAGGGATTTTTTTAATCTCCTAAAATACTTCTTTTGTTTTTGGTTTTATTCTGAGTCAGTTTTCACTGGTTTTTAGCTTCCACGCTAGTTAGAACCTTTTACTGCTTATGACACTGTAATTTCCTTGCAATTTAAGATGGCTGGTGAATAAAGGCTGTTTAGTAGTAGTAGTAATCTTTGGCATCCTCATTAAAGATTACTACTGCTACTAAACAATCTTTATTCACCATCCATCTTAAATTGCAAGGAAGTTACAGTGTCATAAGCAGTAAAAGATACTAACTAGCGTGGAAGCTGTTTAGCGAAACAACATCGACAGCTATTTAAAAATTCAGATTCCAAGACATGTTTGGACAACAATCAAGATGAACTGAGCATGAAATAAAGCAGCGAGGTTATATCATTCAGCTACTCCAATGCGGGCATTCTCTTCGTGTAATAACTAGGTTGAGTGTAATTAACCTTTTGACACCTAAGAGTGACTGGTATCCAATGTCTTACAATATCACCGCTGAATCACACATGAAGTTCACGAGAATTGTAAAGCAAATGATCACCAACTAAAAAAGATCTTGATTGTTAAACAAATTCTCTATGTCAACACATTAGGAAATGGTTGGAGAACAGTATAGGGGATATGTATGCTGATTTTAAGTGAGTAAAGGGTCAAAGTATACTTAAGAATTGGTCGCACTTAAGTTTCACACCAAGAGGAAAAATAACGTTTTCTCAACCAACTTGGGGTATTTTAAAAAACAATGGCCACCACGGGTTGCTCACTTCAACTGTCTGCATTTGATACTGTTACGGTTGCCACAATGACCGCAAATTCTTATAAAACTGAAAACTGTTAGATGTTCATTCACGCATACCGTGATACTAAAACCGCCGAGATCCCTAGAACCTGAAAGAGTTCCTACAAACTTGTTATAATATGGATGGAGAGAAATAATAATAATAATAATAATAATAATAATAATAATAACAACTTGGTGCTCCTTTACGAGCGATTGGATGGTCACCTAATGAAAGGGTTAGCAGGACGTTCAAAAGATTTTAAATTACTGTAATGATTCGATTTAGCGCTTATTCACATTTGGTACCTCAAGGGAGGATGGTTATTCGAAACAGGGCGCTTATTAGGGACAGGGCGCTTATTCCCTTTTTTTGAAACACAGCAAAAAGTAATGAATAAGTATTTGATGTTTATTTGTAAAGGAACAAGGAGACTGGAAAGTGGATTGTTGTCCTTGGATCCTTCCTGACTAGGACGATCAAGCAATCATCGCAAAATTTCAAAATATTTAGATGAGGTCATTCGTTTGAAGGAACTGTGCTCTCACATGAACATAAAAGATACTAATCCAGAGACTATGACGAAGACCACTGTTTTTGTAATGAGGCCACAGTTTATCTCAATGTCTAAACACTCTAACAACCCGTTTTTCGGTATAGGGGTGCTTGTTGGAATTTAGGTGCTTACTCAGTAAGGGCGCTTATCAGAATAGGGGTACTTATTAACAAAAAACAGAATCGAGGTGGGCACTTACCGGAGAGGGGGCGCTTATTGGAACGAGGGCGCTAAATCGAATCATTATGGTAACTATTTTATTTTCAATACACATCCTTTCTACGCATAATTTACACCAGTGCGTAACGCACGCACTGTAACAAGATGCCGGCCTTCATCGTGGCTGAAGCCCGCGAGTAAGCGTGTTTCACAACATCTTCTCTTAAAAGAGCATGGTGATCTTCTTTACTAAAATAATAAGTGTTATTTACCATCAGAAAATAGGTGAGGAAGATGACATATGGAAGAAAAAGTTAATGATCCACTACCTCAAAAAAAGTTGCCAGCCAGCTCAACAAAGGCTGGGAAGCGGCTATTTTGAGGATCGGCTGCGTCGAGCACTTCTGATTGTTTACAAGATCAAGCAATTGAAAACCACGTAATTTGAAAGTTGTGGGTCCCGATGATAATCTAGTTTTTGTATTATAGTGATAACTTTTCCGGTTGTTTAAGTTGAATCACACTCGCCCAGAAAAAAACTCACAGAATCACTGGCATGTAGGTGAAATCAAAACACAGAGGACCAAACTTGTTATTTTAATTTTCGAATGTCCAGCTCAAGGCTTTAGAAAAAAGCCAAGTTTAGAAATAATTCAGGAAAGTATAGCCCATTACGTAGGTAAGGAGTGAGGCCAAATTGCAAGATGGTTTCAAGATTATTTTTCCTGTTGTATACCAATCTCGACATTGATCCCTTAAACCGCATTAAGAATATACGTGTGTGCGTGCGGTTTTTTTTTTACAGCACTTTGACCATTCCAACCGAGTCACATTCAATATATCTTAGCCTATCTTCAACTATGATGATAGGATTCAATCACAAGCCACGAAATCCCTTACATTTTTGTGGTTCAAGGCGGGAATTGACCAGCCCATCCTAATTGATGTTTAGAAAAAGAGAAGTGACTAATTAAAAACATAGTTTTGTCGATCGCAGGAAGTTGATAAGAAAACGGGAAAAGATTCAAATTCAACAAACGTCAAACATGGTCGGAACGTTTACTAAAGCGCGTGTTGCCAACGACTGATGAATGTTGAACTAAACATTGTAATTACTTCTAAATGACCGGCTGAGAATATATGAAAATCATCTATGTGAACTGCGGATTAATTGATGAATACGTGAGTTATCTTCGCAGTAATCATGAACACTACTTAAGTAGTTGTGAAAATAAAACCTAAAGCCAGTTGCTTGTATTGATGACGAGAAATGTTCTTTGACGCGATCAAAAGTTCTTTTAAGTTCATGATTTTTCATTTGTTGACTAAGTCCTGTAAGTGTTTTCCGCCTGTACCTTCTGACACAATTTTGTTCATAGAAGAGAGGAAATCGAAGCAGATTTAGTAATTTATTTGGAACTTTACTTTCAGTGGCAAAACAAGCGAATTAAGTAGAGCAAGTAGCAGCGTCTTTTAGTTAAAGCATAGAGAGAACTAAAACAAAATCAATTATCTTCTTTTCCGGTGAAAATTCCTCATAATTTGTACACCCAGCTGAAAACAGCAATCTAACTGGTAGCATCTTTTACAGTAGTGACACTGAATAACTTTCGATCTGAACATCAGCTTGATAAAACTTCTGAACTTCTCAAGTCTCACATCCAACACAGCACACCACAGAAATGCGTTTCAAAAAGAGCAAATTGTCGCAGCACTGTAGTGACAAATTGTTCTGGTATGAGAAATTGGGGCGTTGAATGCTAAAAATCGCTTTTTCATTTTTGAAGGGCCTGTAATCGGAGCTCTTGACTTAAAATATCAATTTGTAACATAAAATACTCGTTTCTAAGGTCTTCGAAAACTCGTAATGAGAAAATAGAAAAGTGGCTGTCTGACCATACGCCATTGAAATACTTTGCAATGAACTCAATGGGTGACATGTCACGAAATGGGAAGTGTTGTTTTCTTTCATTTCAAGATGGAACAAACAAGTTTTCACAAAACGTTTTATAACTCGCATATTTTGTGAACTGATGGGTCCAAAAATGCGTTTTTTGCGGAAATGACTCAAAATCTCCAGCATTATTCGACGTGGGACGTAAGAGAACTGTCACGAAATCCTTGCGATAACAGTAGTAGATCTTTCGATGAAAAAACTAATTTTAATCTCGTGAAAAAATCTAATGGTTAAAAGTGTGGATTAATTAGTTTGAAGTCAAGCCTAAGTGGCCATGTAATAAAATCGTCAACATTTCAATTTAGAAAGATTTGATCAAACCAAAATGTCTCTAATGGCGTCAAAATTATTTGAGATGCCACTCTCAAATGTCAGAAGGTTGTCTAGAGTGAATTGACCATGGCGGGCAGATGTTTGTGTTCATGCTAAGCCGTTATGTTATCAAAAATCTGTAAAACAAACTTTTCTCGTGTACCTTATTGCGATACATATCCCGGCGCCGTTCGGGCGCAATTTCACTCAAACAATGGGATATGGCACACCGATGGATTGTTTCCTCTTTGAATCGCCGTCATCATAGCGACCGCAAATTTTAACGGGATTATACGATCGCAAGCCCACAATTCGGCAATAATTTGGAGTTTTAAGGAACAAATGTAAAGCATGGTTGATCATCTATCGCATTTGGAAAGAACCCAAGTTTAGTCGGTATTTTAACTCACTCACGATACAAGAGATTCATGTTGTACTTAAATCCTCCCAAAGCCTTCTAAACAAATATCCAATATGACACCGAGTCGAACAGTGAGTTCATTGTGTATGCGAACAGCTCGCACGCGTTTGTAAAGACAATTACAGCGCTACTTACAACACAACAGTCGAAGCTGGAACATTTGGTATTCTTGACAAAGAATGGTGGTTGCAGCGCACAGTTGGTCCGGCATGCGTCCGGTAACATAGACAATTTTCTGGGCATGTAAAGCCACTCCTGGCCAAACAAAGCAGAAGAGCAGCAACGAAAAGTACGCGCCAGAAAGAGGACATTGAACGAGAGAAATCTACAATCAACGTCGACATTTCTCTGGCGCTTGCAACAACATGAAAATTTGTAACCCAAAAGTAGACTAACGTGTACTGATCGGAAGTGTCAGTGAAGCATGCTGTTTTTCTGAGGGTCGAGTTACGTTTCACGTTTCATCTGCGTTTTTCCTGCCCTACCTCTCAAATGACAAATCCTTCGATTGTTTACGCTGACATGACGAGCGGATGTCCTGTCTTGTGCTGAAGCGAGAGTGCACGACCGGCCGGTACTTTGATACAGATCATTCGCCTATTGTTTCCTCAACAATGACCTTGGATTTTAGAGCCAAAGATCGCCAAGATAACAGACATGACGTATGGCGTCAGAAAATGAGAATGACATTTTTATAAACTGACCCGAAAATTAACCGAAGTAAATCCCGAGATCAGTCGCAAATGCACGAAATCAAGAGGGCAGAATCGTCGGAAGGACTCATACAAGTTGCACGCACAGTCTCTTGTCGTAACTCAAACGGTTCAATTGATTTTCTCTTCCTTCGTAGCCTGCATAATGACTTTGAAATGATTTTAAGCCAAAAATGATATGCGGGACTATGAAATTCAGGCTGGAGCGCAAGGGTCAGCTTATTTGATATAAGCATATCGAATATTTTGTAAAAGGATATCCTCCCAGAACCCTCGCGACCAGAGCGAGTATCTACCTCAGAAGTGAAGTTAAATCCGTTTGTGAAAATTTTCAAAAGATGGGCTCCTAAGTGGCTGTATACGCAGGAGATGTCTCGTGAGTTCCGCGTCCCGAAAGTAACACTGGATTAATGATTCAGTTAGAGGGAGGATATGCTGAAGCAACCTCAAGAAAGCGCTATGACTCTTAGATCACAAAAGATTCTAGTGTGATGTACCACTACTTTTTCGTCAAAACGTCAACAAAGTAACAAGGTTTGACGAGACTACCATGACAAGTGCTTCAGCTTCTGTACTAAAAAAATCCGTGTTTTGTGACTTTCCCCAGTGAAAGTTTCCCCTCTTCCCCCCCAATTTTAATCCCACGAATGAAAACCCTTTTTTCATTGAAATGATTCCTTCCGGTTATAAGTTCACTATTTGCATCTCGCTAATGAGCCCCCTCCAATTCTTTTCATCATTGCCCTGATAAGACTCAGTGATGACAGTGCCCAGAGAAGAACCAGGAGAGAATGTCTCAGAACTGAAAGATTATTAGTTGTCTTGTCAAATACGTTAGCAAGTGGAAAGTGCTCTATTAACTAACCGGCTGCGAGGTAGAACTGATTAAAGCACAGGATGCCCAAGCTCTCCATAAGAGGATAATATTATAAAGCTTTGTATGGGAGTGTAGGTTCCGCTCTGTAACTCCGCTAATAATACAAGAAATAAACTCTAACTTCATATAGCATCGTAATATTTGTTTAAGCTGAGCTCTCATCCCATTACTGCCTGCCCTGAAGTAGTCATGGTATTCTTGGTCAAACCAAGAGATTACAATTTCATGGCAGTAAACGTTGTAGCAGCTTGGAAGTGGTACATTATACCATAGTTTTGTGATCCAAGACAGTAGTACTTAGTGCAGACAGAAGTGGGATGAAAGCTCGACTAGAACTCATCGAAATGGCCCGAAATTGCTACCAGAGAACAAAAATAACACTAACGAAACTATTTGACAGTTAGATGGTTAGATAGTCTATTTGCTTCATTATTTACGGATTTACAGAGTGGAGACTAAACTCCCATAAAAAGCTATATAATATTGCCTTCTCATGGAGAGCTTGTGCTCCCTGTTATCGAAGTCTGATCTTATTGTCTCCTCAGTTCATCTACAATTAGACTTAGAGTTTGAGTTTTGTGTTTTTTCTTCTTCAGGTAATGAAATATGGTTTTGTTACCTTCTCAATGCAGTTTGTTCGGAAACGTTATGCGTTTCCCGCTTATAATCCGTCTACAGATACAAACCACCAAGGATACCAGCTCCTTAGAAGAAATAACAGTGCACTGGAAGCTTCTTAACCATGCAGACCCGAGGCTAAATGATAGCGAAGAAAAAAATTGGGGCGAAGCAAAAATTTTAAGACGAACGACAACTGGTCAGCTGTCAATTTTAGTTCACTTTCCAGCCTTTCATGACCAAAACTTGAAAAATGGTTTCAATTTGATTAAATAAAAGCCAGTTATTTTCTCGGCTAAAAGACTGAGGTTTGATCTAAATTGGCGCAATCAAAGCTAAGTGTCAAAACATGTAATGTGCTATTTGATGTAGCAATACTTGTCAAGTGAATCGTGGAGGGACAATAAACAGGTATCACGCCGGCCAATTGAGTCCCGTTTTTTTTTTTGTCGAACTTCCGTTGCTTTTGCTCATAAATTATCAAACACTTAAGGACTACAGGTTTCTCAGTTCCGTCTACAGGTCTTCAAAAAGTTTTGATTCACGCCGGGATATCAGAGAGCTGACTGGCGGAGGTAAGTCTTATTTAGAAAACACTTTTCGACAAAACGAAGATATTGGTAGACAACTTTTTGTTTACATTGTCTGACAGATAGCAATAAATTTACGTACCTTGAACGCTTTATTGTTCCTCTGTGGGAAGATGTTTTTATTGACAAGGCTGCCACTCGCAATCAAGTCAACTATGAGATTGTAATTGGTGCATTTTGGTGCGGTTCATGCAGCTAGGATCTTTGGTTTCTGTTTCGAGATCGTATATGCTTCGAAACTTTAGTCCAACATGACATTTTTTCTTCTTCTTCGTGGTTTTTTTTATTATAAAAGTAGAAAAACTTACCTGTTTTGAGTAACTGGTGACGGACAAATGAGAACCGACAGGGACATATTATTTTGATGTCAATGGAAAAGCGAAGGCGGACGGAAACGTATTCAAATCAAATCTCAAAACTCATTTTAATTGTTCCGTTCAAAATTAAAAGTTATGTGGCGACGAGATCTGTAGCCGAACTCTGCCTAACTAGCCGCTGATACTATTAATAGATAAGGAAAAGTCCTAATAGAAAGATTGTGATAAGATTAATTCTGCTCCCCTTACAGTTATGACTAAGTGAACAATATTGTTAAGTGACATTCATATGCACAATAAGGTTTTCAGAATTATTGTCAGCTTTAGTTTTTTCATCGAAAAGGAAATAATGAAGATAAATTTATATAACTGCAAGCGTTGAAGCACCAGCAACTAAGGTGTTTGTCTAATGACTTATTTGATCTGGTACCTCCCCTTTCCCGTGAGGGTATTGCATGGTTGATTGGGTAGAGTTAGCTTCCTGTTTTACAAGTGAAGTGAAGTGTCCCACTCTCCCGGATCCATCGACGATTGCCCAAGCATGGAGTAACGAGGAATATTTTGCCACTCCTCCACGACGGTGGCACGCTCTACGCTCTCCTCCACCTTCCCTTCCCTTCAGGCTTCCTTAGTTCCTTGCAAATTTGTTGAGACTCATTTAAAATCGTAAATAAATTATTGAGGCCTTGTTTCACTCACTTCTCATTCAAGACCCGGTCAGAGCCCGAACCCATACCTCTCGCAGTTACGTTCAGCGCACTAACCATTAGACCGCCGCTTTGGTGGCAATATTATCAGTTGTCAGAAAAGCGGATGAGAAAAATCACTGAGGCAAACTTCAAATCTTGTGCAAAACCTCAACTTACACCCACATAACGCAATAATATTAACAGAAATTGCTTCCATTGTTCACCGTTTCTTTTAAGAAAGTAATGATTAAAAACCGCATTCTCTACGCTCTGTCCATATTCATTTCGAGTCAACTTACTCGCGTACAGTCAATTCAAAACTTTATGCTTAAATGTCATTGCACATGAAAATCCTGAAACTATGGTTGATAACGAGAAAACCATAACGCTAACTCCTGATCGTTTCATTTTTTAACGATAGAGACTTGTCAGCCATGTTTCTCCGAACGTGTTTTGGAACTGTGTTTTTGTTCGTGGTGACCATCAAAGCTGCCCCCTCTCCCATCCCCGAAGACCTTCAGAAGCCGTCAGGTAATGTGAGGATGTCTTTTGAAGTTCCAAGCCACTATTCCAATAGTCATTCTTTCAGAAAGCAACCCACACCCGCTGCTGAAAGATATTTTTACTGATTCAAAATTTTAATAGACGAAAGACCTTTGGGGTAAGGCTGTGTAATTTTCACCCCCACACAGACAACGATTGATACCCCTCCGTTACGCCTACAATAATGCGATCCCCCAAAAGTCTCCCCCCCCCCCCCCCCCCACCATTCTCAGTCGATGAATTATGACTGATTCCATAGATGAGTTTTACCAAATTAGTTATTTAATCACTTTTGTTTCAACGTCTGACCCATTCTTCTTGGAGCGAAACCAATTAATGGATTAAATCAGTGGATTTTGGAATAACGGAGGGTCAAATTGTATCATGACGCTTCTTGCAGATGCAGCTTTACCTTATCTGAGTACGTAACTGTAATTGTAAAAAAAGGAATTGGACGTCTGCTATTTTTTTTTTCGACCAGTATTGTTAGAAAGAGACAAGACATCTAACTGGACACAATGTCCTTCTCGCTCCAAATTACGATTAAACCAACTGAACGCAAAATATCGTGGTTCATAAGGAAGATATTGTTAATTTTTCGGTTAAACCAACAAATCAAATTTATTCATTTTCCTTCACAGGGGTTGAAGAATTCTTAGAAAAGGAATTACAGTTGATGAACAAATATCGTTTGATGCACGCTGCCGCTCCTCTCCAGCTCTCACTCGACCTGACTAACAAGGCCGAGTTATGGGCAACTCAACTGGCCAATCAGGACAAGGAAAAGATTGACGTCAACTCCAAATATGGTCAGAACATTTTCTCGACCAAAGACGAGAAAGACGTCGCAACTAAAAGCGTGCAGTCGTGGTATAATCAAATTAGATTCTATGATTTTCACAGCGCAAAGGAATCTCTGAAATCCTCTTATTTTACCCAGCTTGTCTGGGTTGGGTCTCAGGAAGTCGGCATTGGAAAGGCGAAAAGTTCAACCGGTAAAACCTACATTGTGACCTTGTTCAACCCTCCTGGTAACAAAGGAAACTTCCTGCATAATGTGCTCCCAGTGACAGGTTTGTTGGTCAAAAAAAAGCTGTTAAAAAAAGGCACATATTACCATCATCATTTACATCATCCTGGCACATAACCACCATATCAACATTATTAACGAAATAGTATGAAGGAAGTTTGTCACCGAGGACCTAGCATTAAGATCTAGCTAGCCTGCCACGAGTCTCCAACAGTTCAGTGATAGAGCATCCCAAGTACTAATCGGAAGATCGAAGGTTCTACTCCGAGTTGGGAGCACTCGGAGTTCCTTTTGTCTGAGCATACTTGTGTCGTTCACTGCATAACATCATTCTTCATGATATAGCACGATAACTATACTTTTCCAAATTTTTTTTCTTTTTCAGGAAGTGGTGTTGGAAAGCAAGGACTATGTAAGATTGTTTTTATTTTGACACTCCTTGCCATAATTGGTAATGATAAACCATCTCAGTGCAATAACATGACAAATCTCTGAGTTCTAACAATTTATCAAGCTGATTTGAATTTTTACAGCAAAGTGCCCCAATGGATATAAACTGTACAACAACATTTGCTACAAATACTTCCCTGGTCCAGTGAACTGGGTTCAAGCCTCGGAGAAATGCGCTGCGGACTTTGCCACTCTTGCATCGATTGGGAGTGAATCTGAGGATATTTTCGTGAGAACTGTTTTGGTAAGGATGACTGCAGAAGTCCAACACTGGAAAAACCTTTTTTCTTGCCAGCCTGATTTCAAGCCTTCACAACAAAGTGCAGGTTTACAGGCCCGCATAAGAGTTTTCAGTAAATAGCTAATTTTCAAATTGATGTTCGTTCAATATCTTTGGCACAGCTGTTGAAGTGAAACTGGTCACTTAGAAAAGCCAGGAAGATTAATTAAAATGTCCCAGAGTTTCTCCGAACATTTCTTATAACATTCGGTTGAGGGAAAATTTGGGATGAATATTAGCAGCGTTTTCACTGCCTGTAATCACGATCCTCTGCTCGCGCTGATAGGCCTGGCCGTGCAGATGCCACCTTTAAAACGGTGATCATTTCAGCATTAAGAGGAAAATATTCTAAAAAAACAAAAACTTTAACGGTGAGAAGGTATCCCAAGACAATATGATAGTGTGTGCCATGTGCACAAAATTAGGTGACAAATGGGAAATAGAGCACCCGTGACACACATACATGCCGTGGACCTGTTTTCCCCTGTGTTCGCCTACACCAAACACCAGTGAATCTGTCATAGAGGAACGTGGTTGAAGATACTTCCAGAGTTCCCGTCCAAAACGAAGGATATGAGTAGATGAGCGTAACATTTTTTTTATCTCTTTTACAGACTTCAGCTGGTGTCTCAGATGCCTGGATCGGGGTGAGCGATTTGACGAACGATGGAGTCCTGTCATGGCTGGATGGAAGCCCACCTCACTTTATGAATTGGGATTTCTACCAGAAGAACTTTCCTGGAAAAAAGTGTGGGGTCATATTTACCAACTTTAACTGGAAGTATAAGGCTTGCGATGGATCGCGAGGATTCGTTTGCAAGCGACCGCTGAGAGGTCAGTGAAACCACATCCTCCCCTTCCATCCTCCCCTTTCCCTTCCATCCTCCCCTTTCCCTTCCATCCTCCCCTTTCCCTTCCATCCTCCCCTTCCATGATGGGAGGAAGAGGAGGTAGCATTGAAAGAGCAAATAAGGATAGAACAAATGACGTATTTTCTTAGATTACATTATGCGTGTGCTCACATTTTAGATGGACGTTCACTGATTGGTAATAAACGGTGTAATTGACGATGATTAAAACGAAATTATCGTACTACATCGATCCTTGATGTAGCAAAGGTTCTCAGGGCAGACCATCTACTGCGGGCCAGTGGGTCAGTCCTGCAAGAAGTCGGTCAGTCAATCAGTCAGTCAATCATTCTTTTTATCTGCCCGTCAGTCAGTTCGTCAGTCATTTCATCAGTCAGTCAAACATTCGCTCAGTCCATAAGCCATGCGGTCGATCAGTCATTCCATCAAGATTAATATCTCTTCAGCCAACCAGGGCAATAATTAATTTATCTTCCTTCCAAAGTTGAATTGTCGTAAATAGATGATTGCCATATTTTGAAATTCACCTGGCTGACGCATGTATGTACCTTACGGATAAGACCTGCAGTAGATTTGACAGGCCAAATCCATATAAACTTAAACATCGCCAAAGAAAAAGTCACGGATGAAGAGATAAACAGGAATTTGTTTTGTCATAAGCTTGTTCCTTACTTACCAGTCGCACCCTTTATTTCAGGCATAACCGAATACTTAGTGATTCTTCGTTACCAAAACAAGTTGTGGACCGACAACCTTTACGTCCCGGGAACTCCTAGGTACCAAGCTCTCAGCAGACATATCCAAGAAGCGGTAAGCGACAGAATAAGTTCGCAATGCTTTTTTTTTTCTTAATCGATAGAGCCGCCTTAAGTGACCATTAGGAACGTTATCTGGATAACCCATTACGCCACAGTGTCTGGCGACTATTCCCTTCTCTTCGCCGTTATCCCAATAAATATATCAACATCCATTCTCTCAAAATGTCAATAATAATGTGACACACTACAAAAATTGAACTGATGAAAGAAGCAGATGTAAGAATTAAAATCCATCCAATAAGTGATCAGGCTTAGTAGCCCGGCCAGGTAGGATATCTTTGGTGTGATAGAGCCGACCTTGTTTCTAAACATTTTCGTTTGATCGACAGCTTCTAGATGTATACGGTGACTTTGATTGGTTTGAACAAGTCACGGTGGATCACTTCAGGTAAGGCTGGAACGATACAAGTTGTGGGAGTCACGTGATGCTTTCATTGTGAAGATCTCTTGCATAACAAGCCACAACATAGAAATACCTCATTTTTTGTTAAATCCGAAGTAACAGAAAAATACGAATCTTGGTTAGCAATAAAATCAATAGTTGGTTCCCACAAATATAACCAGGAGTGGCAAATAGCCGAATTCGAAAATCGGCGAGACCCCAAGAATTCCTTATTATCACTGTAGCTATACTCAAATGAGTGCAAGGTATTTTTAATTGCATGGAAATGTTGTCTACCAGTTGTTAGCCCTTTCTCGAATTCATTTTGCGATGTATCAGCTTCTACATCGCAATGTTTTCAAATTTCAGCGATCATACACAGACTTCTGTCATCCACAACGATAACTCTAAGCTGGGCTAACCTAGAACGAAGAGTATCGGCTTTACGAACAAATCCCTGAGTCTGACTTCGCAACACATCCCAAGAGCTGAAACTGTTTCAAAATCGGTCAAAAAGTTTGCGATACATACAATTCGTTAAGGTACCATTCGCCATTCCCAATGCCATTTCTAGTTAATTCAAATAGCTCCTACTCCTTCTTTACATTTTGTCAATCAGCTGGAACCTCCAATTCTCACTCACAATTCTACTTTTTCATATAGCAAAGGGGATGAAGACAAAATCCTGGCTTACTTCAAACTACGCTTCACTCCTGATGACACCTCCCCAGCTGATCCGATCCAGTTTCTCCGAGACTCTATTCAGGGAAATGGCGCCTCAAAAAGAAGTGTCATCACCGGAACTCTTCATGGGGAAAAAGTTCAGCTTGTTAACGCCACTTTGATTGTGGGTGAGTGTTCAGAAAAGGAAAAAAACACCAAGTGCAGGTGTACAATGAAATGAATACCTCTTGCACTGTGATTGGACGTTTTGTATGATCTATTGGAATACAGATGCATGATGCCATGCGGTTCGTTTCTCGTTTCGTTGTTACCACATTTTGAATTTACGCCACTTTTCAAGTGAAACTGAACAGCCATTCCGCAACACGGAATCTACCGGATAAATAGAATGCGGCGAGGGTCAAAAGGCCACGCCATCAGCTGTTCCATTTGCCAATGCGTGTTTGACGCGCACCCTCTTTTGAGCCCCACAGTCCTTTGAGCTTTACTCGCTCGCGTCAAGTTGAGTCCCATTTCGCTTTCACCAGTGTGGCAAAGGTTATCAGCAATTTATTATTTTTAGAAACCTTGGGTAAATTAAATGGAAAATCATCAAGTTTACGAACTGCTCCCTTGTCTAGTTAAATGTATACAGAGATATTTGTTCTTTGTTTCTTCGGAGGGTGGAATGTCTGTCTTAATTAAAAACTAATGCTCCTATTGAATTTGTTTCCTGCAGTGGACCAGACTCCAGAGACATGTCCCAGTTATTGCATGAGTTCGCAATGCATGCCGGCCGCCTGTAGCCCATGGTGCTGTGATTCATTTGGCCAGCAGTTTTTCCAAAGCTCTTATGGAGCACCACAACAGCCTGGTTACAACATGGTTGGTTCTCCAGCAGGCCAAATACAAGGTTATCCCCCACCAAACCCCTTTTCAGCCCCTCAGCAAGCCCAGTTTCAGTACCGACCTCAACCACAGCCCGCTTACCCGATCCTTCCGCGGCAACAGCCATATCAGTACCCAATTTCACCCCCTCAATACCCATTACCACCTCAACCGCAGCCGTACCAATATCCACTTCCACCTCGGCCACAACAACGCCAATACCAACCACAGACTCCCATCCGGTCCCCTTACCCAGTCCCTCTACGACCGCAAACGTATCCTTTCCCAATCCCTGTGCAACCGCAACAGATTCGTTATCAGGTTCCGCAAAGACCAGCCACACTTCCATCGCCACAGTTCTTAATTCTACCGCGTCAACCACAACCCCAACACCAAGCACCACAGCCATACCAGGCTATCCCAAGGCCAGCGTATCCGCAGCCTTGGCCTGTTTTTCCGCAGCCTCAGCAGATGATTCAGCAGCCTCCACCACAGTTCTTGCAAATGGGCCAAAATACAAAGGAAAAGCAGAAGCCACAAGCTGGTCAAGGGAAGTCACCGGTACAACTACAAGGGGTGGTCACCTCGTACCCCTTCCAGCAGCCATACCAGCCCGTGCCAAATCCTCCGATGCCTTTCTACCAGCCAACCTTCCAGCAATACTATCAACCCACAGTTGCGGCTGCCAAGCCACCTTCACAAAGTAAAGAGAAGGGGAAGGAGTCAGAGAAGGAATCTGAGAGCGGCAAAGAAAAGTCTCACGAGAAACCTCCGCCAGTCACTATACCACAGCCAACCTATCCTTATTCGGGATATCCTCCACAGTCTTCCTACCCTTACTATTCCACTCCCATGCCATCAACTCAGATACCATGGAAGATAAGAATCTACAGACCTGCCTTAACTATTCCCCGTTCATCGCCTATTCCCCTGATTAACCCGGGATATCCGATTCCAAATATGCAGCAGCCAGCCTATCAGTCATACCCTGTTCCCCCTCCGCAATATCGGCTACCACCCGCTGGTCTACAACCCGCATCTCCAGGACTTCGACCTTTAGAACAAAGACCATTGTATCCACAAGTCAGCCCTCCTCAACTAGGTTATCCGATGCAGCCACCCTTGCCAGTCAGTCCCTATCGGCCGCCCTTTTCTTACCCCAACCCATATCCCGGCGTACAAATCCCGCAAACAGCTCCTGTACGGGGGCGTAAGTGATGAACTTGGCTTCTAAAAAAAAGTTTGAAAACTGATAATGGATTATTTCTCAGGGAATGAAATATGAAACGTTGTCATATTCAAGATATATGCTTCAAATTTGTACAAAGAGCTTAAGAAGTTTCAACTAGGAAATAACTTATTGATATTAATCAATACATTCTGTCATAGCTCAGATGACGCAGTTTTGATTGATTCTGAGACACAGGTGGAGTCTCCCAAAACGGTGCATCCTCATTGCTGCAGCAAGTTCGGGTGACTTTCTTCTTTTCTCCTTATGAAGGGTTTAGCTTAGCTAGGCAACTTAAATCTCTTCCCGGAAGAAATTCAAGATGAAAAACTACCATCAATTTCGCCTGTAAATAAATATTTACTGTACATGGGACACATTTGCATGCCGGTTATAATAGCTAAGAATTACTGCGGTAAAAAAAGATCGTCATGTAAATATTATGATCTGTATCTTATTATCTTCAGCCAGGGCGATAGCAAAGCTTTAATTGTTACTGTTGATGTCGTTTTTCTCTCTTTTTTTTTTTTTATTGGAGTACTGTCTTAGTGGCCGATGCCTAATTCATGTTCAGTATAAACAAAGATCCAATTCATTTGAATTTGCCGCTTCATTGTGTTCGATTCCTCAAGGTCATATTCCTTGTTTCTTCAAATAAGCGCCCAGATGCTTATTTAAAATTTCGGTTGAGAGAAGGGTGCGGCCCTTATTGGAAGGAGAGCGCTTAATAGTCGGGGGGGGGAGGGAGGGGGCGATTATTATTCTCATGCGCTGATTCCGTTGTAGTTTAAACAAAAATGTTTGAATAAAGTGACAATGGAAACATGCTGTCCTTAAATCTCTAATATTTAAAAAAATGAGAGAGGAGTGGGGGTGCTTACTCGAGAGGGGCGCTTGTTTGGCATATTATGGTTTAAGGGGTGGGAGGAAGCTTATTAGAGCGTGGGCGCTTTTTGAATCTCTTGTGCAACTGGACGACTTGTGACATAAAGACTGATAAATCTGTGAGATAGAGCAGTTTCCTCATCATTGCAATGCTTAAAACACATATTTTATGTAAGATTCCAAAGGTTTTCTTTCCTCTCTTTTCAGTGCTTTGTCCAAAGCCTTCCCCCCCCTCCCCCCAAGAGAAAATTAGCTAGCATGCACTGCGGACTGTATGCTTTAAATATCCTAAACTAGAAACCAGTCTCTCTGGTTACGCAATCAAAAAGATGGCGACTGTGTTGCACCATGTGGCGACATAACAGTTGGCTCATATTTGTCACTTCTTACCGTTTCACCATTCATCATGGCACGAGGAGCTTTTGGTATGGAAGTGTCAGATACAAGCGACTCAAACTGCGAGAAAAATCGAAAATTTGCTAGTTCTGATACAGTACCCAGTGATTGCAAAAAGTCAAAAATGTTAAGTCCTGTTGCCTTAGACTGTGAGATGGTTGGCGTTGGTGGCGAGAAGACGAGTGCTTTAGCTCGGTGTAGCGTTGTTAACTACGACGGTGACGTTCTTTACGACGTTCATGTCAAACCTGATAAACCTATTACAGACTATAGAACACAGTGGAGCGGAATACGACCCAAAGACATGGACAATGCGATCTCCTTCAGATTGGCAAGGAAAAGAGTCAAAAGATTAATAAAGAAGCGTAAACTCGTGGGACATGCGTTACAGTTCGATCTGAAAGTTCTAAAGCTTAAACATCCTTCGGATCTTGTCAGAGACACTTCAAAGCACATACCGTTACGAGCAATGGCCGGTTTTCCGCGAAATTCTACGCCATCTTTAAAACGACTTACCAGACAGTTGTTGAAGTGGGACATTCAGGTGAACGAACATTGTTCTGTGGAAGATGCTAGAGCTGCTATGCTGTTGTATAGGAAGTGTGAGTTTCAGTGGGAAAAGGACATTAAAGGCAAAGGCGGCCAGTCTTATTTGGAAGATGCTTACTGGCCAAACTGGACAGAAGCTGCAAATTCATAAAAATTTCTTGTGATTTAAAATAAAAAATTTCAAAGTTTATGTCAGATCTTCAGTAGTAGCGCATCTAACAATTTTTGGCAGACAGTGGGGATCCTGTGCACATACAAGGCATCTTTAGTCCAAATCCCCTTTCAGGGTTTGAAAAATAAGTGAAATCTGTTAAAATTATTTTACCTTGGGCAAACAAAATCTCTTTAAACAAGTGCCTACCTCAAATTAATAAATGATGTAACTTTCTAGAGGAACTGTGGTGCTGTGTTGGTAGCATGTTACAACATAATTTGGTTAACCAACTGGGTTGTTGATGTAAATTGAACACAGCAGAGAGTTTCTACAGATGATGCCCTTTTGCTCTGATGAAGGTCTACTGCTCAATATGTCAGCTTTAGAAGCTCTCAATTGTAGCCAATATACATCATCAGCCTAGTTGATGAAACCAAATTACCTTAACAATAGCTGTGTTCCTGCTGTTGGTATTTCTTAGTTAAGTGTATACGAGGATGTGGTCAGGTCCCATTCTTCCTCGCAAAAAAATCAAACATTCATAGAATGTCAATTGTCTGTCACAAATATTGGTACAATCTTTTGGAGCAACACTTTTGAAGACACCTTAAAGATAGAGCAATGGATCAAAACTATAACAAAATTCCTAAACATGATTGGTTATCACCAACCTGATTTGAGCACTAACAGGACAGTGTATGCATCATGCTTGTAGTTGGACAGTGTACTGTACTGTAATAGGACAGTTAAAGTGAAACTTAGCGAGTCATGATTGTGTAAGTGTGCATCGTGCAGTTTCTTAACTTTTGTCATTGTTTTGATTAATTGGTAACAGGACTTGGTGTTATCCAATTCAATCAGTAATTATAAAAGTGATTGACAAATCAGACTCCTACTTTGTAGTCGTCCAATTTTGTTAATCACTTGTATGATTACCGACGGAACTGGACTCCACTTGGTTTTATTACCATTATAACTTGCCTAACCTGTAGTGTTAGTTGTTCATTTGGGAAAAGCCAGTTTACTCCCAAATAGGTGACTTTCTACCATGGAGTTTTGTGTGCATTCATGGAAGATTGCAAAATGTGTTCAATGAAGGACATGATCCTAGTCATTGTGGGGAATTTAAAAGCATTGAGGAAGGGTTACCGGTAGGTCAAGTACCCAATTAAAAATATAAAGATCTCTGCACAATGACAAGGCCAGCATTCTTACTACATGGGCTGTTGTGATAATGAGCTGTTTGTGCACAGTTTGAGCTTCATTTGACCAAATATTCAACATCAGTTGCCAATTTGGAAACCTTCACTTGACAGTCAGATATACAAAGTGGTGTATGCTCAGGTTACTTATTGTTAAGATCAGAAGATAGATTTTGATAAACATTTGCACCTAATAGTGTCTTTTGAACAAAATCCTTCTTAAACTTTCCCAAGAGCAACATGGTGAAAATATGTTTTGTGTTACTTCACATAAAGTTTACAACACTACCACCTTTAGAATAAAAGATGATTATTAGACCCAAAAAAAGAAACAAAATTCACAGTTATGGAAATATCTCATTCCTGAAACAAGTTTGCAAAATGCTGTTATGAAGGGTCATTGACTCAAAGGTCTTTTCAATAAAAAAAAAAAAACAGAAAGAATAATCTTTAAAAACAAAACATACCCATGAGTAAAATCTAATTTGATGATCAAGAGAGTTGTATATACTAGTGCAAAGATTTTCCCCATTGATGACTTTGAATACATATAAAACCATATAGGTGAAGTGCAGATTAAGAATTGAATTTGAAAGTAATCTTTCACAGTAATGAACACACTAATTATGCAGTGGTGAAAATAAGGGCTTAAAAAAATTCAGGCCTGTACGGGATTTGAACCCATGAAATCCCAAGCAGAGCCTCAATTTTTTCCCTATGCATGACAGGTATGCTCCATTACAAGACAGTAAGTCATTTTTCACAGTTAAGAAAATATTCATAGTAGTAACTACACATGCATGTGTGAAGGGTTCGCAATTTATGGACTTCTGATAATTCTAAGGACTTCCATAAATGTAAGTTGTATGTTGTGGCCTCTGGCAAATATGAAGACCATCACTGTGAGAATGAGAGTGTCATGTTTGGTTGTATCTGTGAGTTGTTTGAGAGCTAGAGGTGAAGGGCCTGTGATGGAGTGTTTTAAAGTAACTGGCACAGCGTCTTTGGTATATTACATGTATAAAATTTTAATGTATTTGTTATTATCCCAAATATATATTACTTCAGTCTGCTCAGTTTTTGCAAGACTAATTAAATACCTAATTAAACATGAATGAGTAAAAGCATTTGGGATAGAGTTACTTGTAATTTATGTGATTCCCCTTTTTCTCAAAAAATGAGTTATGATTGCTTCACAGAGGTCATGTGACCCTCACCAGAAATACAACTTAAATATTACTACTACAAAAGCCAAAGTGTGATTGTAATAAAAGTTTAGGCATTAACCTTTTAACTCCCAAAATCTGATTGCTATTTCTCCCCTCTAGGTGCTACACATTTCCTTGTTAATTAGTTATGAGAATTTTGGTGTTAGATCAAGATAATGACTTCTACCAGACAAGTTTGAGTTTTCTCATTACCTGTTAGCTGTATGATATGTGAAAATTATAGGGAGAAGTTACATGTTAATCACTTCTGGAAGTTTATGAGTTATGTCTCATAATTGTACTTTGAATACAATGTTAAATACCACTTAAATAACAAGTAAAGCTTGTATTTTGAAAATGCTTTGTGTACAAAAGTGACATCCCTGCCACAGATTTGTTTCACTCGCAGCAGAGATAAAATTTGCATAGTATGACTAAATGTACTGCAGATAGAAAAGTACGATGCAGGTTTTTTCCCAAAAATTTCAAACAATTTACATTGATGCTAAAGAATCTAATGTAAACCATTTTTCCCCTTTCTTTATGTTGCTCCACAACATACATGTAAAAACCCCAAGCATTGAAGATTTTCCTCTTCAAATGATTCCCTGACAGGATGCTGTCAATTAATTTAGGTGCCTCTTGGAATTATGCATGCATTGAATTTCAAAATACATGTCTTTTTTTCTTTTTTTTGCACACAGGTATAGGAGGCAATAAATTATAAACAACTTTGAACTAATGTATTGTTTTGACATTTGACTTTAACTTGTGTGCAAGCTTCTCTTGATACTCAGCATGATTATGTAATGCAGCAACAAGTCCTTTCTCGTTAGCTGGTTTAAAACCGTCACCATAATTAATTTCTTCATTATCTAATGTAGTCATCTTTCCTCCAAGTGTTCTCAATAAGGCATCCCCAGAGCAGATGTCCCATTTTTTGATTAGCGTAACATGAACATAACAATTGGCTTTATCTTCAAAGAGTGACAACACCTTATACCCTGCTCCTCCAGCTGGTATCACCATGGATTGTGGACCAAATGCTGACCGAACAGTAGCATTGACTTTACCAGCATGAGACCTTGAAACAATGACCTTTGGCATTTGCAATGCAGAATCTTTTTCAGGTGGCACATTTATATTACCTGAGGATCCATGGCCAACCCAAGCCCAATATGTCTCCTGAAGAAAAGGTTTATGAATTATACCTGCCACAGGTTTTCCATTGACAACAATACAAATCATCGTAGTTACATAGTGAACAAGATTTTCTGTATATTCTTGCGTAGCATCTAGCGGGTCTATCCATATGAGAAGGCTACCAGCAGATACAACCTCATCCTCCTTGTTATAGAGTTTGCCGTCAAGCTTAATTGTAGAAATATCAGGAGCTTTAACATCTTTTAAATCAACTTCACCGTGGTCATGTTCTTCAGACACCACATTTAACCTAGGAAATTCTTTTTTAAAGCCATAATACATGGCCCTATGAGATAACATGTCTCCCTGTGTTACTGGATTGTTGGCTCCTTCACGAGTCTTTCCCTTGCTTTCTTCCTGTAAATCAAGGGAAAAGGATCAACCACAAATAGAACAATTTCAAAACAGAGGTACCAATGATTGTTTGAATTTTCAGCAGCACTCAAGATGGCAAGACTATCCAGCAGTTTTGGCTGGCTTCCTGCTCCTGTTGGCAGCTCTGAATCAATAGATTGTATTGGGAAACTTTTAAGGCTGGTTATTTATACAATGTCTAACCCAAAGCACGGCTTCATGGAATCAGTGGGCCTAAGGCTTTCTTTATGAGGGGTTAATTTAATTAAGTTAATGTCCTTCCAGAATTAGTCTTTGGCCCTTTTAACACTGTTCACAAAAAATAAATGTTCATATGAAAGATTCAGCTAAATTGAGGATTGTTTAGGACACAGTTTTGTCAAACAACAGCAAAACGTTCTTTAAATAACTGATCCTTAAAGTTTTCTGAGACCTGGGACAGCTCAACCTTAACCTTTCCAAGTATTGAGCTCAGATATCTACATGAGTCAACCCAAAATAATTCAGTTTGATGCCTACTTCAGACAAATAACATAATTTGTCCGACTCGTCCTTTAGAGTGAGAACAAAATTGTGGAATGCAAAATCAAATTACTCTAATTTCGTGTTTCGTGTCTGGCAAAAAAAAAGAGTTTGATATTTGAATGGCAGATGTTTGAGTGTCAAACTTCCCATGTGTAAATAGCTAAGACAAACCCAAATTAGACACACCTAGTTGCACTTTCCATCAAAAGGAAAAAAATAGAGCCAAATTTGAATTTATTAGCATATAGTTTACAGAATTAACATGTAATTATTATTAATTTTTTAATTTTGGAATCGCTTGAAATTACCAAACATCTGATTCTCTCAAGAAGTTTGAAACAACTTTTTTTTGATAGAAATTCTCTGAAAAATTGTTCTGCTAGCAGGCATAAGGCCAGAGGGCAGTTTTAATCATAAGCAAGTATAATTAAATATTTCCTTTTTGGCTTTTTAATTTGCTTTATAATTACAACGTTATTGCAATTAAGTGCAGGTCCAACCAAATTCATTCAAAAACTGATCTTTTTATGTGCTCAACTGAAGGATTAAGGCTTAATACGTTTGAGCACATGAAATTTTTACCACTAAACTAGGCTTATAATAATTTTTAAAAATTATACCGAATGTAGTTAAAATTTTATCCTTCCGATATTGCCGGTGGAGAAAATCAGTTCGTAGAAGTAATTCATGTTGAATACAGCCCAAAATAACTAATTTAAATTAACTTCGGTATAATGAATTGCAATTGCTGTCGCTCGTAAGCTCACCAACTCGAAGTATACATGCAAATTACCAATACCTCCACGTTGTCAGTTGTTAGAAACTCACCGTAAATGCCACATCACATTTATGCATATTTTATTAAAATTTCAGACTACTCACATTTGTTTAAACAATTTTCGATGTTACTAATAATTCTTAACATCCAGAAATGACACTAAAAGAGAACAGGGATATCTGTGTACGTGAATGTGTTATAAAGATGAAACAATTTTTTTTTTTTTTTTTTTTTAATAAAAAATCATTAAAATTGAACCCACGACCTTCCGGCTAGTTTGCTCTAAAAGCAAATAATGTTTTAGTAAACATTTACATCATTAAAATTGAGCCTGTAAACAAATAATCTTTCTAAACATTCACACCTGTAAGTGGTAATTGATTGCTGTATGGGTATAGATAGAGTTTGTTGCTTTAAGAGACTCAAAGATATCAAGGATATGTCTACTCTTATGCTTACCCCTAAATCTTCGCCTTTGCGGATTTTCCGAACGATATCCCCCCCTTTCTCGGCAAGATAAATTGCAGTTCTAATCAGTCTCTCCATCGATACTGTGTCTTCGCCCTCAAAGTACTTCTGGGAGAACTCCCCACTTCCGCCATCTGTGGATAAGTAATAGATTATTGCGACGAAAACAAGTCCTAGAACAACAATTCCGATAGGAGACAGCTTTATTCGAGCAGCTCCCATCGTGGTAAAGAAAGGAGAAGATTTCAAACTCTCGTCCACAAACATGAATACTTTGTCTCTAATTTCAATTACAACCTCGATCTCATGGTAGATTAGCCTCAACCTCGAGAGGGCTTGGGCTGTTAGCACATGGTATTTTCACGTGATTTTAAATCGTCAATGTGATTGGTCAATATTTGTGAAATTGACGAATGGGAGTTCAAAACTGAATAAGTGAAACGTTGGAACGAATTTCGAACTAGGTGATCTATCATTCGTATGCCGTCTAGTCATTTTTTACGAGTTTAAAGCAGAAATTATCGTTTATTTGCCAAGAAAGCTATTGATCTCTTGTCATATTTGTAAAATAACTAGTTCTATTTTAAGTTAGTCGGACTATGGAAGATATAGCCAGGAAGAAATTTACATACGATCATGTATCTTCGTACAAGGCTCGCGGAAAAGTCAGAGCTTCAGATCGTAATTTTCGAGCTCAGCGTGCAAGTGAAAAACGTCACCTCTCCAGGATGGATGCAATCTCCAAACGAAGGAGAATGCCTCTATCTCCACTGGCTGATGAAAACGTGGTTGACAAGTGTACGAAAGCGGGAGAAAACGGTAAACATATAATTGTTGTGGAATTTGAATGAGCTCACAACTGAGATTATTGATATCACACAGAAGAAATATTGGCTGAAGTTCATCATAGTAACTGGTAAAGTAGTTGATATTTTAAAATTTAATGATAGCAATCGTGTTGCCTATCAATCTTTCAATCAGTCCAGTTGGAAATGATGCGAGGAGACCATTGAAAATTTCAAGGATGTGTGATAGATTACATCTATCAAAATACACACACGAAACCAACTGAAATTAAACTCCACCCCTTACAAATTTACCCACATTAGTGATTCTCCCTACTGTCTACTTTACAATTCTTATGATGTTAGTTTGAAGAATTTGGTTTTTGATCAACTAATAATCCCCTTATTGCTTTTTTTTCTTCATTCACATCACATCTTCTTGATAATGTATAGATGTTGTAACGTGAAATTCTGCCTAAGTCACGCATGGGAGTTTAAGGTCACCCTCTGTAATTGAGGCATTAGTTACAACATATAATTTTCCTCTTTAAGTTGATGAGCTTCAAGATGAAACTTCAAAACCACAGCTTAGCAGAAGAGAGCAGCTAATCAAGTGGCAAGAGGAGCGAAAACAAAAGAAATCTTCTGAATCACAGAAAAGGAAATCTTTTGTTGTGCGTCACGTCAAACACCAAGAAGATGCTGCTCTTTATTCCATCAGTTCTGGGAAGAAAGTGAACAGAGGGGTTACTCAACCAGTTAAACCTGACTCCAAGCCTGCAGCAAACAAATCCGACAAACAGGTCCCTAGGGCATCAGCTAGGATTGCCAAAAAGGAATCAAGTAAAGCAGCTAATTGCAAAAGTAATATAATCATGAAGGTGGATCCCAAATCTAAAGATGCACATAATGATAAGCTAAAGGAGAAGGTTAGTTACTGCATAAGATGTAACAGGATAATTTGACTTTATCAACTGAGATGATAATGTAAATTGGTCACTGTAAAGAGTTTCAAAGCTGACAGTTTGAGTGCAAGCCCTTTGTCAGACTGAATAGAGCACACACACACACAATCCTCATTCCTCCATTCACTCTGACAAAGGGCTAACACCCAAAACATCAGCTTTGAATTTCTTTGTAATGGCCAATTTACATTATCAACTTAGTTGATAATGCCAAATTACCTTTATATACTCTCCCACTGACATAGCACCACAGTTTCTTAAGAAACTTACCCCTCTATGCTACTGCATGGTATAGTTTTGTTTTGAATATTCATGTGGCACAGGGCTGGAATTTAACAGAAGCTACATGATGTAGGTGCCACAGGCCACAAACTTAAGACCTTAGCGCCCTTGTTTTTTGAGACTAGAGATTTCAGGCTTAATGAGGGGTTACAGAAAAAAAAAAGTACTGAGTGAGTAGATTCTTGTCTAAACTCATATGTGGTAGTCTAGGTAAATTTGTTCCAAGAGTTGGTTTTGAACTCCATGTGCATGATTGTTTGTATACAGAGGATTACATGTTGCGTGATATTCATAGGGTCTGAAAAAATGGGTGAGATCAACTTCTGCTGACTGACAATTCAGTTGGCAGAAGACCATCAATGTTAACTGTTTCACTCTGTGTATGTGTGTGAAATTTGAACATTTTTTTGTGATCAAGCTTTCACTAGTAATATACTGTATTCCTCCTTTGGTTGTACTTGTATCAGGCTAAATTTAGCTCCGACAAGACTGGCAGGGTCACAAGGCAAAGTGTTCAAATGAAATCATCTTCAATTGGCAAAAATGTTGCAGTCTCTCAGTCCAGCAAGAAAGGTAAGTAAATGTAGAATTGATTTTGAATTTCTTACCCTTGGAATCACCTGAAAAAAAGATCCATTTTTCTTTTACAAATGATATAAATTTATTTTATTTCGTTTCTGGCACAGGAGAGCCAAAAAACCAAGTGAAAACAAGATCTCAAGCCAAGAAACTTCAAGAAAAATCAACGAGAAGTGTTAAGGATACCCAACAAGTTCCACTTGAAGAAACAACTCAGGAGTTTACAAAAATTGATTTACCAGCTCCGGAGAACATAAAGAATACTGTTTCATTTGGTAGAGGTAGCTCAGAAGGTGTGGAGAGGAATACAAAAAAGCCAGGACCAGATTTGGGGCCACCATCTCTTGCTCCCAAAGATTTTCAGTTCACTGCTCCAAGTGGCATCAACACCTTCACATACTTATCAAAAACATTCACGTTTCAGCCACTTAGCCCAAGGAGTGCTGCGGAATTTATATTTCCAACATCAGTGTCTTCTTTTTTTAGCCCCAACAAGGAGAAATCTACTGAAGAAATGCAGAGAGAGAGCACAGCTTGGGAAGACCCTGTGGCACTTTGTCATATGAATAGTACACTAGATGAAAAAGAGAATACTGAACAACAGATGGCTGATTATGAAACGGAGAAATGTGAGGGATCTGAAAGTCAAGAAGGTACAGGTAGTAATGTAGATGAGAAAAAGGACACAGCATCTTGTCCAACAGATGCCAAAATTTCATCCAGCCGAGGACAGTCTTCATTAGTTGAAGAAACAGATGATGGCAGCGATCTTGACTCACAACATGATGCGGCATACTTTAGGAATCTTGTGGCAAAGGAGACTGACAGGTTGAATGAAATCTGTGCAAAATGGGAGAGGATTAACGCAGATGAACAAAGCCTCAGTGAGGAAGGTATGGCTTAGAATGTTTTACAGTCTCTTAGTTATATTAAAAACCAGTTGGTGATTCTCTGAAAATAAGTTCAATGAACATTCCTTGGTTTACCTACATTTGTATGTATTTAATGGTAGTATAAAAAGTTTGGTAAATAAAACTGTCACGAAAAAAATGTATCTTAATGCTTAGAAAAAGGGATGTAAATATCTACACCATTTGTTCATGCTTCATGGAACAACGTGACAAAATGGCTGTTATGTCTTAAAATATCTTAAAATATCTTAAATACCAGGAAAAAAAGTTACATTTTAGATCAAACTTTTTCATTTTCTTCAGTGACTGGGCAAATAAGGACAGTAATTGGCCAAGCCCAGCTATTAATTGATCAGAGGTTCCATCAGTTTTCAGGCCTCATAGATCTGAGTGAGGTAAGTTTATTAGTTTATACCCCCTCATTTGCACTGTATCAGAACAAGGTTCCTCTACCCTTTAACTCCCAAGATCTGATTGTTATTTTCCCATCCAGCTGCTACACATTTCCTTGTAAATTAGTGATGAGAGTTTGGAGTTCGATCAAGATAGAAACTTGACTTGATTAATTTGAGTATTCTTATTGCCTGTTTTTTGGATAATGTGTGGATTTTGTAGGGAGAAGTTACATGTTAAGCTTTTCTGGGAGTTAAAGGGTTAAGACTTGCAACAAATTAATTTTTTTGTCTTTGCGGCTCAGTGGTAGAGCATCGAGGCATGGAATCCGAAGGTCTGAGGTTGGATTCCTCATGGGAACTCAGAATTTTTTCTTTGTTTCACACTTGTGATAGGATAAAAAACATCTTTCTCTAAATTAAACCTTATTTGAACTCAAGGGTTGTGCTGTAGGAACTTGTTCATTTTTAAAACACGTCTTACACTTGTCTCCTACAGTGAAGTGTTCAAGAGAAATTTTGACAGCATTTGTTCCCCTTATACACACTGGATGTGCCTGCCTTCAATGCAGATGCCATCATTGTGATTTAGGGTTAGGGTTGGATTCACAAACCCCACTTCATCATTCACGACACATGTTAAACTTATGTATGTACAAAGTAGATACTACATGTAATTTCTTCTAGCTTGTAAAAAGTTAAGTTTAAATGCAAAACTTTTGTTTTTGTGTAGGACAAAAATGCCGAAAAGCAAGCCACTGCCTCTGACCTTCAAGGTTTCTGGGAAATGATTTATTTTCAGGTAGAGAAATGAATCTGAATTAACTTTTCATTTCTAAATACTGTTTGTGAGAGAACATATTAGATGTTTTTCTGCTTCCTTGTTAACCTTTCAGGTTGAAGATGTGAATGCTAAGTTTGATGCACTGGAGAAGTTAAAGGAAAACAACTGGAAAGAAGAAGAAAAGAAGACAAAGAAATCCTTGAAAAAGACTAAAGCAAAGGTATATTTTTATTCACAGGTAGCATGTATGGAAAATTTAAGTTTTCCTGTGCTATAAGGGTCATTTACTGGTAGATAATTGTTGTATAAAGGTGGTGCAATGTTTGATATTTGATGTCCCAGTTGTAGGCACTCTATGTGCATAATTGTGCACATGAAAAAAGTATGTGCTCCTGGTTGGGTGAAAAATAGTGCATTTTTTGTGGAACACCAGGGCAAAGTTGTAAACATGAGTGCAAATAACAAATATAGCTTGTGAGGTGTCAAAATTCTGTCTGTCTTGACTTCCTGTGATGTTTTTTTAGATAAATTATTCATAAGTAATTGCATGATTTCAGGCACAATTTGGTGTAAATAAACACAAGTAAATTTTACAAAGACTACAAATTGCACTCCCCCATGGGTATGCAATTTTGTTGTCTTTGAAAATTTCCTTGTGATTATTTACATTACCTATACTAACTGCACTTACAGGCCAGTTAGGGTTACCTCTAACATCAGAATTCAGTATGGAAGTTCTCCACTCTGTTCTCTCTATTTTCCTTTGATATTTGCAAGGAGAATTTGTCTTACCATCAAGAGCTTCTTGAGTTGGTGACTATTCCCTTTATTTTTTTGACCTAATTGTGTGATTCAGGGATGAGTTATACTGTTTAGAGAAATAAGATGATTATCATCTCTAGGAATTAATAAAGTATTTGCTCATTGGAATTATGTTTTCGGGTGACATTAATTTTGATTTGGTACCATAGAAACCATCCGAAAATGCTGACGCTAAACCTAACAACAAAGCGGCTGCTGCAAGAAACAGAATTCAAGCAATGAGATTGGCAATGAAGGCAAAGATGGCTGAAGAAAAAGAGAAGTTGAGAGCCGAAAAAAGACATCATCAGGTAAGTGTTTTAATTGTTTTCTTTGTGTTGCTGCATATATATGGTTATCATTAGGGAACAAAAAACAGAGGTTCCTCGCGCGAGAAACGCGACGGATTCCCACGCGTGTGCGTACTTGCCTAAAGTGAATGACGAGAAGCATTTTCTCAGAGAAACTGCGCCAAAGAAAGTAACCAACTCCTGTTACAGATTGAGATGGAAAGTCTGAGAGAGAAAATTGATTGAGGTTGCGTCTGATGGCAAACAGCAACATAATGAATCCTTATTTCAATCAATTCCATGCAAAACGGCTGTATTTGAAGTCGCATTTTTTTCCGGTCCCAATCTGCTTGTCAAATTGTCAGCTTTGCTTTTGTTTTCATCCAATCACAGGAAGAGGCTTTCGTTACTATTCTAACACCTGTGAAAAAGTGTAAGAAAAACGGTAAGTTGCTTGACGTAGACAAATATCTCTCTTTTACGTTTTATAACTTTGCAAATGGATTCAACCTTGCACACGTCAGGTGACCTAAGCCCAAACTTGTCCTGGTTTCAACTTCATGCGAACAACCCAGAAAAGCGCTAAACGCCAGATGGGATACTGGTCTCCGATTGGTTTAAAACCCTTGCGCTTTCTAAGTCACTCCTCCTTCTAAGCATACGTTAGTTTCTTTCCCAGGGTCTTCTTTCGCCCTTCAAGAAGAAAAGAGAGAGGGTCGTGGTCCTTACCCTGACACCTGACTGGAAATCCCTTAGGGACAAGCTTGAGAATGAGTGTTTGAGGGAAGGGGAGCCACCGTTGAGAATGATTGTCTTACCCAAGAACACAACGCACCGGCCAGAGTTAAGCGCGCCTACTATCCAGTTTCAACCATGGTAGTTGATAACCAAAAGAATACTTTACTGGCAATTTAAATTGACAAATGTCTTATTGTTTGGCGTGCACTTTAAATTTTGTTGCGTCTTGACCCTATTCAAATGTGTTGCAGATGGTAGCGAGGAGGTAGTATTGACACCAGTGCGCCGATCCATTCGTAAGACGCCACAGTTACGTGTTATGGCTGGTAACAGCACACCCGTGATAGTGACCACACCTATGATTATCAGTGAAGACAGTCCAGGGCTAAGACTTACTCCAGACAATGGCATTCAAGCCAGCGAAATGGTTGTTACAGGAAGTAGAATGAAACTTGAAGAACCAAGCCAGGAAGACGTGTGTGAAATGGAAAGCAAACAAGAAGAAGGTAAAATTAATTGCGATCTCGAACAAGTGAAACCAGAAGTTTTGAAATCTGCTCGTAAGACTACAGAGGACAAACCTCGAAAGGCTCTGGGAAAAGTCACCTTTCAATCGCCTGGTCAAGAAAGCACGCCTGCATATGCAGCTCACGAAGGAGGTAGTACTTCGATAGAGACCGCTGTTGAAGATAATCCAGACCTAATCGAGAGCAAAGCCAAGAGATCAACTCCGCGCTGTTTCTCGGCGCGTAAATGCCGCAGTCGCTCAGGAACACCCTATTACCAGCAGAGGCCTCGACGAAGAGTTTCTACTGTCGACGAGAATGTTGCACACGGGACAGAAAGTGCAGAATGTAGCTCATCAGAATCTGACGCCGAAGCCAAACCTAAAGAGCAGTGCCCTGGGTCGGGATTGAGAAGGTCATTGCGAAGGACGCCCTCTAAATACCGAGATTCGGCGCCTTTAGAGGCCGAAGCTGTAGGAAAGGTAAGGCTTTAAGTTTTATATATCAGCAATTTTCGATCGGGTATCAAAGTTGATCTGGGATAGCTTTGTTTTTGCTTTACTTTGTCATGTGATTGGTCCAACAAAACTGGCGCCATCCTCTTAACCAATTAGATTCAAAACTACTTATAATCGTCACCTGGCTGTTTGCAGGTGTGTGGTGTGATTAAATTGTCTTTTGTTAAACGACACGCAGCCAAAATGCGCTCTAAAAGCAGTAACACGGGTATGTGGTGGAAAAGGCAAGCATTGCTGAAGGGTGTAAACAGTTAATCAACTGGAACCATAAGTATAACAGGATATCCTTCAGGAGGAATCCACTAGCTTCACATGATTCGACAAACAAATTTAGATTACTTTCACTGCGTATTCCTATTGAGCGACTTCATGGTGAGTTCATGCTAAGGCTAATTTGTGTCAATTATCGCAAGGATTAATTAATCTGAAGAAAGAGTCGTAATTCCGTCGAGCAGAATTTGCTTTTTATTTCCTTACCTTTTAAGTGGCGATATTTTAGAATCCTTACATGTTTCCTGTTTACTCTATTTCTGAGCAGACTCCGCAACAAATTTCCGTGAAACTGTTCCAAGCAACGGAGGAGCCTTCTGCATGTGACTTGCCCAAAAATGTGAGTTGGCCGGAATTTTTGATTCATTACTATTCAAATAGAGAACTTAGATCTTCGTGAGAAAAAAAAAAAAAAGACTGCCTAGAAACAGGAGAGTACATTGTCACTGTGCGGAGGCCATTCTGTAAACGAAGGTTTTTTAGCTTTCGGCAGAATAGTATCGCATTCCTTATAATAAACGTTTTCGCTGGTGTACTGATGATTTCTTTGCTCCTATAAGATCTAAGTGCTTGCCAATTATTTTCGTGTGATTTGTATTTATTTCGTTTCGTACTCTTTTTCATACCTCGTTTGTGTTATTTGTTAAGTTTTCAACTTACCAATATTGCTGCAATCTAATAAACAGTATTATGGAGTTGGAAAGATATCTTTTTTTGCTATTACAGCCTCTTTCTCTTTTGGTGTACACAACCTTCGCTTTAGCCACTTATTTGAGAGGGGTTATGGTAAATTCTAAAAAATGTGATCTCGATTCAAAGGGTCAAGAACCAGATGCATTCTGTAGATATCTGTGCCCTTCCTCGTCGGATGAAGAAGACTGCGAGAAGAAACCTGTGGACTCATTGCCTGTGGATGGTAAGTTGGAGGCCATTGGTTGATTGTTGACCAATAAGATTGTAAGATAAATTACACTTCCAGTTGTAGAAGGAGCGAAAGCGCGATCGGAGGGAAGCAAGAACGGGCAGCAGTCACTGTCAATGTTCTGAGGCTAAAAGTAAAACTGTCTTGTAACTTAAGTCTCATTCTGCAAAATAAGCTTCCTACTTGGTTTATTTTGTATATGTTGTTTTTTAGAGATCGTGTTTGATAACAAGGACCCCAAATTGGAAGGCACCGCTGTCGGCGCAGAAGTCAACATCACCCCACCAGACGAACCCGGCACCTTTCTCAAGCCTTCAATCACTAAAAGTGAACCCAAGACAGGCAGGACACCCATACATATCCTCAGGTATCTCTCAGACATGGACACACCATCTCCAAACTCCCGTCAAATTACTCCCATGCCGAAGACCACGATATATGTATCTCCCTCTAAGAACAGCAAGACTCCTGCACTTGGAGACAGCTTAGGGATGATGTCACCGGAACACGTGGTGCGACGATTTCCTGCCAATAATGATGGTTCGCCGCTCGTTACGCTGGCTGCAGGGGCTGGAAAAGAAGGCTCACGCGCCGTGACGCCATGCGGTCAGTTGGCTGTGTTTAGTCTTGACTCTCCAGGTAAGGGTGAGAAGAGACGAGACTCCGTCTTCTTTGCTTCCGTGTCGACCTCTGTGGCTGGGGCTGTGGATAACCTGATGTCCTTCTCGCCAGTTGTAGAGTCAAATGAATCAGGTACGTGTTGTCTCATATCAATAAGTTTCTGTTTGTCTGTTTGTTTACTTTTTTGTGGGAAATTAAAGATTTAAAACATTTATTTCGGACCAACAGATTTCCTCTTTTCTGTCCCTCACTGTGATTTGACCATTTCGCCCAAAGCAAACAGGTCTAATTTATGCATCAAGTTTGCCAAATTTTTCCATCAGAGCGGTTGGTCTTACCGGTAACTCCTGTGTAACAAGGTAGCTTTCTAAAGAAATTCAATGGCTTATTCGGCTGGTTCTGATTTTAGTTTGCACCGTAACCTTCACATTATTTTCCTTTTCATTTCCAGATTAATGGACTCTTCCAAATTTGTGATACTCATGCGAGACGAATCACCTCATCGTGGGATACTTCACTCGTGGAAGTAATTTTCCGATTGCAATGCAATGTTTTCGCTCTAGAAGAGTTACAACGATAGTTTTGAGATTAATTCTCTAATTTAAGTGTTCTAAATTTTTGAAAAAAAGCAGCCGTCGCAAAGACTTTTCAGGAAGACAAACAATCCAAGAAGGCAGACAATCGAAGACCGCTCCGTTTGTACTTTTACATTTTGTGACATAATATATATTTTTGAGATATACATTCAATTCGAGAGTAGTTCTTTATAACTTTTGGGCGGTTGAACTGTCCTTTTACAGGTGATTTACTTTGTTTTGGGAACAAAATGTGATGGCGATTGGAACGCTTTGACTGAAAATATTTCTCAAAATCCTTTCTTCGAACTGTTGATTTCACTTGTTCTGATGATAAGGTTTTACTTGGTGTAAATATGGCGCCTTGCCATTTCAAGCGAACCTTAATTTTGCTCTACAATTGAGTGGAACATCTTTATTTTTACCTTCACCGTTATGCGTGTAAATAATAAACATTTATATGATTTTGTTGGGTCTGCCTATTTTTGATGCTATTGTCATCAAGGCTTTCAGATGACGTCAGGGACCTCTATTGTAACAACGCATGTGCAGAACCGTGAATGCGCTTGCTAACCGTAATTAAATATAAAATTGCTAGATTACAAAGGAAGTTTACAACAATATTTCCTCCACTTCATCAGACAGCGATAAATCGTTCATTGCGTAACTGCATTCACGCCTTAAAAACGTAGGTGGGGAAGTGACTCATACGCTGAAGCTTAACCCGGTTTCGATATGTCAAGAAACCAGAGGTCCTGCAACTCCTAGATGTAGATCTGATTCGATGCAAGGGATTCTGGCTCGAAAATCAATCTGCATATCGAGATGCCAAAGCAGAGCTCGGGGGGATACCCTCTCCCCTAGCATGCAGTGCAAGCGTCTTATTAGAGCGAGGTAGTGTTCCAAAGTTTGATTCAGGGTTGGGAAAGGCGAGTAAGTTTTATTTCCATAAATCTTCTTTTGACCGTCGTTCGCCTCCTTTGATTCAAAATGTTTTCCTCTCCTTACCCTTCTGCCGCTGTAAAAGTCATTGCCGCGCTTCTTTAGGAGCTTGCAACCAGACGTAAGCCCGTCGCTATATCGTTTCCTTGAATTTATTTGGTTAGGTTTCATTTTCGCACCAAGGTCGATGGGCTGTCAAATTTTAACCCCAGTGCCAAAATTGGTTAACCTTTCCCCAGATCTTCCACAACGTAGACAAAATAAGTTGTAAGTCAGCAATAAAATTTGACGAACCTCTTCCCCAAACAAGTAAATAAATACAGTTTGAAAATAATACATGACAATAAACCAATCGTTCACAACGAAAAAAAGCACCAAATCCAGTTCGTAACATCGGAAAAGTTCAAAAGTTCAAACTGACTTCGAATAAATCTTCCCACTGAAACGTACCAACTGGCGAAAGATTTGATGGCTCCAACCTTGTTAGAGAAGATTCTCTCACGTACAACGCAATCGTAGAGCGTCTCCGCGAACAATTGAAGCCACAGAAGTCTGCTTTAGTAGCCAGGTATGAGTTTGACAACCGAGCACGTAACGCAGGAGAAACGGTTCAATATGTTGCTGTTTTGAAACATCTAGCTATGGATTGCAAATTTAACGACGCCATGCGTTTGGAAAGGCGAGATAGACTGGTTTCGGGTATTCGAGATAAGAGAATGATGTCAGAAACTTAAGCTTGAAACTAACATTTGACATTGCTGTTGCAAAGTGCTATTGAGCAATCTTAAAGGATGTTGGGGGAATAAAGCGTCAGAATCAATCGATCTATTAGCCAAATCAAAGCCAGGCAAGAAGCTTAAATTCAAGAGAGAAGCCAAGCTTTCAGAGAAAAAGGGTTCTTTTTCCCCCAAGAGAACGGGTGATCAAAGTTGCTACCGCTGTTTGGGAATTCATGACCACAAAAGTTGTCCATTCAAGAAAGAAAAATGCCACCACTGTAACAAGACTGGTCACATTGTGAGGGCTTGTAAATCAAAGAAAAAAGAGACACAAGTTTCCCAACCCCCAGTAAATTATGTAGACAGCGATGACGGGGACAGCGATTCAAACTTTCAAAGAGCCTTGTGACACTTAAGACATACACTGGGCAGAAAATCACACCTAAGGGAGAGATGAGATGTAATGTTAAGTTCAAGGGCCAGGAAAAGAGTTAAACCTACAAGTTGTTGAGACGCAGGGACCAGCACTGTTTGGGCGTGACTGGCTGTCCAACATTCAACTGAACTGGGGTGAAATCAAAACCTTTAAGCTTAGCAAGACTTCAAAGGGGTATGGCACGCAAAGTGGATCAGCTACTACAGAAGTACGAGTCTGTTTTCTCCGAAAATCTGGGCACACTAACATTTGGCAGCGTGCCATAGACCAGGTATTACAGGGAATACCTGGGACCCAGTGCATCCTTGATGACATGATTGTCACAGGTAAAACCGATGAAGAACATTTGGAGAACCTGGAGAGTGTACTCAAGCGATTACAAGTTGCGGGTCTGAAGGCTAACAAGGAAAAGTGCGAGTTCTTCAAAGATAGAGTTCAGTTTTGTGGGCATGAGATCGATAAGGAAGGTCTACACAAGACACAAGAGAAGATTGAAGCAGTGGTCAGTGCACCAAGACCTGAGAATGTGTCACAGCTTCGCTCATTTTTAGGGCTCGTAAACTATTACAACCGTTTCTTGCCCAATGCGTCTACAGTTCTCCACCCACTTCACCAGTTGTTAGAGCAAAACAACGAATGGCAGTGGACTGAACGGTGCGAGCGAGCGTTCACTGAGGCTAAGCGTATGATTACATCTGAGCAGGTGCTAACGCACTATGACCCAGCATTACCGGTTAGGCTGGCATGTGATGCTTCACCAACTGGCATCGGCGCGGTTCTTTCACACGTCATGTCCGATGGTAGCGAAAGGCCGGTAGCTTTTGCGTCCCGATCGTTGACCAAGACTGAACGACGGTATGCAGATAGACAAGGAGGCATTGTCCATTGTGTGGGGTGAAACGATTTCATGTTTACCTCTATGGGAGACGATTTACGCTCATTACAGACCACAAGCCCCTAATGGTCATCTGGAAGAGCTAGCGAAGGCTGCAGCGGGTGTCAGCAAAATCAGAAGATGCCTGCTAAAACACCACTACATCCGTGGGAGGGGCCACTACACCATGGCAGCGTATACACATCGACTACGCAGGGCCATTTCAGAACTCGATGTTCTTAGTGGTTGTCGACGCACACACCAAGTGGCCAGAAGTGGTTCCAGTCAAGTCAACTTCTTCAAGTTCGACTATCGAAATTCTACGCGATTTGTTCGCCAGATTCAAAACAGATAGTCAGTGACAATGGTAAGTTTGTTTCAGACCTTCAAACAGGCTTTGCGTTCCATGCGTCAAAGCCCCAAGCCAGTGAGGGAGAAGTTGGCGAAGTTTCTCATAGCTTACAGGAACACTCCACCACCGGTGAGAGCCCAGCACAGTTACTCCTGGGAAGACCATTGCGTACTCTCCTAGATTTGGTGAAACCTAACTTAAACCGTAAGATGGTTAACCAACAACACCAGCAGAGCATTAAGGCAGCGATTGACAAGGGTAAACAGTATCGCTAGTTAGAGATTGGTGACTCAGTTATGTCACGGGATTATCGAGGGATCTGAAGTGGCGTCCAGGGCTGATTGTTAACAAAACAGGTCCGCTGATGTATGAGGTACAGGTGGCACCGGGACTAAAATTTTGGACACACAGTTGAAAGCACTGACGAAAATGGCCAACACACCACTCCCTCCAAACTGAGGGCAAAAAAGATCAACCAAAGATGGTTCCTGTTTCCAAATAACCAATATGGTCAGAGTTCGCAGGGCACCAAACCAACTTTGTTTTATTCGTTCAAAGGTCAACGAAAAACAATTTTATGTTTTCCTTGAAATTGTATTTTAGGGCTTGTTTTGCCCAATCAAATTAAACTAGGTATCGTGCACCGCCTCCCAAATGCGCACGCAATATTTGAAGCAGCGTGGGAGAAAAGAGTAGCGTTTATGAAGTTTCAAAAATTGTCACAACCCCTGCGTTTCGGAACTACTGCTTCTTCAACAGCTAGGTTTTGAATTGATTGTTTGTACTCTTTTAATACGCTCGGGGTCCTTTTTTACCGCTTGAGTCGGCTGCGACTGCTCTTCCTCGATAGCTTCTCCGTAGTCTATCGAGCGCATTTAACAGCCATATGAGCAAACTGATCGTGTCTGCTATTACGTTGCAAACAATTACAATATTTGTTTATGATCTCTAATTTCCGTACATATTCAGATTCTTAAGGCTTAAGCGAGACTAATCAAAGAAAAAAGCGAAAGATAAAGATCCTGTTTGTTGCCGTAATTCACGACGGTGACTTCCTTTTCCATGGCATAAACATTGTGCTCCTAATTTTCTGAAGTCCAAGCACGTCTATACTGTATTCCTCCCGCAGAAAATTGTCAGACTCGCTTTTCCAAAAAAATCCGTTAAGAGTTTCTTTAAAATGTTTTGCTATCAAAACAGAAGAATTCTTCTTTCCACAGTCTTTCGACACATTGGACATTCTTGCATTCGGTCTCCACACAGTTGACATGCGCCGTGACCGCATAAGAATATAAGGTTTTTCTTTCGGTCCATGCAAACAGGACACAGCGTCTTAGGAGAAAAATAATTAAATAGATAAATAAATTAAAAAACATGCAGCGATTAGAATTTACATGCGTAGATTTACCAGAAATATGCGATACAAACAAGACGCAGTCAATCTCTTTTCTGGACCTTTCGTTATCCATGTTCTGCGCAAAAGATGTCGGAAGCACCGGACAAACCAAAATGTTTCTAACATCTGAATGACTGGCAGAACAGACAGCATGCAAATACAAAAGAAAACAAGCGTCTGCGCAAACTTTCAACGGTTTGAACCAGAACATTGAGATCAATGATGCTGACCAAAAGGATCGCGCTTCTAGGAGAGATTGATTCGGAACCCGTACCAAGCGCGGGAAAAGTCACGTGGGTCAGATCACGCGCCTGATCGAAGTTATATTCATCTATGTGATTGGCTGATAATCGAAGCAGAAAATTACAAATCACCTGTTCTTTCATGTCTTGGAGTTGTTGCTGCAATTGAGTGAATTCTTGTTGATTAATCTCAGGTTTACCACTTGATTTTGTTTGTGTCGCGGGTGCGGCTACAGTAAAACAAAAAAGAACACAGTTAAGAAAAAAGAACATTTGTAAGATCATCCTATAGAGAAGAAGCGTAGATGGTCAATATCGAGAAAGCGGAAAAAATGGTCAAAAGAATGGGAGGATCGAGGGACACATGAAAAGGAGAATATCTTCTTGATAAGACATTGAGGAATCTAAAAGCAGAGACCGACACTAAACAGAACTTAAGTTTTAAATTTTTGTAGTATCCTTTGACCGGACATACCAGCCTTTCTGTCTTTCTATTTTCAATGGATCACCAGTTTGATCCAACGTGTTCTCCCTGGATTATCGAACGCGGTGGTTTACTTTGCACAACACTCTTAGAAGATGAACAGCAAACTGAACAACTGTACTAACCTTTTCCACCACAGCACACAATGAACGGTATAGACTCTTCGATTTGGTTTCGGCACTGCACACATTTCTTCATCAATACAGCACAATCTAAAGAAACAATTACATTACATCAAAACGAGCAGCTTCAAATACGTATGTCTTTTGTCCACTGGTTGAAAAACTTGGCGTATGAAAAGATCCCTAAAATAGCATCAGGGGTACACGTTTTATAAAATGTTACCGGAGAGGTTAGTTGCACATTAAGCTTTCTAGAGTCTTTCTGCGCAGGACTCGGGACAATATTGCCCCTACAGAGAAGGAAATACGATATATAACCATTTTCAGCCTTAACGACAAGAAGAGACATAAGCATTCCAATGTAAAAAAAATTATAATAATGAATAATAATAAAATAATACTTACTTTCACAGGCCACCATGTGTCCACAGGGTTTAAACAGCGCTCTTGCAACCTTTTCTGAACAGACGAGACACTCTTCGATCTAAAATGACACGGCAAGTAAAGTATTACAAGAGCACGGGAAAGTCTTAGGACGCTTTTCGCTTGAGTGTCGTACGGCCAACCAGAATACACAAAGAATAGCAAATGAGAACTTAAAGCAGAAAAAACTAAGTAAACTGCCTAAAGCGCGGGAAAACGCGGGTTTCTCAGACGCAGTAGGTATCACTGTTGGATCTGATTAGTCGAGAGGATGACTCGTGATTTGTAGACCATTCACATAGCCAATAAAACAAACCCAATCTTCAATTCCTGATTACCACCATCTTTCTCTCAGTCATGTACAAGTAGCGCCACGTCATTGCGTGACATCGACGGCATTCTCTCAATGCAACGCTAGCGTGACAAACCAGACAGCGAAGTTTGTAGATACCTTAGTTCTTGACTGCACAGTCTCCTTACACATAAGACACTTCTTCACACGCGGAGAACACAGCGAACAAGTAGCCACGTGACCACACGGCCCGAACAGCATGTCACGCTTCATATCTGAACACACCATACATTCGTCTAGTCCTTCGTTCTCATCGACGTCCGCCAGTATGGTAGCGTTTGCATTGTTCTTTTGATTGCTACTGTTAAAAATGATGATAGATAAAAGAATGAAAATGAAACTTTGTCTAAGAAATGACTCGTTCCCTTGAAAAAAAACAAACAAAAAACCAAGTTCCCATTCTTTAGGTGTTTGTTTCGTTAGACCACTCATGCTCCATATTTTGGTTCCGTTCTTACCTGGACCGTTCTTTATGACATTTAGCCAAAGCTTTGCAGAGATGAGGATCAGGACAGAGATCCAAAGGAGTTTGTCCCTTTTTGTTCTTTACATTCAGATCGGCTCCATTAGCGGCCAGGAAGAGGGCGATTGATGCACTGCTCTTTTTATCGGCACCTTGTGTTCCCAAACCCATAAGAAGCTAGAAATGGAAAAGGAAGAATCACTTCCATCACACGATGTACAAATACAGTGGTACATGTCGAAAATCTATTTATTAGAAGTAACGCCTCCTCGTCTACTTCCCCCGAAAGGCCACATGGTCAGCTCTGAATCGGCAAATTTTCCAAATACCACCGATGGATCTAATCATTCCATACAAAACCTGAGAAGCTAATAAATAATTTGCTCTCGTTAACTATCGCACAAACTTAGTGCTCGCCGAAAAGAATCAAGAAAAGAGCACTTGACCTCAAAAAAAAAATCTAAATTTCCTTTCCCATATTTAGGAATATTCCTCCAGTATCACTGTGTTAGTAATTCAAATCAGCCTTTTTAACCTTCCCATACTAAAAAAGCACCGTGGTGATTGCTGAAGATGCTTTAACAGCCTGTTTCATGGGCAAGATGAGACAAGACTGCTATGCAATGTTGAACCCTGTCTAAAAATAAATTGAAGAAATTAAAAAAGATAGAACTTTTGGAAAGAGCGTTCAGATGTTTTGAACAAGCATTCTTTGAGGTCCTCCATGTAGCAGGAAAAATTACACGTGTTACCTTGCCGACATCTTGCATATCCTGTAGCTGTCGTAGTTGTGACAGCGTGTGGTGTCTGAGAGACTCATGGAGGGGAGTGTCGCCGTCCTTGTCTTGGACATCCAACTTGGCACTTTCACGTACAAGAAGCTATCGTAAACAAAAGGCGTCGTACAAATTAACCTGGCTTCTCGGTTACGTTGAAGTTGTAGGGAAATCCACACAAAAAGGTGAGTTATTAACTGTCAGAGTACCAAATATGGAACAGCAAAGATTGGCCAATAAACGAAATGAGTAATAGTTTGACGCGCAGGTGATCTAACAATCAACAAAAGACCTTCGCGAGTAAGATGCGACGAGAGAAATTACAGAAAAGAAGCACGAAAAATTTTCAACAAGTCATTGGAGACTGAGGGAAAATGCAGTAGTACTGAAGTCTATATTGTAAAATACATAAATTTGTACATGATACGGAAATATGACGAAGTTAATAAATTAACACCGACTCTTCTCATTGCGAACAAAAAGTCAACTGGTCGATATGATCCCCATTGTTAGTTAAATGACACTTACATAACCTTATTTTCAAACCACTGACTACAACCAAATAAAAAAGAACAAATACATATAAACAGATGGCCTACTGTACGTTAGTTTCGTCCACTTGTTCTGGCCTTTTTCTCTTCCCTTCGATGTCCGTTTTAAAGAGAAAAGACAATACTTAACTCAACTGCGATAAGTTTAGTTTAATTTCGTACTCACTCTGACAATCTGTGTATGCTGCCTTTCTACAGCCAAGTGGAGCGGCGTTTGAAGGTTCGTATTCTGAATATCTTTGTTTGCTTTTGCCTACAAACATAAAGAAAGGAAAATAGACTTAACCTTTGCTAAATAATTGGTACTTGTGAATGCCTGGAAACACCCAACGCCGAGTAATACTTACTTAAACCGTTGACCCGTGAAAGTGATTAGCATCTAATTTCTCCTTACAGTACAACCCCTGAATCACATATTAAGGTCACGAGAGTAGAAAGAAATTATCGCCAACTCAAGAACCTCTTGATTGTTAAACAAACTCTCCTTGTACTTGTAAGTACCATGGGAAATGTACACCTCTCTCTCTCAGAGATTTTCGTACCACAGGTCACTGTAGCAAGTTATATAGCACTAGCCCTCAGGGCTAGAGAACCCTAGTCGAGGAAAGTGCGGTTAGGAATATCGGCCTGCTTATGGTGCCTGTTACCGTTATACCACCTAATCCGACAAAAACTACGCACAACAGGTAATTGTAAACAGTTGTATATCTAAACAAAGAGAGAAAAAATCTGACTCCCCACGAGGATATCGAATCCCACGCCTTAAGATGCTCACTTACTGAGCTACATTGACCAATGACAGGCATTCTGTATACTGCGGGGATCAGCAATTCCTATAGCTTAGTGTTAGTAAATTGAGGACTATTTTAAATCAAGAAAATATAAACCGAACGAACCTGTTTGACAAGCAGCTCGGCGACTTCCACGTGATTGTTGAGTGCGGCCAGATGAAGAGCCGTGTACCCATCATCCTTCTTCTCATTGACAATCCATGGACGTGGTAGCTTGGTGAGGAGGATACGCATTGCACTACAAACATTTAAAATTAAGAATAAACACGAGGAACACATAACAAGTAGATTCATTTTAAGTTGTCCCAGGATCTTCTGCAGGAAGAGGTTTGTAGCTGGGAAAATGCGGTTTAAACTGTAAAGTTCGTCGTCTAATTTCGATCATCTTTGTTCTACTAAGGTATTTAATCCTTTAATCCCCAACATCTGTATGATAATTCTCCCATCCAGCTCCTACACATTTCTTTACAAATTAATTACGAGAATTTGGTGTTAGATCAAGATAACAACTTCCACCCAACAAGTTTGAGCGTTATCATTACCAGCATTTTACAGCAAGCAGAGTGTTCTCTGTTTGCTGTTTAGTGTACGGTATGCATATTATAGGGAGAAGTTGCATGTTAAACACTTCTGGGAGCTACGCGGTTAAATAAACATCACATGTCTTATCGCAGGAGTACTCTCACTCGCGGTCGAAATTTCCGTTTTTGTACGTTGAGAAAGCCCGAGACATGTTGAATTTACCCTGGGCACGCCACGACTTTCCCTCGCTTGCCCCCCGCTTCCCCACTTCACTTTCTCATTGGTTAATCGCACTAGCTGCTACGCAGCGATTGGTTCGAGAAAAAGCCATTTCAATTTACCTTGGGTTCCCACGCAGGGCAGCATGGTGCAGAGCATTGAAGCCATTATTATTAGCCACTGTCACGTCAGCGTTAGCTTCTAATAGCATCGTGACCATATCGTCACGCTTTTTAGAGATGGCATCGTGTAACGGCGTGTCTCCTTCGGTATCCTAACGTTGAAGAAAATTTAAAAGTTTCAGAAAAAGCTGGCTTATTAGATACTATAGATAATTTAATTTAAATTGAACAATAAAATGAAACTCCATGCCAACAATTAGTGTTTGACAGAAATATTTTTTAAAGAGTAGTTCAGGTTACCTGAGAGACGCTTCAAATGTCAGAGTTCTAAACGCGTTTTACACTGGAATTAAGTTACAGTCGCTTTATCAAGATCACAATTTGTCACCACAAAAAGATTTAAAAGTTTCGTTACACCATCTACTTCCATTTTACTTCTATCGACAACTACGCTAAGTAATTAATTGTTTTACCAAGGGCTTTGAATACTATGGCTCATATAACAAGAGAATATCAAAACTTCCTTCACCTGCAGGCTAGGGTGACACTCTAAAGCAAGAAGACTCTTCACCACCCCTGTGTGTCCTTTATTGACAGCCACATGCAGGGGTGACTGACGGCGTTTATTTCGCGCGTTCATGTCACTTCCGGCACGGACCAGCTGCTCCACGACTGCCGCCTCATCTCCAAACGCCGCGTGGTGGATAGCACGGTCACCATCTTTGTCCTGACATTGACAAGAAAAAATCATTTAACCCTTTAACTCCCATGAGTAGCCAAGACAGAATTTCCCCTTACAATATCTAAACAATATCAAACGGAAAAGTGTAAAGAATGAAGAAAAATATCTATAATGGAGCAAGTAATTGATCTAATACCAATTCTCCCAGGTATCATCACAAGAATCAAACGACAGACAGTAAGGAGAATTACTTGTGAGATCTTGAGAGTAAAAGGTTTAACCCTTTACTCCCAGACATCCACATTCATATTCTCCATACTGTTCTCTATACATTTCCTATGGTACTGACAAGGAGAATTTGTTTATCAATCAAGAGCTCCTCAAGCCGCCGATCATTTCCTTTATTCTCATGACCTTAATGTTTGATTCAGCAGGATAATTTTGGGAGAAAATAGATGCTAGTCATTTTCAGGGGCCGAAGGGTTCACCATTAAGTAAAAAAAAGCGATGGTTATCGCAATGATTTAGATATCAAATCTTCTTTAGACAACAACAGAGCTGACGTTACAGAAAGTTGTTTTTTCTCGTCTTCTTCTCATGAATAAATAAAAGAAAGAGATGGTAAAGTTTAGGCTCGATAATCGTTTTCTCCTCTTGACGAAAAACATCTCATTGTTAATGATCTCTCTTACTCTGTCTACTCACACGAAACTTGACATTAATTCAGATACATTTACATTGCATTTACCTCGGCCTCCAGGTCCACATCAAATCTTATGAGAACTCTGACTGTATCCTCGTGACCATTCTGACTAGCAGCTTGGAGAGCTGTGTGCCCAGCAAATACGCCATTAACCTGATCACAAGCCACAAAGAGGGCATTAGACAATAATGGCAAGATCGACATCAAATATCTTATGAGAGAAGAAAAACAAGACCCAACAGACAAGTGGCCGAGAAATTAGAAAACAAACAGCTATAAGATATTGCCTTTGCGTGCTAACATTCTTATGTCCGTACCCTTTTTAAATTTAAAAGTCCTTAAATCTAATCAACAAAGAAGTTTATGTGAATACGAAAGCGATCTTTGCATTAATGAACACTACTATAGCAGTAGTGAAAATATGGCCTGAAAAAAAAATAAGGCCTATACAGGATTTAAACCCATGACCACAGCGATGGTGCAGTGCTCTACCAACTGAGCTAAAAAGGCCAACTGAGAGCTGATTACTGTTGGTTTCAAATAAACCCGTGAAGTGATGAATAAACGACTGTGTATTTTGTTAGATAAAAAACTCAGACATCAACCCTCTGCCCTCCAATCACCCAAGATCAACCATTTGATACTGGAAAATTTGAAAAGTTCTTACATTGGCATCCTCTTTGAGCAGAAGCTCTTCAACTCTTTGAGAGTCCCCATTGGCGGCAGCCTTGACTAGTTCCTCTACCGCATCGCCCGGTACATGTGTCTCAAACAGCTTCTTCAAAAGGGCTGATAACCTCTCAGCTACAAGATGAAGAGAATTTTAAACCCTAAGTGCCATGAACATTGATCACGTACAGTTATCTCCAAACTTGCATAACAGCCAACAATTTCTGGAGTTGATTTACATTCTAGTCAACCTTATACATCCTTTATCATACCCTATAGAGCAGTTTTCAATCAACTGTCAAAAACAAAATTAAAACCAAAGAAATCACAAAGCAACCAGGAAATCACAAAGCAACCAGGAAATCACAAAGCGACCAGGAAATCACAAAGTGACCAGGAAATTGCAAAGCAACCAGGAAATGACAAAGGGATTGGTTTAAATTTTTGTTTTGCTTCTGATTGGTTTGGAGGATGGTGCAAGTTCTTTGGACCAATCACAGAGTAATGCAAAGCCAAAGCATTCCTGGATGACACTCAATTGCAATTTGCTCTGCCTCTTAGCAAAAATTAGAATTAAAATTTTGGTTTCTCTTTCTCCTTTAGATAACTTTTGTTACAGAAGTGTAAATTTATGTGTAAGGAAAAAAGGCTTGGGTTCCTATCCATAAAAAGGCATTTTTGCAGATCACAAGAAAAGACACACATTACCACTAACACATGCAATGAGCCCTTTCACTACCATGAGCGACCAAGACAGAATTTCTCCTCACAATTTCATTACAATATTAAGCAGACGATTGATGAGAATAAAGAAAAATATCAATTAGGAGAGTAACAAGTCGATCCAATACCAAATTCTCTGAATTAACATCATAAGCAGTGTATGGCAAACAGTTAGGAGAATTAGAGAATTACTATTGAGATCTTGGGGGTGAAAGAGTTAATACCTCCAGCTGATGCCCCCAGGGAAGAAGAGTCAGTTGTGGATGCCACTTTTGTGACAAGTATTGGATTATAGGTCCATGATGTTCCACAGATCTCTACCTACAAAACAACAAAAAACACAGTTCAATAAAAATCTTTATGCTGGTAGCTAAAACCCTTCTGCTACCTCCCCCTCCCCTTCCCCAAGTTTCAAATCAACACGACTATACTCTACTTCAAAAGGGTCAGAGTGAAACTTTACAACAAGTCCAATAGAAAAAAAACTTATAGATATGGTTTGAGTTAACCTCTCCAAGACTACATAATACACAGCACATGTACCTGATGCACATCACACTTGTAATGAGTAACTTCTTTCAAAGTATAAAGTAAGTTAAAAGTAACACCAACAATATCTTGCAAATTTACGTAATTTAGATGCCATATTCAGGCACAAGTTCCTCCCCAGCATTTTGTCTAGTCAGTGAGCAGAACCCATCTAAAAAAATTAGAGATTTACAGCAGTTTTTAAGTGATTGTTGAAAAAACAAAACCAAAGTAATCACAATCAACAAAAAAAAACAAAGACAATAGTCAATGGTTTCAGTTTTGATTAAAATTTTGATTTTCTTGATTGGTTGAGATGGTGGCGTAAGTTTTCTGGGCCAATTCCAGTGCAAAGTAAAGGGAAACCAAAGCAAACAAGGATCACTTTCAATACTCAATTGACAGCTGCTCTCATGAAACCATATCCAAGGCCATTACTTAACCCTTACACTTCTAACTTTAGAGCAATTCACTTTAAAAAGGTTGGAGGTAACACAGTAACTAACCTTCAGGTCATTGTCATGGTAAATCTGCTGCACTCTGCCAACCTTGCCAAGAGTCTGGAAGATGAAACAGAGAGATTCAGTATGATTAATGAAATGTCGCTTGAGTTTGTCTAATATCACCAAATAATCCAAGACGCCCCTCACCAATCAAAATACAAATGACAATTTTACCAATATTAATGAACCAAGTCACAAATGGAAGTTAGGTGCTCAAGGGGCCTAAGGGGCTGCAACACCAGTAGCACCCCTAGGTACTAGAACACCTGACTGGCCTGCCCAACAAGCAATCCAGCCACAAGCCCCCTGCACCAAGCCCCATGAGCACCCATCACACTGAGCCAATTGGCTCAGTGGAGGAAATGTAAATAAATAAATGAATCAATACATGAAACATTAATAAATAAACATAAGCCTGCAGCTGGGGTTGGGGGGGATGCAGAGAACAGCTATTCTCAAGGACAACAACGCCATGCTATAGAAAAGTGAACACAATGCTAGCACATAGTAAAACAACACATGCACTGAGGTATACTGCTGGACAAGGACAGCCTCAGGGCCCCAACAACCACAGTACTACTGCAAATGCTACAGAACACAACAAACACTGCATGAAAGTTGACAGCTGGCCAAGACACAAACCAAATGCCTGAAAACAATACTGACCATATTTTCTCCAAGCTGTTAACTAGGTTAATTCCATTTATTAATATATTAAAAAGTGGTGAGAGTAACAATAACTCACAGGTAGCATTGCCTCTGCCCACTCGCCATGTCCTCTCTGTAACATCTTAACCTTGTCAACATCACTGCTTATCTGCACCAAGTCACCAACAACAAACTGAGAGGATGACCCTGCTCCTGTTGTGGTGGCACCAGACCCTGACACTGCACTGGGTCCAGAAGCAGTGGGAGATGAAGGTGTAGTGGTAGAGAGAGATATTGTACTGTCTAAAGTCTCAGAGGTACCGATCACTTTGGTCAAAATTGCTGGGTTAAATGTCCATCTACAAAATAAGTTGTAAAAAGTCTATCACTGCATGACAGAAACAATGGAACAAGGGACAGTTAATATTATGTTTACAGCATTTTCCAAATTCATCACCAAAATTCTGCAGTCCTTTTACTTCCTAATCATGTAAATCACATTTCTAACACTAAATTGTGATTACAAGCTATCTTTCCGAGACAAAAAACCTCCTTGTAAAATAAATCACCTTTTCCTTCACTCCGATTAAAAGTCATCATGATGGCAATTATAAAAACTTTAATGTATAAAATAACTGAAAAACTACAGACACCTTAATCAGTCAAAAACCTATTGCTAATTTTACCCATAGAAAATTGAGGGTTACTTTCTATAGGCAGTTAATGATTCTGGCCACATTTTCTATGGGTTTCCTGGCGTAACAACCCACTTGGGATGTTGGGAGAACACTTAAAAGGTTCCCCACAACATCTGGTAAACTGATAGAAATTGTGGTCTATTGCTGAAGAATCAAATTTCAATCTGATTCAACAACAGTTGCTGTTCATTTTGCACAGTAGTTCACACCAGTCCAGTGATAAAAAAGTGTTTTACCTGTTGCCTGTAGGATATAAGACCATAATATCATGATCCTCATCAATTCCAACCACTGTTCCTGGAGTTGTGAGAGTCTGCCAAAAAATGCAAGAAAGGTAATTGAGGAGAAATACACCAACACATCATACCCTGGCATGACATTCATTTATTTATCAATCATCACTGTCCATCTAGTCTAATAAATATAACTGCAAAGCATACATCCATGCTTAAGTATGCAAAGTGTAGGTTACCATTAAAACTATTCTTGAACTGACTGTAGACTAAAATAGAGAAATTTTTCAGGATTGAAATTTTCCCATTACCTCATACATTCCATCTGTCCAGCCTCCATGCCCATGCTGCAATGATTGCACAATCTCAAGATCCAAGTCAACAGTGACTTGATCTCCAATCTGTAACCCCTGACCTGTCGCACGACTTGCTGGTCTGGTATCCCCTGAGTACAATGATAGAGATTGATGAACAGGCTGACTCACACAATATGATTTGTGGGCCCCATTTTTCACTGGAACCTACATCATATCTCACCAAAGGCCAGTTCATAATATTGACATGAAATTTTCTCTAAGATTATTTTCTGACTTCATACTAAACCCTTGCAGTAACAGATTTCCTTGATTTGGACCAACTGAGAATAACTTAGGCATTTGGCCCTCTATATCAATTCATAGTGTTTGCTCACTATCCAGAAATATCTTTTACCACCAAACTGCAAGGAAAAACTTACAAAAAAAGGGGGGGGTATGAGGGGAGAGTTTTGACCCAGTCTTGACCAGAATCCCATTCAGTGGTAGAGGATTTACACTCACTGTATGAACTGCCTAGCTCATATGTTAGATTTTTTAAAAATATATAAAATAAGACCCTTGACCTTTTAATTCCTAAGAGTGATTGGCATCTAATTTCTCCTTATAATGTCACCCATGAACCAAACATTAAGGTCATAAGAACAAAGGAAATGATCAACAACTAAAGAACTCTTGACTGTTAAACAAATTCTCCTGTTCAGAACCTTAAGACATGTATAGAGAGCAGTATGGAGAATATGCATACTGATGATAGGATATAAAGGGTTAATAATTCAGACAGAAATACCTAATAATGGCAGGTGATCCCTGTAAAATGTTCCTCCTTTGGCATCACTTATTACTTTGAGGTCAGCCTGGAGAGGGAGAAATGAAATCACTGTTGAAAGGGAGCTGACAGCTAGTTTACATGAAATAAAGTAGTTGCACTTTGTTACAACTAAGGAATTAGCAAACCAGTGCACATTTAAATGACATCAAATTACATACCATGCCTTCGAATCCAAGTCTGTACAAATTCTTTGCTCCATTGTCCCACAAGATGTAAGCAGCACTACGAGGGCTTGACGTACTCCAATCTTGGACTTCTGTTACTTTTCCACGGCGACCAGGACCACCTAGGTAAGGAAAGCGCATTTCATATCAGTTAAGAGTACATGTAATAGGATAATACACTTTAATACATAGTTTTGGGAGAGTTAAGGTGCATTTAATGTACCCTTGATTCTTCCAATGGATGTTTATGGTTCTCGAGATGAAATCCCCATGCAATGCTTCAAACTGTTGATAATCTGCAAACCTAAGATCAATTTTGTACTAAACAGTGGCACTAGTTCTGGCTAAAATATACTTTTCTTGCTGAGATTTTTTGGTTCAAAGGCCTACATTACCCTACCACTTGCCTTGGCAGAAACTGATAATGTTTCTAAGTTTTCTCAACTGAACAATATGCTTAGCTTTTTGTATTTATACAGTCAAGCACCCTGAAATGCTATGTGTTAAAAATCTAACAAAGGAGACTTCAGTAGTAGTTGTACACCAGGTTAGGTTTAGCCTGTGCATTAATTTGTATCATAGCATTCTTTGAATTGGCCTATACACTTATGTACTCTTGCATACAACAGTTGACAGTTACACACATAAAATTTTTTACCGTCTTGATCTTCCCACTGCCAATCAACTCCACGAACAACCCTAGCTCCTGGAAATATCCCTCTGGCAGTAATTTTTTTGCTTTTTCTCCTTGCTTCACAAAGTACTCTAGGAATAAGCAAAGAGAGACAATAACATCAATTACCTGGGCTTTCTGCGATGATTAAGCGCAAAAGAAATCTGGATTGTATTTGTTTCACTTTCAACTATTGCATAATATGTTCACTTTGTGTTCTCATGACAAGTATCTCCTTGTGTTATGTTCCTTTCAACAAGTTAGCTGTAAGGACACACTTGGTTTTGGTTTTATAACATCAAACAAAAAGCAAACTTACAAAAACCAGCTTAACATGAAATCATCTCTTTAAGAAGTTTTTAACATGCATGTGCTTGATAATGTACCTGATGCAGTTTAAAAGATCAACAAGATTTCAAACTAATTTGAATTACTTTTATTAATTTGTCTTTGTTCCACTTACAATGCTATTGTGATTGTCTTGGAACAGAGAAAATTTCAAATTGAACCAGGAGGAAATCAGTATAAGTGCAATAAGGAAAACTTTTAGCTATACTACTGTACTACCAACAGACTTAAAGTTTGAAAATTATCCAAGACAACATGACATTGTACCTCTCCGAGTTAGGTCCACAAACCCGGTAGAACTGATGCCGCAAGTGATGTTTGTCTCCATGGTAACACACACTACACAAGTCATAGTTTTGACAGTCAGCACATTTCCATCTCATCCCATATATAGGTTGCATGCGACAGCCTTCGCACATACTGCCTTCATGTTTTATACCTGAAACAAAAATTTGACTGTCTGAACCATTCAACACCTATCATACATGTCACAGAAAACTATAATTATTACAAAATTCTCAAACATGACTCTTTATCAGCAGATTGATTCTTGCTCCAACAGGACCATGAATGTATTATGCTTGTAACTCAACATTGACATAGGACAGTCTATATGAGAGATCAAGAATTGCGAGATTGGAGTGCACCATTTATGCTCTATGTTATAAAGCTTGTAACTCAACATTGACATAGGACAGTCTACACAAGAGATCAAGAATTGCAAGATTGGAGTGCACCATTTATGCTCTCTGTTATAAATAAATATTCTGATGTGAAAAGATGCACCCTGTTAAACTATCAGGTTCAGTATCTTCTGGGTTGGAATGTATAAAACCTGTCAGGGCTGAGTTCACTATATGTTAAAGGTGAAGATATTGATTGCTGTCACAAGACACTTGGCTGTGCATTGCACTGCTATGGGTGATTTCTCCAACACTTCAAAAGCTAGTTACAGCCCTGAACTGCCATGTATTTATTTAGGAAGAAGTTTGAATAATCAACATTTCCCTCCTTAACTTTTATTATAGTTTTGATTGATTGTTAACATGACTTCACGTCATCCTATTGTCTGAAAACTCATACAAGTTTGTGACTGTCAAATCAGAAAATTGCTCCAAAGGTCATCCAATTGTTATAATCCCTCACATGATTACTGCTAAACTCCCTCCTTTTCCCATTCTGAAAATACAACCAAACATGATTTGGTTCCTTCAAGCAATCTTCTTCCTTTTTCCCTGAGTCATTATACTGCCTTATGAAATTTATCCTTTGAGTTGTTGGGCATTTAATTACATTTTTTGTTTTTATTACACTACCATGCTAGAATTTCCCAGGTGAAAGGATATATAAATTTCGTAAGGTTGTCATCTAAGTCTGGCTAAGAGCTTATGTTTTAAGTCAGTCCTACACTTGTGATAGAAGTACTTTCTCTATGACGACAATTTTGTTTGAATGAGCCAATACTTTAAAAATTAGAAGTTAGACACCTCTTTTCAAACAGAAGGGGAACTTCAGGGATATTTCGAGCTGTAAAATTTTGACATAAATGGAATAAAGCAGATTAACGCTTTAATATGAATTACAGGGGAAACCTGACACAAATCTGGAAATAAAACAAAAAACTCCCAAACGTGCTGTAGATACTAAACGCCGACAGGAACGCTTTCACAAAAAGAGGTGGGAAGTTTAACTAATAGAATATGAGAGAGAAAACAGCTGGACCACACTTAAACACGTCATAAGAAAAGGATAGCAGAGCTAACAAAAAACTTCAACCCTAATGAAAGGATGACAACATTTATCTACCAGTCCATGATCGGATTAGCCAAGATATGTAGCGAAAGCCGGTTCCAAAAAATCAGTTTGCGACTTGTGAATGAAAATGAAAATAAAATGATATCACGATTGCAATAATTTCACGAGAATTTTACATTTATTTCCACTAAAGGTTAATGTAGTTAGAGTTTACCACCATGTATAAAATCGAAAACTTACCAGTTGGGCTACTGTCTAGAATTCTCAAGTCATAAATGCCTGAACATCGATAATTCGCGGCGGTCCCGTTGTCCCAAACAACCACAACTTCTTGGTTACTTTCAAAGTTTCGCACCGTTCCGACATGACCTTCGCCTCCATCTTGTTTTCCCCATCTCCAGTCGGGTCCTCTTACAACTCTATAGCCTACGTATTCCATTTAACGCTCGTAAATACCGAATATGCGAGGTAAAATGGCCACATGAATCAGTCATCTTCCTTACGAATTGTTCTTGTAATATTGTGCGTGTTTTTGGTACCCAGTACTTCATCGGTCAACCTCGATTTCGTGAAACTTCCTGTGGACCTGAAGGCCTTTATTTACAACCAGGCTAACTTACAACATTTTAATTTTGATAGCGAAGAATCTAAACCTGGCTAAACAAAACTTTCTCTAGAATTCCCGGGGATGTATTGTTTCACTTTTGTTGTATACGAGGAAAGGAGACATAACAAAGGAAATGAGAAACTAGCAGGAAGAACCCGAAAAGTTTCGTCAGTGTGGGAGGCTAAATTTTATTATTGGATTGACATCTGCACTCCTGATCGATTCAAACGAGGGGGATTGGAAAATAATCTAAACGATAACAACATTCCATACGTTCCAGAGTTCTTTGCGTCTGGCAACTCGGTGTAAAACCTTTGATCAGTTGGCACGGACACTTCTCAGACAATGAAGTTCTTTCGCTTTTAGACGGGCAGCAATCTGTTCATCTTCAACGATAAGAGGTCATCATAAATTTAACATTGGTCACGACATTCTTTCAGGTACGCAATTTGCTCTGAAAATCATGTTTACGTTCAAGTCCTTATGAGGCCTGAAAATCGGGACAAATTTTGTTATCTGTTCCTACAGCAAGTCTTGTCCTCGTGATTCTTACGGGAAATTTTAGTTTGGTTTCGAGATGAAAAGGATGTGACCTTTCTTGTTTCATGCCGGTTGGATGCGAAGTATGCTTAACTCAATGAGCGCGGTCAGACAACTGCGATCTTCGATTACCGCTCGTAAACTGTACCCTGCTTTCTTTCACAAATACAGCTAAATATTAGGGGGAAAAGGGAGAGAGAGGAGTCGAGTTCTGAATAACCGTTCTACCCAGCTCTTCAGGAATGTTATGAAGGAGAAGAAACGATCATAGATCAAAGAGTCAGACGAAAAGTAACACCTAAGGAAGTTCAGGCCGATGTGATTGGGGGAAATGCCTCAGTAGTGTCGGATTCGAGTTATTTATTGTATTGCAAATGCAACTTAGACGTGTTAACTCTCTACTTCGTGGTGGATTTTTGTCGAACCGTTCCCAAGGAACAAGTAATTAAAAGCTTTAGTATAATTAGCGCATAGCGAGCTCTGAATAGATTTAATTAGTCCCTATTAGCCAGCGCATTGTGTAGGTCGTAAAACAAAGATTAACTTTTTGCGCGGATATGCTTTGATTTTAATGGCGTTTATAAAATTGTTTTTTGGATGCCATTGCTGAACGTGAGTAGATTTTAATTTCCCTAGTGATCTTTAGTCTGATGGGGTCGTATTTCTTTGAAGCGGTCGGGAGTTGTTGTTAAGATTCAATGAAATATCACGCTAACTAGAAATTATTTCCTTCCATAATTATTCAAGCGAATTGAATCGGCTCGGTGAAGCGAGGGACTGGATACTCAATACTGTATGCTATATGCTATGGTCAAACAAAATATCATTAAGCAATCTTCCGACCTAATAAATAATTTACAACACACCTCAGAGTTCGGTAGATATTTATTTCCTTCCGGCACATTCTGCGTAAAATTCAGAGGTCCTTGTGGTTTAAGAAGTTCTTTACACAATGTTGCGAGAACACTCGAAAAGTTTGAAAACCACTCTACTACGGCTCGTAGCTTAAAAACTTTCTTCGTGTTCTCCCAACATTCCGCGTGGGTTATTACACCGGTAAATTGATAGAAAGTGCGGTATATTGCTTAAATCGTCGCAGAATTGTGCAGTACTTGTCCTTGACGTGTGTTAGCCGCATTTAACGCAAAATAGTTGAGGGGGGAGATATTTTTACGTCCGCAAAATGCGACAATTGTGCGAACAGCAATCGCCAGAATCGATGCTTGACACAGGAGGTAGGGGGTCATAAGGATATTGATTTATTGTCAAGATAAGAGAGAGAATGGGACGCTAGTGGCAAAAAGAGAAGCGAGTTGATGGGGCGGGGGTTAAATAGCCCCATCCCATAAAATCCTAGATGACAGTTTTTGATTTTAGTGTAATTTACTGCTTAAATTTCCTTTAATCTCCGCAGGCTGTTCAGTGCTCTCAAATAAGAAGGTATGACTGAGTTAGTTCTCCATGAAGCGGCTGTCAATGGCGACTACCAGCAGCTTGAGAGCATGTTAATGATCCACCGAATAGATGTCGATTATAAAGATGAAGACTTCGGCGATCGTACAGCGCTCCACTGGGCGGCCTCCAAAGGTGAGAGACGTTGTTTGACCCTCAAATTCCCAGGAATGACCTAATAGGAATTTTTCCTCAGAATATCACTACGTATACATTTTCAAGGATACAGGTGAGGAGGAGAATGAAAAAGATCACTTGATTAAAACCAGATTCTCGGAACTTAATTAAGGAGAACTGTACTATAATTGGTGGGGAGATTTGTATCCTAGATCACATAGATCTTGAGAGTGAAAGGGTTAAAGATTTTTTTCGCTTTTGATACAACCGTTTACTCAGGGCCGTCAGTGGTACTTTAGTGACCAATTTCCTCGCCTCTGTTTGTTCCGAGATACCCCAGGGGCAAGAGATAATTCAGTCAGCATAAGGCGATACCGTGGTGCACTGCTCATCCGTTCTGCGCGTGATCGCGCGCGCTCTTAATTTCGCAACGAGGTAGTCTGTTATCGAAATCACCTTGACGAGCTCCTTGTAAGAAAATCGTATATCACCTTCAATTACTGAATGCTGACGTTCTTTCATCCCACAAGATAGGAAACAGACCGAAAGATTTTTTCTTTCAAAGTATTCTTAAACCAATGTATATACCCTGTATAAAAACGGCGTTTTGTCACGGTCGTGAGGTAGCCCGATATTGCACGGATTCACATGGAAAACTTAACCTCTGACAAAAGGATGCGATTCTTTCACTCAGCGAAAATGTGTTGTGAAATATCGGCATGAGATTACGTCATGTTTTTTTGCCAAGAAAACTTTCGAAAGTCTGTATTTTTTTCCAATTGAGTATGAATTTTGGCCTGCAATAAAACTGACATAGATACGTCCTCGCCGCGCAGCCTGGGAACGCTACAAATTCTAAATCGAGTTAATAACAAAACAACCTGTTCTCTCAGAATCGCACGTCCATCCCTAGATCTATCACTGCTTCTGGTGTAAAAGAAAGGCTCTAACAACACGACGGACGAAGACACAAGGACCATATTTACCTACTGTTTTGCTCCTCCGTCAACAAAGCCGATCAAGATATTTTAGAATCCGCCAGTTTTAATAGTCTTCTTTTCAGCGGTTATTGGTTATAGTATCAGTCAAAATAATTTCCAAATAATTTCTAGAAATCCTTAGCCAGCCCCTTTTTACATCCAATCGCATGAAAAAGACCAAAGCTAGTAGCTATTTGATCAATCGCAATTTTCGGTTTTGTGGGTTTTCTCTGAGTACTCGTTAGCTCTTGATTTTGCCCTCGATAACTGTAATTAACAATGCTCTGTCAAAAGAGCGCTTTACTAATTTACGTGGTGTTATGATACTGCCCTTTAGCTTTATGAGTTTAAACATCTGTTCACTGAGAACAAAATGTCTCTCTCTTGTGATATGCAAAGTGGATTTTCTCAGCATATTTTTAAAGTCATCGCAGAACTTATCCATGTGTGATCTGCGAGAAAATTATATCTGGGATGAATGCAAGTTAACTTTTCGGCCTTGCATAACTGGCGTGGATTTTCCAGCAGTTCCCTGTGGGACTAAGATCCATCAAATTTTTTATTAGATGTTCAGTTTACAAACAAGAACTCAAGCAAAACTATTTAACCAGTAGCTGTCATTATGTATATTGTCCTTAGAGAGTTCGCCGCCATTATGATCTAAATCTCAAAATCATCAATCATTGTTTCCCTTCACGTACCTTTAACAATAGCACTCTTGAAATCAAACCAATTTTTTTCATTGCGTCACTTGTTGCTCCATTAGATGTAAATTCAAATTGTTTATTCCCGAGTAGCTTCAATGCTTACAAAATTTACTGAAACTTTATCGTTCGAGTGTTGTTCTTCGTCACGAAGGGCATGACAAATCAAGAAAAACCGCCGACCAAACAGGTTTTTAACAGCAGCAGCCACGACTTGCTTTTACACGAGACGTGCGCCCTGGGAGACGACACAAAACTCGAAGAATTGGGTAGCTTTATAAGAGGTGGAAAAATCGACGTGAATTCGAGAGATGAGGAATGGGGCGACAGAGCTGCTCTTCACTGGGCGGCACACAGAGGTAGAAATTGTTATGACTACCTTAAATTTAGTATTGGGTTCACACCCTTATGGTTCTTTCTAGCGTTTGCTCAAGACAAGGTGTTCGCGCAATGATAACAAGCTCAATATTTTGTTATGCTTCAGCGTCAAACTTATGGGCCATAAACGTCTTCATTAGTTCAACTGTTTTTGAGTCCTTCGTCCTGTTCACCCCTGTTTTGGTTTTTGTCCTAAAAGAGAATTGATTGCAAGTTGATGAGAAAGACCTCTCGCAGCGTTCAGCTCGTTACAGTTTTTGGTCAAATGTGTTTAATTTCCGTCTGATACGGCTGGTTTGAGATGAAAGGCTCACTGCACGGCAAGTGTGAAAATATTGAAACCGGAACTCAAGTTGGTCTCTTGAACTAAGGTCCGCTAAACAAGGTGTCCCTATAACCAGATAAAACACGCTTGAACCAGAAATTAATCCATTAAAATTGTTTGATCTTGAAAAGTCCTATTAATACTCAACCTGTTTGGCCCGTGTTACCTTTAAACCGAAGCAAAATATGTCCACTGAGTTCATGGGTTTTTATATGATGTTACAAATTGGGTTAACAATGATCTCTTATGTTAATTACGGACGTTTCGCCTACATGTTTCGTCGAGTGGTTTTCGCTCAAAATTTCAAGTCGACCTACAGCACTGCTTGATTCACGAAAGAAATCTTTAAAATCCGAACAAAGAAATATCAAACTCTTACTGAATGGGTCTTTACAGGGATCAGAATTCCGAGACTGAAATTTGAAACATGCCGAGGGACAACTTCTTTGCTGGGTCCCGGCTGGCAACGGTTGACTAAGGAGTTAACCTCCAGAACGCGCAATCTCTCTTAAGTTCTGAAAAAACTGTATCAAACGCCTCTGATACACTGGTAATTTAGATATATAACGACAGCGCGCTGACTTTTTAATTCGGCAGAACATAGAGAATTGCGCACCTCGCGATATTTAAGTTTTACGGTATGATACTGAACAGTAACTTAAACAATCTCAGATATAGAGAGCATCAAAATCCTTACACGACAACAATACATACCTTTTCTTTCTGTGTAAATCTACGGGCGCTCTGCAAACTGATTGGCTACGTAACTCACTATCTATTCCATGACAAGGAGTGAAGAGAGTGAGAAGCCTGGCAGTATGCAATTCTAAACAAAATATAATGAAAAAATTAGCCTGCCTAGTTGTGTAGTTTTGAACGACTGAAACGACGAAAACAGTTCGGTTATTTGCCCTTGATCTCTATGCGTGACAGTGCATCTGGGCTTCGCCCTCCGATTGAAATCTCGAGCTCATAATCTCATTGTTAAACATATGTTTTATTGTACTTTCTGTTTTTTTATCCAGGGCACGCCAAGTGTGTGAAACTTCTTTTGGAATACGGCGCTGATCCTGCCGCTCGTATGGTGGGAGGCTGGACACCAGCTCACTGCGCGGCGGAGACTGGACGCTTAAATGTACTCAAGATCTTAATCGAACACCAGGCCCCTGTCATGATTGCGGATAACTCGGGGGACACGCCTAAAAGGGTAGCGGAGATATACGGACATACGGCTTGTATTGAACTTCTTGAAAGGTAAGACTTGCTCTGAGCGAGTTAGGCTTGAACGATGTGTTGTTAATCAAAACTGGCACGAATCTTTATTTACTTCACGTTGCCGAGTTCAGGTTGTTGTCTTCTACTGCCCATGGAGCCTAAATGTAAATTCGAATTGTTAGGAGACGATCATTCACGAATGTCTTTTGCTGGCTGGTTTGTGAAGGTCTCTAATCATAAAAATTACAATTTCCTCGATTGTAATTGGTTTAGAAAACTGTTATCGGACAGGTTGTTATCAGACAGTTCAATAAACCAATCACATTCAAAGTTGTAGTTTAAATCAACCAATCACAACCATTAAACAATTTAAGCCTCTTGTCAGTCTTTTAATGCCAGTTTTCCTTTTCTATCCAAACTTGTCTATGATTAATTAGTAATAAGACTTCTTGTCTTCCAATTCGGTCTGTAATCATACTGTGTAATCATACTCGTGACTCCCGCTACGTGGTCGTCCGATTTTGTTTTTACTTGCACGTCCTATTGCCAGTACCTATAAGAAAATAGTATTAGCACTATTCCATGGTCTAACTTTACTCCATTACCTGTGTACCTAAATGTGGTAGCAATTAATTGCAGTTTTTTTTCCGTTTATCGCACTTTTCACCAATTTTCTGCGTTTGGATCCTTAGTACTTCGTTTGCCTCGATTTTCCCGCGTCTTAACAACAACTACTTGCACATTTTACTGCGTTTGGCAACCTTCATTTGCACTTTTTTCGTGTATTTATTTGCCACGTCTTTTTCAAGACAAGCTTAGGCAGCCTTGGCCTCTTAGCTGTCGTGTAACTCTTGATGATTTTCCTTATAATTTCTTACAGCGCTGAAGAGTCCTCTGTCCAAAAACAGCTTCTTATTAGAGACAAGTTCCGCTCCAACACAAGAAAAGTTTCACGCATTGTGGCTGAGAAAGGCTTGGAGGGTCTTCAAGGAAAAGTGACAGATGTAGCCAGCTAAGTTATTGGTGCTATGTCGGTTTGTGACGAATCTCCTGAATTCACGATAAATAGGTGATAAAGACCTTATCGCAAATGGCGTCGTGGGATACTACGCGATATATTACGCGCGAGTCACGTGCACGTCACGTGCGCATCACGCGCGAATTAGGGCGACTTTAAACGGAATAAGAATCGCACCGATGCAAATACTCGAGGATGTGTAAGAAGGTGGACTCGACTTAAGTTTAGAATTTTACTATCTTGTCATGGACTTCCGGGAAAGTTGGATCTGTATCCTTGACATTAGTTCAACCGACCTTCAAAAGGGATTGTTTTGATTAGATAGTTCGATAACTTCACATGTATTGTAAGTCTACTTTGATCGGTACTCGAACTCTGAGTTTGTGCCCAGTCTCACTCTTTGTAAATCTTTATTCACAGTCCAGTTCCTGTTGTTAAATTGAAATTCTGGTAATCTTTTTTAGCCGAGGGTAGACGGATTTCCCTTAAAAAAACAAAACAAAACAAGCAAAACAACAACAAAATTATCATAGTTTTATGACGAAGATTTCCTACCTTTAGAAAATCTGTTATCTCTTGATCTGTTACGATCAGTGTATAAACAGTGAAATTTCTATAGACTGGAGAATGCTGTGGCGACAGGAGTCACAGGAGAGTGTTAATATACCGATTTCGTTTTACCAATCGCCACTCTTCCTTCTCTTAGGGGTTTCGCGCTTATATTAAGCTTTGATCTGCTGGATCGCGAGTGGTAGAGTTCAACTCTATCGCATCCTATTCGTATTTTAACTTCTTATTTCCAAACCACCGTTGCCTTCCTTTGCATACCGGTGGCAATTTTGACAGGATATTGTTAATTGTTGGTGCACAATTTACACCAGTCTCGGCGTCTATTAGGAGAAAAGAAAGGGTCAACTAAGCCATAGGTCAAGATTTGGTTCACCCTTTAACCCCTAAAAGTGACCGGCTTCTTATTTCTCCTTACAGTGTCACCCTTAAATCAAATTAAAAGGCTATGAGAACGAAGGAAATAATCACCATTTCAAGAAGCTTCTGATTGTCAAATCAATTCTCCTTTACTCAGTACCATATAAAATGCAGAGTTAGCAGTGTGAGGAATATAAATACTAATCTTATGATAGAAAGGATTAAGTCTGTTGTTCGAATTAACTTACTAAGTCTGACAGTTGAGTTAACCAAACGTATGCCACGTAGGTGGTATGGGAAAGACGATAAGACTAAAATGAAATATCAGAGCTTTACCAAAACGTCGAATTTATCTAATATACGATCATCTTTGTCTCTCGCATTTTGAAAGGCCAGATTGTCTTGATATCGATGGTAAATCGTTTTGTCTTTTAATCCTTTCTGACAATTGTTTAAATTCTAAGTCTTTCCTTGACAGGTAGTAAATTAGCCACATTTAACTTCGGATTTTTATGTCAACAAAACTGGCATCCTCGCTGACCTCTGAATACTTTAAAGCGCTTAGATTTGCATCTTAGTTCATTTGATGGATAAGGGTCGTGTCACGCTCCCTAATGGGTACTGAAACAACCCGGCAATCGCAAATTGAAATTATATCTTCTTTTTTTTCAATCTTAGCGGGAGAGGCCCCTATGAAAGCGCGTGAATTCATTTGTTGTGACGAAGGGGTAATGTTCGAAACGTCAGTTACAGTGACCAATTTACATTATCAAGTCTGTGATAGATCAAAACCATCTTGTAATGCCCCCACTGAGGGGCGCCACAGCCTCTTAAGAAACTACCCCCATCCGCGCAAACAGTTATGAAGGTCGACTGAGAAGGTTAAATGTGAAATTGTATACAGTTATCTTTATCTGGTCAAAGAATGGACCCAGTGACTATGCTGATTTTGGTCATGTCCATAACTCGTGTGTGGTGAAGATGGAATGACTACCCCTACTCTTAGCCCCAAATAGAATATCACTTTCAAGTTTGGAATGTTGGCGACAAAATCATAAAAGAGTACTTTTTTATGTGGTTTAAGTGAAATATCTTACATAACCTCCCCGACTTTTCTTCACAGTGCAGCTTATACTTGTTGGACAAGACTTTCCATTCACGTTTCGCGACAGTGGCGCACTATTTCATGCTAAATGTTAACCTGTAGACCCCATGAAGGCATCCTGCTTCGTAACAGATGAAATAAGTTGAATTTTAAGTGATCTCTAGGGACTGTTAAAAGGCGAAGTTCAAGCCTGCACTTATCGCATGCCAAAGGCGTTTGCATCCGTGGACCGATGCCCTTATTTGGCGGCAAGGACAGGTGAAATAGCTATGATAACATCATTTTTATTAATATTATTTTCAGTAAACTTCTTGTGGCCCTTTTATCAGTTCATAATTGGAAATATTGTTCTTTTCCGTTCACACAAACTCCTATGACTCGATATTAGATTTTGAGCGCATGTTACGTCGATGGAGACAAAGCAATTTACTGTGTTTCGAAACCGGGCGTCACGCGGGCGTCGTCGGATGGGTTGTAAGGGAGCACGTGCTTTGCAGTTTTGACAGTTTAGTCATGGATACTTGACCTGGCGGTTCCTTTGAAACTTCTTTCGGGGGGTCGACAATTTCCGTGTCTTTTTCCTATCAGGCAAATTTATTCAATGATGACGTCCTTGTTCAGCTTGTCATTGCGTTGTTATTTCTAGCTCGAAGTACGTTTCCACTATTAATCTGTCGTTTACTCTCGAAAAGATTGGGTAAACACAAACTGCGCTAATTTGAGACCGTCCAGAGGTTGATGTTTATGGATGGCAGCTATTGATGCTTGAATGGGCTAATTGAACTGCAGCGCTAACCTGCAGGAAACTTGATTGATACTGTAACACCTGTATAGAACGAAAATTTAATCAATCATTGCACCATTGCAAGAACATCGCTTCTTCCATAGAATCGTTATAGCTAATTGTTCTCGTGTTTTGAATGTGTTTACAAAAAAATGAGATTTAATCATCGTTATGTCTTGATCTTTAGCGTTCCATCACTGGGATTGGCCAACCGTAATGTCTATTCAAACAATCTTTCAGACTGTTTAATTCATTCAAACAAAACATGAACGAAGTCGCGCACTTAGTGTAGCCCTCTGCTAAAAGGCCTTCTTGTGCGCTTCTTTACTGATTGAAGCACTTCCTTGGGCCATTTACGAGAGGATTATCAACAAATGACGCGCGGTTCTTGAAGAGTTTCACATCCTCGATTCTTGGAACTTGTAGACAGGTCAAAATGCCGCCTCGAAGAAAGGCACGCAAGCAATACGCAAAAGCGTTATGGTACACATCGATCAGTCAGCATGCGATCTCATCCACAAACCCGTACAGAGCGCACGTGAATAGTTACATGTATTTGGTGGTCAAAAACCACAATTTAATCGCAGTAACGACCCGCCATTTCTCCCAGATCATGCTACTTTGATTGCTTATCAATGATATCCTGCCAGAGCCAAATGAATTGATTGATATTTGGAATTATTGGAATGGATCCAGAGGAATAGATGTCCCAGGCTTCTGCGGGTGATGGAAAGTGGAATTTTGTCCGCAAATAGGATCTCAAGAGTATTAAACTTATGTCTATTTTATTTTAGTCGCAAAAATAAATGTGGTAACCGAATAACTAATGCATTTTTCGCATCAGTAAGGACACCGAAAAAGAAGTCAGCCATGACCCTGTTGGATTGCGCTTTCTGACCCGGTCATAATTAAAACGGAAAGAGTTACATTCTCAGAAACTGTACTCTGTTAAAAATTCCTGCTATGTTTAAAAGTGAAGAAATTGCTAACAGAACATTTTCAGAGCGGCTGACACGTTTTGTCGTGAAACTAATACAGAAATGGCTGAGTGATCATTGATCCGTCGTTTCTCAAAGAATAGGCTATTAACGTGTAAGCATCGACAAATCGGCTTTTGCTGATTACATTATCTTGTGGCAGCTTGAAAATAATAATCGATACCTTTTGATTGTGATCCATTGAATTTTAAATGTTAGTTTTTGCAATTGGGAGTTCCTAGTTTGTCACCCTCAAGACAAAGATTAGTCAATGAGAGCTTTTATTTTCGTTGAACATGTTAACTTGCACAGTAAAAGGGTCTCGGTCACGTATTCGAGTTGAATACTTCCTCGACACGTTCCTAAGAATCTGCTGTCTGATCCACGGTTCCCGATACCTGTTCCTGTTTTTAAGTGCAGACTGCTTTTTGACCCGTGCTTTGTCCGGAATCTGTTTGTCATAATCATTGAAGCGAGTCAACCTTGAACCCAACGGGAAAAACAAAGAGTGTAGTAGCATCAAGTTTGTTTGTCCGTCACCTCCCACTGAAATCAGCTCACAAACAGCTATAAAACGCCTTGCGTGCCCGTAACCAGAACCTCTCGAGCACCGCTTGAAACGTGCAACTCTCTGCTCGATATTTCGCGTACCTAGTGACTCGTGGTACGCATCTTGAGTAACAACGATCACTTTGATTCGATTTTAGCGAACACTGAAGAAACAGAGATCAATTAACAATATGTACTGGGGAGACCTCGCAGATAAGTTGGCGGAGCATTCCATTGTGATTATTTTCCTTGCTCTCGTGGTTGTTTTGCTGTTTTTAAGACACACCAGACCGTCAGTCAAGAGAAAACCACCCGGTCCTTGGAGTCTACCGGTGATTGGCAATATATTTCTCTTCGGATCAGCTCCTCACAAGAACGTCACAAGGCTCGCTAAACAGTACGGAAGAGTCTTCGCTATGAAACTTGGTAGCAGAGAGGTCGTGATTCTCAATGACATCAAGACAGTTAAGGAGGCTCTTCTCAAGAATGGCACCGACTTCTCATCTCGCCCTCCATTGCACAGTTTTATATCGTCCAGCCGAGGTGATAGAACAGTTGCATGGCCCGTGTTTGGTCCAAAGTACGCCAACAACAAGCGAGCGACGGAATTGGCCATGCGAGCTATCCTTGAAAATGACAAGTACCTCTCCAAAATAGTCCTTAGAGAGACGCACGTGTTAATCGAGAGTCTCCTAAACTCGGACGAGGGCCGGTTCGATCCTTCTTACCTGTTAAAATTCTTTGCCTGTAGTTTGCAGTTTTGTTTGTTTTTCGGGGACAAGTTACGCGACGCTTACGTCAAGAAGGCTCAATTCATGATGGACGGTTCAACAGATTTTATAGAAAATAGTGCCGTGGGTAACAGCGTAGATTTCATGCCGTGGATGAAAGTGGTGTTCAAGAAACAAGTGGAAAAACTTGACGCATCCATCGCAGAACTTACCACATTTGTCAAGAAAATTTTTTTCCTCCTGAAGAGTGATTCCAGCCTGAACAACTTAGACGAGTCACTTTCCAGGATGCCCACTACCTTCGTCGAGGCATTGACGAAAGTAGTGAAAGACAGAGATGCATTCGATTTTGGAAACGAACGTTTCAGTAAAGACTCCTTGGAGGGAATTTCAAGACACTTTGACGATGAAACTTTGATTAATATAACAGCTGACTGTTTCGGCGGGGGATACGAAAAATTATCCACCGCCCTCCGTTGGGCTGTGGCTTACCTCGTGTCCCATCCCGACGTGCAAACGGAATTGCAGGATGAGCTTAGACGCGTGAAAGGTTCTGCGCCCTTGACGCTCCACGACAGAAACAGCTTTCCACTTTTAGAGGCAACAGTTCTTGAGATCTTGCGGATGAGCAGCTTTCTTCCATTCGCTTTGCCCCACTGCACAACCCAGGATACCAGTGTGGCTGGATACCCATTACCAAAGGGAACCATTGTCTTTATTAACCTGTGGGCCTGTTCCCGTGATCCACAGTACTTTGAAGACCCCAACACATTCAATCCATACCGTTTCTTGGATGAAACGAAACAGAACATTGTACGATCACCGTGTTTCTTGGCGTTTTCAGCAGGGGATAGAAAATGCCCCGGAGAAAGCTATGCTAAGTCAGTTATGTTCCTGGTGTTGGGCACCATATTGCAAAATCTTAAACTTCGCAATGGAACCGAAGATCCCATCGAAGACAAGTTCGGGCTGACTATTCGTCCAAAGGCGTACAAGATTCGCGTTGAAGCGATTCAGTGAATATGGAGTAAGGAACTTTCAAGGAATGAAAGGTACACAGCTTGATATAAAGGCTAAATGACTGTCAGAGTGTGAACTGATGATTTGACATCGATTCATCGATAGTGATACAAACGACCAAGTAAGTCTTCATTCTTCAGGTTAAGATAGTGAAAGACGTTTTCTCCTTAATTAGGCATGACCAAACAAACCGCTGCTGATCTTAAGCTCCGTGAAGTGCACTGCACGATTGTTAGTTCAGACTTTTTTAACCATTTTCCTACTTTCATGTTTTTCTTATATGTAGATATAGAACTTAAAACGGATTGCACCTTTGAGTGTAGTGACATAAAAAAAAAAACAACAAGCGTCTGTTTGCGTTGGTGAACACTTAATTTTTAGCGCATCATTGATGTCACGTAATGGCAAACTTTGGCCGCTCGGGCGTATTTTTAAATCAGTTTCGCTTCTTAATTTTAAAATACGACATCGGCTTTTATATTCATTATCACAGGGGCATAAGCTCTTCAATTAGTTTCATAGTTTCTATGAGCTAATGGAGAGAGCGTGCTTGACTGAAGTTGGACGACGAAGCTTTATCACTAAGCGGAGATAACCTTGTGGAAATATCAGTTTGACAACGGTTAACTAATCCCACAGACCCAGAAGCACTATATTTGTAATACCTATGACGTCTATGTATAATTTTTACTGGAAAATATGGCAACATCTGTGCTAGCCTTGTTCCAGCCTTGTGCTAGAAATTATGCGAACGAGAGGTGCTTCTATGACACAACAAAATGATGAAATATTAGGCAGTTCGGCCTTATCAAATCTAAATGTCAACTTAAAGATATTTAATTATTGAAAAATAACGAAAAATATACTTTTTATATTTTATTTGGTTTGTTCTTGAGCATTGTACACCCAAAGCGGAGGTTTTCTTTACGGTTTCCCAGATTCCAATAACAGCCAGTTGAACTGTGCTCGAAATTTGGGTCTAAATGAAGATACCGCCATCGACTTTGCCCATTTGTCTTTCACGCGTGGAAATAATTCAGTTTGCAGAGTTCGCATGACGATGCAAGTCTTTCATACACAATTGCCACCGTACTGGAAATCTAAAGCAGACAGGCATTTGTTTCATAGATTAAACTTTGACTTTTACAAATGCCGGGTTTCCATCTTTCATCTCTCGACTCGAGAATTCTATGTGGTGAAGTTGATTGTTTGGCACAAATCTCCAAACTATATGATGCTGTATTCCATAATCATATTATTGTTTGACATCGATGGCCCCTTGATTTAATTCTTGCAGCATTACTCACAGTTTGCAGACTTATCAACACCCAATTAAGTTAGAGGCCAATGCCAAAGGCACGCTCTACTAGGCGGCAAAGCACGTGGACAGTCTATTGAATATCTTACGTAAGGGATGTCGGTATTTGTTTCTTCGTCTGTTCTTCTACCTCTTGTTATTATCAAGCTCTTGGTGTCTGAGAAATTTTCGATTCCTCTTCATTAAATCATTCTGGGAGAAAATGCAAGCCGGTCGTGACCCTTCATTTATTAAGGAAATAATAACATCTAATTAGATTATTCGAAATGTTTAAATTTAGTTCAACCAGCACTTGCAACTTAAATTAGATGGTAAACTCTCAGGTGAAGTGATTGCTTTTGCTAGGAACTCTGATTCCTTTACCTTTAATTTCGACAGATTTTCAGTGGAGTTAATGCGATTCCTTAGGATTATTTCAATCTTCTGAAATCCACTTTAAAAATAGGGACCTTTTGTAGCCAGCTATTTGGCGGTCAAAACTGCTTCCTCGACTACAATGCAGAATTAGTAGAACATGTGACGTCGTACTGTACTGAACAGGTGAAAAAATATTGCTTCGAATGCATCGACAATCGTTCGTGATATTAACTATAATGGAGACTATCCACACTAAGATTCTATTGAGGTAAAATTCAGCAGTCGACCAAACCACCTGGGTCTATGCAACCTTAGAACTTGTTTGTTGTTAGTCAGGCTTACGGATTTTCCACGGCGGCCAAGGCCACGGAAGCTTTTGATTTTGTTTTTTAACAAAACGATGCTTTAAATAAACAGTCTAAGTTGGATTAATAAGGCAACGGACGGCAGAGCTTTTGTATCGTGTGTTTAATTCGTTTACCGCTGTTTCTGTGTTGCAGCTGCGCCTTGCTCAGCAATGCGGAGCAATTTTTTTAAACATTCCTGGAGAAAAAATTATCTTTCAATTTTCATTGTAAGAGTTTCGGGTATTTCATGATTCGTTTTTAGCTTCTTCTCCGATGAGGTTGAAACAAGTACCTATAAGTATTATGTTACCTTTTTTCGGTAGGTAAACATCACGTTTAGCCCTCATGCGATGTGATGTTTGGGAATAAAGTTGTACCAAACGTTTTCTTAAGAATTCAATAGGTTAGAGGAATCCAACTTAAATCTTTTAAAAGAACTTTCATTTCATCCCACGGAAAACTTCTATTTCTTTTGCGATCTCATAATTATAGCAACAACTAAGTGTCCATTGACTAAAGGGCGAGTAAAAACATATTAGGAATATTTTTTCGATGTTTAATCTCTCTCGGCAAACACTTATTGCAAACATTTATTTCACGGCAGCTTACGTCAATAGTCCGGTTCAAATGACTTTGGCCTTGGCCTTTTCATTTGCATTTAAATACCTTTAAAAACTACTACTCCAGGGCTTTCCGCTCTTTTCATAAAAATTAATTGTCCTTTTATATTACGCACGCCTAAACAGGAAACTGACGAAGTTCATTGTCCCAATGCCGACTTCTTCACTTCGTTTGTTAAGCAATCTCTTGTAAACTGACAAAGCGTTCAAATATCACGAGTTATCTGCACTTTCTTAAGGAGGGACAAAATAGATATAATAAAAACAAAAACAAAAAAACAGGAAGAATTTCGTTTTTGGGTAAGAGAGTAACTAGTGTTTGAGGAGAACAAAAGGGACCTACGTAAGAAACTTAACTGTGTAACTTCTCATACGGTTGTTCTCGACTGACCTTGGAATGCAGCTTTGCAAAGCATTACACATTCTTTCCTTACGTAGGAGGTAAAAACAGAATGTCTGAGACAATTCACGGAATTCACAAATCTCAAAGGTTGTGGGAAAATCTTGCAAGAGTCATTAAGAGACTTGTTTTGTCTGGTTGCGTAAGAAAATACAAAGAACACATTATGGTAAGGTAAAACCTGAGTCGTTTAACAGACATTAAGAAAACACGTAACTGTAGCGGTGTTTTCGTAATGACTCATGAAACTGGGATTATATTCCTACTAATATGACACACCAGTAAAAATTTAATTATAGTGTTGACACGTGCAAAGTTTTGGAACCTTTCTGGATCTTAAATTTGACCCCTATATTTTGGGACGTTACATGTTGTTTTGCAGAGTTATATGACGCTTTGCAAATGTTTTCTTTAAAAGTTCATGGTTTACGCGACTCCCCAAGAGGCAGCACTTGTAACAATGTAGCTTATTTGTTTAGGGTTGTTTGAGATCTTTAACAGAAAACATGCAGATTTTGTAAAGAGAAAAAAGAAATTTAAATTTTCTGGCCTTAAATTTTCTCCATTTGGTTTGGGAGGGGGTGTTTTTTTTTTCTATTTGTGTCCAAATTAAGTTCTACCGTTTCAGATTAAAAGGATGTGATATGCATCTTACGTGATAGTCCGCGATGACATTGGCCTTGACAATTCCATGCGGAGCTCCGCCTCTGTCGCGCCACATGAGACATTTGACAACCGAAGCGGAAGACCACTTCTTAACTCTTCCTTAAGTCTCAAACCCGACCTGGGTTACCAAATGCGGTAAGCTTCGCAGTACAGCTTATGTAAGTTATGTTCGCGATTGAACAGTTTTGCATCACATACGATTACTCTATTCTACTCTACTGTTTTTACTAAAATGCAAACATTGACTACTTTGAAAAGATTGATCAGTTAATGAAGCGTACTTTTCCCTTCAACGCGCAGTGTCACGATTTTGGAGTCAATACACAATCGGCTATTCTATGTAAGAAAAACCATAAAAAATTGGTTAGACCTTCCATCAACATGAAAGAAACAAGATTTATGTATCAACAGGCGTCCGTGTAAATATTTTCCAAAGTGCACATGCATATGCTGATGTTACTCTCTGAGACGCCTTTACCATATATGGGATCCAATTGACCTTGGAGGTATAGGAACCCACAGAGCTGTGTCAAAGCTCTGATCTTTTTTCACGGGAAAGAAAATAAGTTCCGCTAAATGATTCTCTACTTGACACAAATCCTTTGGAAGAATGAAGTGCATCTCAAATTTCCTCAGCTCCAGTCATGCGAAGGGGGAAAGTATCTCTCTATTCGTGCGATTTCGCCTCGTTCAAGGTCAATCATTCTTGTGGACAGTTACTCGATTTCGTGTCTTATAATATTTATTTACCCTTATCCACCTAACCCAATTATCTACACTTAGCTTAGGAGGTGCTAAATGAACTAACCGAAACCCAACTTCACACTTGAGAATGCGATTATTCTCCATTCCTGTAGAGATTTTGTGGTCGCCCAAAGTGTTTGCCTTCTTTGTCTTAGGGCACTCCTTTTCGTGACTGATAGTGCCTTTATCCTTTTCTGGATAATTAAATTATCATCTTTAACAAAGTGCTAATCAACAGGCCAGAGGTGAAATTCTCACGAAAATCAAGCACCATTTCTCATCCGACTGTTTTTCTTCTACCAATCTTTTGCAGACTGTTAATCCACAAACCTCAGCTCGTTTCGTGACGCACACACTGCGTTATCTGAGTAAATACGTGGATCAGAGGTGCCGTGATAACTCGCAAAGTTTTACAGTCTTTGTCAACACGAAAACAATTTTTTTTCTTTTTCACGCGAGCGAGTTTTCCTACTAAAGCTGTCCTTGAACACCCAGGAGAAACTTTGCAAGAATATTATCTAATCGGTAATAAGAATTTAGGGTAAAAA